CTCCATTCAAAGTCTCAGAGAGAATATAGAAAACAAGCTGGTCACCCGTGAATGGGCGAGTGGAAGTAGATGGGATCGGTGCAGCTCGGAGTTGAAAGGTGCGCTTCCTCGACTCTACCATTACTTGGCTGACGATGCGCAAGATCTTCTTCCTCGGTTGTTGACGCGGCACCCCTCTACAAGACTGTCTCTCCCCTCACTTCCCTCCCACCCGTTCTTCTCCTCCCTCGCCATATCCACTCTCTCGTTCCTCGACCCTACTACATTCGCCTCCAAACCGAGAGAAGAGAAAGCGACATTCTTGAGAGGACTCGTGAGGGTACTACCAGGGTTTTCTGAAAGGCTGAGAAAAGGCAAGGTTCTGCTCAGTCTTCTGGAAGAGGTAAGTGACTGCCACTTCAGAAGACCGGCGCTGACCTCTAGTAAAGATGAAAGACTCGTATCTTCTGCCGTTCATCCTGCCAAACGTCTTTGAAATATCGAAATCACTTAGCAAAGAAGAATTCAACACTGTCCTCGTCAAGCTCCAACCCCTCTTTGCGCTCAAAGATCCTCCTCAAAACATGCTCAGTCAGTCTTTCACTTTTACGATGGCAATCTGCTAACTTGTGTATAGCACTCTTGGAGCACCTGACTCTGTTTGAAGAAAAGACAACCCCCCAAGCCTTCCGCGACAACATCATGCCCCTGATCTACAACTCTCTCGAAAGCGAGCACCTCCCCGTCCAAGAACGCGCCCTCAAAACCATCCCCCACCTCACCACTATCCTCGACTATGCCACCGTCCAAAACGTCCTTCTGGTCAAGGTTGCGATCGTGTTCAGGGGCACGAGGGTACTGAGTGTCAAGGTGCAGACGTTGGAGTGTTTTGGGGCGATGGTGGGGACGTTGGATAAGGCGACTTTGACGGGAAAGCTGGTGCCGTTGTTGGCAAAGATCAAGACCAAGGGTGAGCTTGTTCATCTCTCACGCGCTGGGCTCAAGCTGACGATGAAGTTCAGAACCTGCTGTAATGGTCAGTAGATCGTTGACACTTGAGATGTATACTGACAAAGAGCAGATGGCTACGCTAGCGGTGCATGAAGCGATGGGGTCGAAAGTGGATAGAGAGGCTGTGGCGACGTTGGTCTTGCCGCAGTTGTGGTCAATGTCTATGGGTCCTTGTGAGTTTCAATCATGTCTGAAAAGGTAGTAATGCTGATTTGGAATAGTGCTCAATGCGAGTCAGTTTGCAAAGTTTATGGCGTAAGTTGGCCCGTCTTGTACAAAAGCTTGGTTTCTAACTAGGTCATAGGGTCATCAAAACGCTAGGATCTCGTGTCGAAAAAGAGCACGCCCAGCACTTGAAAGACGTCGGCCGTATAGAAGCCCAGACCGCGAGCCTGGCCGCTGCAAACTCTGCCGCTCTCAACGGCGGTTCGGGTCATAACCAGGGCGGAGAGGTCGACTTTGAGACTCTTGTCCGTGGCTCCAATGCCTCCCCCGCTTTGGGCTTCGATCTCAATAGTACGAGTACTCCCGTGGCTGCTAGCTCGACCACTATCACCGATCCGTGGGACGACGAAAGCTGGCTCAGCCAGCCATCTGACGCGGGGCTATCCTCGACATTCCCTTCGTTGAGCGTCAACAACACTGCTAGCACCTTCCCTGGTCTTTCTGCACCAGCCTCGCCGAAACCACCGGCCACGAACGGTGTGGCGTCGCTGCAGCCTACAAAGCCTATAGGGGCTCCAAAGCTAAAGGCGAAACCCGTCCCGGCGGCCTCATTCAATTCATCTGCTTTTGCGCCACCTCCCTCTGCTCCTTCGACGTCCACGACGCTACAGCCGACATCCATGTCTTCGCTACCCCCTCTACAGCCGACATCATCGTCGTTCGGGACGTTGCAGCCTCAGCAGGCTAGTAGGACGCCTTCCTATACCTCTACCACGGCAGGCTCAGAAGGAGGAGGAGGACCGAATTACAATATATCTCTCTCCCCCCAGCCCCCCACTCAAAGTTCTTACCAGTCGTCCCCACTATCCTTCATGACACCACAACCTGCCCAGGCTACGCGCCCCCTACAACCATCCCAGCCTTTACAGCCGGCTCAACCTGCAATGCCGACTATGCAGCCGGTGGTGTCTCCCCCGCCGGGATGGTCTAGCGGGGTGATGCAGCCCACTTCTGCGCCAAAGCCAACGTGGGGGAAGGGCGCTGCTGCGAGTGCGGCATCGTCGGATTGGGGTGATTTTGATCCGCTCAAGTGAGGGGGGGTTGGTGTGTGCTTTGATGTCGTATATCTGTACGGGATTAATGTAGCTAGGACTTTATGGCATAATGACTCGGTGGTGCAGAGCCACATGCATAGCATACGACCTGTCTCCCTGGCTTAATACAAGCTCCACGATTGAAATAGATGTATCAATCAACACCCGCTTCTACGACTTTTCCCTTCTCACAGTCTTGCTTTAAGGCAATCATCTGTGTTTTTCAAGGATATCGCCATTTGGGGAATTTCAGAGGCGTCGAAACAGGGTTTTTGGTATTTGATGGTGGTTGACGGGTCATGACCAGCCAGCCCAAAGACGAGAGCGAAAAGGTCCAGCAAGGGTATTTGTGGCTTTTCAATGGCTCTAATCTACACCCGAAAGTCGGCTTGTCAAGAGGATGACACGTACTTAGTATGGAAGCTCGACCCTCTGTGGTCCTATATTGACATTGTACTGGTCTTTCACAAGGCTGGGCTTATTTGAGTCTGGTGCCATTGTCGTGAGGCTGGAGGATCAGAAGATGAAGCGAAAGTTATTCGTTCGCAAGCAGTAGAACATGCAGACAGTAATCAAATAAAGGGATCCTCAACAGGTTCCACGTCACATGCGTATGTATATGTGTTGATCGAGCAGTCTACCCGGCCAGTGACCCAGTTACTGAAAGTTACTCAACGAACGAACAAACCTGACGGTCCTGACGGGGTCAAATCTTTATGTCCACAAAATTCCAACATCACGAGATAATTTTTGAAGTGGAGCAAGTCCGCAAAACTTTAACGCGCCTTCCCTATCGGCATACAACTGTCTCTTCCCATAAACTCCTCAAGATGGCCCCCAAGCGATCTGCCCCTACCTCCAAGGCTTCCGCCGCCCCCAAGAAGGCCAAGTCCGCCGCCTCCAAGCCTGCCTCCAAGGCCAAGGCCCCCAAGGGCGCCATCGACACCGTCAAGGACACTGCCGCCTCTCTCATCGACACTGTCTCCTCGGCTGTCGACGTCGCTGGTGACATCGTGCTTGACGATGGTGCTCCCGCCCCTATCGAAGAAGCTGTAAAGGAGACTGTCGACGTGCCGGCCTTGAAGAAGAAGAGCAAAGAAGTCAAGGGCAAGGCGGGAAAGAAGGCCGTTGAAGCTGTCGAAGCCGCCAAGCCTGTCAAGGGCAAGGCCACCAAAGCCGCCAAAGAGGCTGCCACTACTGTCGACAAGGCCGCCAAGGACCCCAAGAACCGAAAGCGTGCTGAGGACTTTATGGAGGCTGCTGGATCTGCGGCGAAGAACGTCGCCGGCAAGATCGGCGAGGCTTTGGGCGAAACTCTTCAGCAGTTTGGTGAGGCCAGTGGTATGACTGAGGCCACCGAGGAAACTGCCAAGAAGGGCAAGAAGCAGGCTGGAAAGAAGGCTGTGGAGGTGAAGGAGGCTGGCAAGCGAAAGGCCAAGGAGGCACTTGCCGATGCTGAGCCCGCAGCGAAGAAGACTCGCTCCAAGACTGCGGCACCTGCGCCTGCTGCCGAGGACGATGATGATGACGTGTCTATGCACGGATTCTCTTCGTCTGATGGCGAGGCTGACTCTTCGGACGATGAGTCTGATGCGGAGGATTTGGCGGTTGCCGAGGCCGGGAGGGCTGTTGACATGACAAATCTGCCGATGGTGGCTCGGGATGACAAGAGTGTCCAGGCTAGGCTCAAGCAGGCGGCGAAGAAGAAGGTAGGCTCATTGCGCTGATCCTTCATACTTTACTGACTTTGCACAGGACACCCAAAAAGGTACTCTTTACGTTGGTAGGATACCTCACGGTTTCTACGAAGAGCAGATGAAGGAATACTTTTCGCAATTCGGAGATGTCACTCGACTGCGTTTGGCTCGTAATAAGAAGGTGGGCCCTTCTTCTTTTCCTATGAGCAAGATCTGATCGGTGTATACAGACTGGTGCTTCAAAACACTACGCCTACATTGAAATGTCTTCCCAATCCGTCGCCCAGATCGTCGCCGAGACCATGAACAACTACTTGCTGATGGGTCACCTCCTCAAGTGCCATGTCATCGCCGCCGACAAGGTCCACCCTCAACTCTGGGTCGGTGCCAACAAAAAGTTCCGCAAGGTTCCCCGCGCTCGTGTTGAGAAAATGAGGCATGAGAAGGAAAGGACGGAGGAGGAGCAGGCCAAGGCCAACAAGAAGCTTTTGAAGAAGCAGAACCAAAGGAAGAGCAAGTTGCAAAAGGCTGGTATTGATTACGAGTTTGAGGGACACGTGAGTTTGCGTTGCTGCGCGTCCGTAGAACGGTGGCTGACAAGGTGTGTAGCTCTAGGAATCCTGCATCGCCGAGTAAAGAAGACTTGCCGGAGGAGTCATATACCCCATAATTGCCCTGTAATTGAACAAAATGTACATTTGCATCCATGAGCGGTCCCATTCATCATCACCATCCTTGGGGGGTATCCGTACCCTTATTGCCATGAGCTCAAGATTCGGAGGCTAGCAAGGCTATGCGCACCAACGATCCAAAGATTCGTTCCAAGACAAGGGCAAATCTGGTTGCCGCGCTTCCACTTTGCTCTTGGTCGCTTGTGTCTGTGCATTCGTCAGCTCTGTGGGGTATGCCATCAGGATTTTTGAGCGCCCATATCTTTATACAAGATCTGAACATGGACAAACACACTCCACATCGTTCGCGATTTGACGTGTGCGCGCGGCCACCAACAAGCGAGCCGGAATCCATGGAGTCCAGTCCTCTCTCTCTTATCTTGTTCCGTCGCTATCACTACGGACCGAGGGGCACCGGGCACGGACTTGGCCGGGTAGACTCCACGCTCAATGAGGCCCTTATATATACTCAGCACTCAGCAGTACATCCGCAGGCCGAGATTCTTCCCCTCGAAAGCCACCCGAAGCTGTCCTCCATCGATATGACAAGTGCCACAACTCCAACACCTTCAGGTCCTCTCGCCTCCAAGTCGTCCAAGCTCATTATCGTGGGCGGTGGAGGCACTATGGGGTCCTCAACGGCACTTCATCTTGCTCGACGAGGCTACACGGATATTACGATCATGGACGTGTATCCCATACCTTCCAGCAATTCGGCTGGTAATGATCTCAACAAGGTGAGGAGTGTTCACCTCTACATGCCCGAGATACTTGATTGACTGATGTGGCCTTCAGATAGCCAGCGCGGATGATGTAGACGGCTTCGCTGGTTGTACAGCCTTGTGCTGGGATGCCTGGATGACGGACCCTCTCTTCGAGCCCTTTGCACATGAAGTCGGCAAGGTATGTTTGGACCCCTACTATGGTGTTGTGTATCGGAGCTTAACTCTGTATAGCTCAGTCTTACTGTCGAAGGGGAGGATGAGGAGCTTGAATACCTGAAGAACAAGTACAAACGGATGAGCGACCTTGGTCGTGAAGACATCAAATGGTTGGATAACGTAGACGAGATTCTAAAGGCTGCACCTCATCTCGCCAAAGCCGACATCGCTGTAAGTAAACATGTCTCCCATGAAGCTATCTTGTTCACTGACATGATGGGCAGGGATGGAAAGGCATTCACTGTACAAGAGGCGGTTGGGTGGCAGCCCGAGATGCTCTCGATGCTGTGGGTCGCGAGCTTCAAAAGGTTGGCGTCAAAGCCATCTTTGGATCCTCTGGCACTTTTGATTCCCTTGTCCTGGGTGACGACGACGAGACAGTCAAGGGCGTAAGGGCCAAAGACGGCTCTGTAGTTGAAGCCGATCTGGTGGTCGTTGCGACTGGAGCGTGGACGCCTGCGCTTATCGATCTCGAAGGTCAATGTGTCAGCAAGGTGAGTCTCTGGATACATATCAGAGCTTATATCGTGGCTGACAAGACTCCCATAGTGCTGGTGCTTCGCTCATATCCAGCTGACGCCCGAGGAGGCTGCCGAGTTGAAAGACATCCCAACAGTGTATAACAGCGTGTACGGGTTCTTCTTTGAACCTCGCCCCGACAATCACCTTCTCAAACTCGTGAACGAGTTCCCTGGGTACACCAACTTCCAGTCATGCCAGCCATTTGGATCCTCTACCGTGCAGCGCATCTCTGTACCCAGGTCTCATGCGGATCATCCGGATGACACCATGCCTCAGCCCTGCCTTGAAGAGATTGAACGCCTCGTTCAAAAGACTCTGCCTCACCTAGTGGGACGTGAACTCATCAACAAGGCTATCTGCTGGTGTACCGACACTGCTGATGGGGAGTGGCTGATCTGCGAGCATCCGAAATGGAAAGGGGTGGTCGTAGCCTCTGGCGACAGTGGCCGGACCTTCAAGATGCTGCCTGTCGTCGGTGGACAGATCGCCGATCTGATTGAAGACAAGGTAAGTATTAATCTCATCATCAATCGATGAAGGAACGCTTACTGCTGCTGGTAGTTGTCTGATGAGCGACGCCATGCTTGGAGATGGAGGCCTGGGGCTGGCGACCCCAAGGGCAAGGGAAGACCGGGTCCTCGAGCCTTGGATCTTTCTGAAATAGAGACTACCTGGCAACATGATTAAATATACATGGCCGTTCTGCTCCGTGATGGCATCTAAAAGCACATTGCATACGAAAAGCTATAAAGTGTCGCCCATTTACGAATATGCTCGACAATACCCAAAAAACTCTATGTGATTTTCTATATGCCCATCTTCCCCACGAAGCCGTCGAAGTCAAACTTAGGCGGTTGCCCTCCGCCATCCTCTCCACCACCAACGCATCGCTCTCCATCCACCGCCCACGCATTACCCCCAAAGACTTGGTCACCATGCCAATCCGCACCAAATCCCGTATCGTTGTTCATGTCGACCATCTGCATTCCGCCCATGCCTATGCCTGCCCCCATACCAAAAGCGACCGACATCGAGAGGTCCATACCTGGCGAGAGGGCCCCATAGTTCGGAACCTGAGGCAAAGATTCGGAGCCGAATGATTGGGCTTCAGTTGTGAAGTCTGCAGCGTGAGCTGTCGGCGAAGGATTTAAATTGGAAGCCGATTGTTGGAAGCTGTATCGATCCCCGAACGAGGCCATCGTCGAAGCCTGGTGGGCATAGAGTCCTGGGACGGTATTGCCTTCGAAGGGACCACCTTCAAAAAGGGCAGCCACAGTCTTGATAGCGTTCCCTAGACCTGGAGAGAAATCCTCTTCCGATAGGGACCAGCGATCTAGCCCAGCCACGCCCTTTCTTCTCAGCTTGACGCCCCCTGCCAGATGGCTCAGATCATCCTCGTCTTCTTCCCCTGATCTTGCCGGAAGAGGAGGTCCTTGCCTTGACATGCCATTCATGGCAGATACTGGGACTGCAGACGTCAGAGAGTTCAGCGCTCTTTGACGGAGGCGAAGGAGCATCGGAAGGCCCTTCCTGGCACGGCAACCCTCGTGGGCAGCGGCGGAGATGTCACAAACAATGGACATGGCCTGGAAAGCTGGAGTGGCGTAGACACAAGTAGGCGCTTGGATGGCAATTGCGGCACTATCGCGACACATCGGTATACTATTGCAAGACCAGGGTGAAACTACTCACAGACAAACAGCCGCCGAGAATGCATGGAACCAGAAGAACCACCATCTAGCGATCAGCCTAGGATGATAGACTACCAGTGCCTTCACCAGCTGAACGATCTCAAGTGCACTGTCGAAGAGGGCCAAAAAACTTTCTCCTAATTTGGCATTGCGGGCAGGGTCTTGTGGGGACTCTTTCAGGGCTCGCGCAAACAGTGGTCTATTCAAAAGAAGACGAGTTTGAGCGATCTGTAGTCGGATGGCGAAACGGTGGATGACGAGGTGCGATTCACCCTGGGAGTTGATGGGCATATCTAGAATTGGGACATCTGGCATTAAGTTTGCAGGCAAGTTTTTCTTGTCTGCGGCAGTCGTTAGCACGAAGAGATCTGTATTCTAGTTGACCATGCTGGAGCCTTACAGTCTTGCAGGTCGTGATCCAGGTCGATGACCACAGAGAATGACACTGGCTCAATCTGAGTTTGAATCTCGATCGCGCGCTCCATGAGCTTCATGAGCTGGTATCTCGACCTGTGGACTAGTGGAGACGTTAGCATAACTTCTCAGGGCTGCTGCCAGAGACTCACAGCCAGTCTCGTCCTCTATAAGCTCCAGCACTTCCGGCAGCTTAGTGTCTGACCAACGACCACTCGTGGAAGATGGCCTCCCAAAGCATAGTGACTGGTACTTGTCTATAGACTACCGTAATTCCAGTCAGCAGACATTATCGTTAGCGAGAAGATGACGTACGACAATGTCCCACCAGGCCACCCTTCGCTCCTCAACCTCATACTGTGACAAGCCGAAGTGAGACCCATCCCTATGCAGCCCAATCTATGACAAGTGAGCTTGATCCTGAAATCAGTAAACGTGGACTCACACTCTGAGCAATCTTGATGGCTGTGCCCAAGATCGGCCAGAACACCTCAGCACCATTCCCGCCTGCCCCTCGTCAGCCCTCAACTTTCATAGCTTCAGGAAACCTCACTTTTGTCGTCGAGAATGTAAGTTCCCATCAGGTGCAGTGCTTGTACTGTAGCAGGACTAGCCTGATGAGTGCCCGATGTTGAGATACAAGCACGCCCTAACAGATAGAGTTCTTCGCTTCGAGGGTGATCTGTGGGATACGATCAGCCTTTGTCAGACGAGTCAGGTATTGACTGACAAGGGACTCTATTCAGATCGTACGACGCCCCCAGCGCCATGACAAGAAAGACACAGGCAAGTTTGTGAGCATTCACTGGGGACTCGGTGTCATACGCGTTGAGGATGTGATCGTTTTCGAACATCTTTCGAGGGATAGGTTGGTATCTGAAGTCGATTGACACCGATTAGGCACGATAATGGAACATAGGAGACTCACTGCCAGTTGACATTCTCCCAGTAACTCTCGACTAACGACCTGCCCTCTACGTCGTAATCGGGCAATCGAGCTCGCAGCCCCTCAATGTCATAAGACGCTTCACTGCCTGGCAGGAGAGAATGTTGTAGCCCGGGAGTCTGATCTGGAATCATGCCCGGGATTTGTGGTTTCTGTATAGGTGAGGTGAAAGCCTGTCCAACATAGGAGGTGTGCTGGCCGCTTGACGAGCGTCGAAGACCTTGCTGAGGTGCCCCTACGCGTATTTCATTCTCATCCTCGTCTTCAGACTCCTTCTCTTCGCGAAGGTATTCACTCCCCGCAAAACTCCCAACAAACTTGGCCTGTCCCTCTTTGCCTATAGTTAGCATTCCGAAAGCAGCTTCCAGCCTGTCCTCGTGTTCCCGATCTCGAGGCGCAAGGTTCTTGATGGATGGGGCGACTGATCCCGATGTCGAAGATGCGCTCTGGGGCTGGACCGTAGCCCACGAGGACTCCTTCGGATCCCTGGGGGCATATAGATAAGGGGTGGCGAGAAGAGGATGGGGTGCAGTCGATACTTTAGCTTGCAGTTCCGCCAGGGCCATTTCCAGCTCATAGATGCGTTCATGTAGCTATATCACAAAAGTCAGCTTTCGATGTAAGAGCTCTCTTTGGGTATCCATACCTCTTCGGTGTTTGCCAAGATAAGCCGTTTTCCCTTGCCTGTCTTTGCTTCACCACTGGGGCAAATTTGGGCGCATCCTCTCCGCTGGCCTGACAGGGTTCGGATCAGTCCTCGTCCTCACGGCAGACGCTTTCTCACAAGTAGTGCACGGCCATACTCTTGAGCACTTCAGTTTGAGACTGTCGCAACACAGTCAGCTTGACAATCGCAATAGAGGTTCCTATTTGCGGATGCTCACCGGCGGCACTCAGCACAGCTGAAGCTTTGCTTGGGCCGTTTCTCTCCCGGTGCTCTGGGTGCAGCTGTCTTGCCCGCTATCTTGATCCCTCCTACTCCTGCTGTGACTGCTGCCGGGGGCATGTTGGATGATGGAGATGCAAAGACATCGAGGAGATGCAGACAAGATAAGCACACCGCGACCACGCGCGCATTTTCCGAACCTCGGCCTTCCTTCTGCCGAAATCCGGGCGGCGAGCTGACATCTATGAGAGCAGTCGTTGGATAATGCATAGTGCATACGGAGCAGAAAAACATTGATTATAAGATCAGACACAGTCCAAAAGTCCTCGTACATCTCCATACATCGATCACTCTCTCGGTGCTCGGCCATTATAATCTTTCCCAACCTCCACAGTACTATACGCGCAAGCAGACGTCAGCGAAGTTCAAACACCACAGTCGCAGAGAGGCTTACTAGTTGCCAAAGCAGTCATATGCAAAATCAATCTCCTCGATTCGTTTCTGCAAAGCAGAGACCACAGTGTCGAAAGCGCAGAGCCCGTCCTTATTCCACTCGCAACCTTCGTAGCTGTCGTGGATGGGAATAACAGCATCATTACTGTGCCATTGTCAGCTGCCGAATGTATCTTTAGATGCCAGGACCTACAGGATGAACCGAATCTGCTTTGTGGGCACCAAGTCTGAGCATTCTACCACCTGAGCCACAAGATGCGTGGCAAAAGGCACCACTTTCGATGCCACGAACGAAGAGTTCTCTACCCTCTTATCTACCGGGAGAGGTCCAGTCGAGTATAGTGCTGTCAAATTAAGCGCGGAGAGAAAGTCGAGGACAACGACTTCGTGTGTGGCATCGGCATAGATGGATTGATTGAGCGGAAAGTAGGTGGGGTCGCTGTCCAAAGTAGAGTTCAGAGCAGAGTCTGATGTGGTGATCGGCGTTTGGGTAAAACGAGCCACATACTCCTCCAGGAACCCCTTACCTTGGGCTGCAGCCACAGGGGAGCCGAATCCTTGCTCATAGTAGAACGTGAGGTCGTAGTAGTACTCAAAGTTCTCAAAGTCTTCCTCTGTGAAGACCTTGCAGAAGACAGAATAGCCCAGAGAGACCGTCTCGTACGCGCAGAGCTGGAGCATAGCAATGATGTCCTCCGAGTCAAGCTCAAGGCCGGATAGCTGACCTTGAAGCCTGTCGAGAGTCCCGTTGAAAGCATTCTGAGCGAATTGGGCAGCGGCGGTGCTCCCCAGCTTGCCCCGGAAGTTGTTGGCGTTGTTGCAGACGGAGTAGGGAGCGCCGGTGTTGTTGACGCCGTCGGCCTCTACCATGAGCTCAATGTTGACCTCGTCGAGATACTCGGGTACACCAAAGAAGCCGGCTGCAAAGTTGGCGGTAGTCTTGACCATCCGGTCCTACTCTGCATCAGATCATGATCACTTTCTCGGGTCGAAGCCAGTACTTACTTGACTCTCTGTCCTGAAGACAGGAAGCGTCCCTTGCTCCGTAAAGTTGTTCAACAGTATCCCATACTGTTGCCTGTTCGCCAGCCCAAGACTGAACTCCTGGAGTCTTCCGAAAGGCGACAGCAGCTCCGCTCCCAGCTTGTACGTCCACCCATTCAAAAAGCCCAGCTCGCCCTCAGCAGTCAAATTCGTGGCATTGGCGAGTTTCTCGGCAAAGAGTGTCGGGGCAGCGCCAGAAGTGGGGTATCGCGCACCATGTCGATAGATGATATGGACCTGAGTGATGGAGCAGTTTCCGGGTACGAGCGGAGACGTGTCGTCCAGCCCAAAGTCGGAAGACGGCACAGAGTACCAAGGGGACAGATTACCCCAATGCTTGAAGACATCAAAGTCGCTGTCACTTTCTTCGAGTGGGTCTTCGACGACAAGCGGAAAATTGCCGGTGGCGCCAGTGTTGGAAGCATAGATGGCTGCTGTGGCTGCCGCTCCGGGCTCGACACCCGTGGGAGTGGGTCCTGGGTAGCCTACTTGGGACTCTGGCGGGAAGAGCTGAGAGTTGACTCGGGCTTGATCAAATCAGAATAGATCAGCGCAAGGGTATTGGATAACCACTCACTACCGTTAGGCGGGAACACATCAGAAGTCGTAGAGCCCGTGCCAGAGTCATCGGCGCGTACCTTGATGACAGCCGCATTGGCGAGACCAGAAACCAGGCTGATGAAGGCTCCCACTACGGCAAGAGAGGAGGAACGCATGTCGAGAGCTGGAAATACATGGGGAGTGCGATTGGACTGGTCCCGACTTATATAGTCTGAGAGCTTGCAATGTTTCCGCCCGAAAGAGTAAGTACCTTGATAAGATCGACATCTCCGTCGTCGGTGTCTCGTGAGCGTGCGCTTCCCGGGCCGTTAGCGTCTTTTACCACATCGGGCGTTCCGTGCCATATTCTTGATCACTTTTCTTTCCTACCACATGGTGCGCGTAATCTACTGACAGAGATGTCTCTCGTCACATGGAACAGCCAATGGACCCACATGGCTGGTTCGACACATGGTATACCGGCCAAGCTGCCAGCAACCGACCCAAGAACTGTTGTTCGGCCTTCCGATTGATAGGCTCTCCTCAGTCTGCTGACTTCGAAACTTGCCGTAAGGTGCACATGGGCGGTAGATGATGTCCGAATCGGATGCGTGAGGGCGAAAAGACAAGAATTATACATCTATCGCATGTGAGATGCCTCTATTATAAGCTGCTGTTCTATACCTGCGATCACATCTTTTATATCCAAACTCTCACCGAGGAGGACCCCAAGATTATACTGTCCTTGCCCACCAATGGGGCTTTTGATTCTTTCTCAAACACTTTATAATTCCTGTAGCAGCACCCATATCAAAGAACATCTAAATTTCGAGGAGCTCGGCCATTGTAATCATGGCCAGCCTCGACAGTGCTACACACCTTGATTAGCTCAGGCGCACGATATGGAAGAAAGTGACGCACTAGTTTCCGTTACAGTCATAGTCAAAGTCGATCTCTTCAAGACGCTTCTGAAGAGCAGAGACGACAGTGTCGAAAGCGCAAAGACCGTCCTTGTTCCACTCGCATCCTTCGTAGGTCTTGTCCAGGGGAAGAACGGCGTCGTTACTGGAGAGCAGTATCAGTACAGACACAGAACAGAGGCTGTTGACAATCACTCACATGATGAATCGGATCTGCTTGCTGGGAGTCTGATCAGAGCACTCGAGTACTTGAACGACCATGTGTGTCGCAAAAGGCACGATTTGAGACGCCACAAACGACGCCGAGTCATCTCGCTTGTCGATAGGAAGAGGCCCGGAGCTGAAGAGGGCAGAGAAGTTGAATGCGGTAAAGGCATCGAGCAAGACGACTTCGTGGGTAGCGTCGGCGTAGATGGATTGGTTGAGTGGGAAGAAGGTGGGGTCGCTGTCGAGGGTGGCGTTGAGAGCAGAGTCGGAAGCGTTGATAGGTGTCTGGGTAAAGCGGGAGACAAACTCCTGGAGGAACCCCTTGCCCTGCGCCGCCCCGACGGGAGAACCAAAGCCATTGTTGTAGTAGAAAGACAAGTCGTACTGATACTCATAGTTTCTGAAGTCTTCCTCAGTGAAGAGGGGGCAGAAGGCAGAGTAACCAAGAGTGTCGGTCTCGTAAGAGCAGAGAGCAAGCATGTTGAGAACATCGGAAGTGTCGATAGTGATACCATCAACCAGCTTTTGGATGCGCGCGACAGTCTCGTTGAAAGCGTTCTCGGAGAATTCGGTAGCGGCTGTTGAGCCCAAGCTGCCTCGAGAAGCAATGTTGCCGTTGGGGCACGTCTCGTAGGGAGCACCCGAGTTGTTGACGCCGGATGTTTCAACGAGAATCTCGATACTGACTTGGTCGAGGTACTCGGGAACGCCAAAGAACCCAGCAGCAAAGTTTTCGGCCGTCTTGACCATTCGATCCTATACGACATCAGCTCCCACACCAGGTTGCAGGGGGTGAAACTCACTTGAGACTCCGTCCTAAAGACGGGCAATGTTCCAGCCTCCGTAAAGTTGTTCAACAGTGAGCCGTATTGCTGCCTAAAAGCGACACCGAGCTCAAAGTTCTGCAACCTCCCGAAAGGCGACAAGAGCTCAGCACCGAGCTTATAAGTCCAGCTATTGAGGAACTCGAGGTCGTCCTTGGCCGTGAAGCTGCCATTCTGGGCTGTAGCGTTGGCGAGCTTGGCAGCAAATTTGGTGGGTCCGGAGCCGGACGTGGGGTATCGCGCACCATGTCGGTACAGCAGGTGGACCTGCGTGATCTCGCACTGCTCTGGAATAAGGGGAGAAGTGTCGTTCAATCCATAGAATGATGAGTTGACAGAGTACCAAGGCGAGAGGTTACCCCAGTACTTGAAGACGTCAAACTTGTCGCTGTTGGCGTCCTTGGGCGGTGAGGCGGCGAGGGGAAAGTTGCCGGACTTGCCGTCATTGTAGGCATAGACGGAGGCGGTAGCAGCAGCTGCGGGCTCGACACCAGTAGACGTGGGACCGGGGTAGCCCACAGCGCTTTCGGGAGGGAAGAGCTCAGAGTTTACCGACGCTATAGGGCAACATGAGCTTCTTTTGCATCGAGTAGGTATTGCTATACTTACTGCCACTAGGAGGATAGACATCAGAAGTAGCCGACCCGACATTGGCCTCGGCTGAACGCTTCTCTACCACGGCAGCGCCCGCAAAGATGGGGAGCAGAGCAAGGAGGACAGCGGTACGCATCTTTTGTCGGTTTGTCGTGTGATCAAGAGAAGCTGTAGATGTCGGAAGGCTACCTGGGGATTATCCACTACTCCAGTCACGACATTATATACCAGTCTCATGCCGAGACACCATCATCGGCGGTCCGACATCCATCAACGTGCAACGTGCGCCAGGCGTAATGACCGATCATTGGAGATGGAGTCTGCTTGTCTTTCTCGGGTACCTGACCGTGGGGTGAAGAGAGGTTACCGCAATGGGAAGTTCGAGTGCCGAGACTGTGTCGAGAATAGAACAGGATATAAACCTTGGCGTATGGCGAGAAGTGGGTGGAAAGGGCGGGACGGGCCACGCGCACGTTCGTGCCCTTGAAGCCGCTCTCCACGCTCTCACGGTAATGTGCGGTGTTCAGATCCCCCAGACTGAGACAGAGGGCATGGCGGGTGGACCAATAGCGGCACAAGCGCGCGTGTCATTGATAAATGAGGGCGAACAAACCAATCACTCGTCTGTGCAGCAGAGGTGTCGCGTCGCACGCGTTCCGGGCTTCCGTCTCTCGCTCCATGTCTCCGCATTGCCCATGAATCACAGTCATGACATATCTCTAATGTATTGGCCCAGCAGATATTCATATCCGTATATGTATTAAAGATTGATCCAAAGTAAAATCCCTGGGGAAGCAAAACAAAGACAAAGACCCTTCACTGTCCAACTCATCTCGAACGTGGATAGAGATTAGGTTTCGGATATTATGATCCAACAAACTTATTCGTCCGCTAAAAGATGACAACAAAGCAATCAGTAAATGTGATTTCAAGGTGTGGATACAGAAAGAAAGGTGCAGGGTATCGGATCACGGGGGTGGAGGAGACGGATGGTTCAAAGATTACTCTTGTTTGCCACCAGCAAAGCTCTCTGTGAATCGGCTCAAGAGACCCTTCCCCTCAGCAGGAGGTGTCTCCAACTCTTCCGCTGGTCCCCCATCCGGACCCACGCTCTCGCTAGCGACAGATGACCCGACACCTGCACCTTCTTCCTGGACTACAGGAGCAGAGGATGGAGCCTCACCAGTTGTGGGCTGCTCACGGGCAGGAGCCTTCTCTTCTCGGCGCGACAAATGGCGGCCATTGTCAGAGGCAACCTCGGCTTCGGGAGCGAGCTGGGGCTTCTCTTTCTTCTCGACCTATGCAGGCGTCAGCGCATGCGGAATACAGAATGAAGTAATACTCACAGCGTAGCCGTTGGGTCCAACTTCGACGGGGGCACCGCCGTGAGAGTACGCTGGTACCTCATCCTCGGCAGTGTGCGCCTCATCCTCCAACTCTTCTTCCTCGTCCTCTTCAACAGAGCTTCCCTCGTCATCTTCTTCCTCTTCGTCATCCTCCAACTCTTCTTCAGAGTCACCGTAACCGACAGCCCTGACAGCCTGGGAGATGGGACCTTCACGCTCCATCTGCTCACTGGCAACGAGGTACCTGGCGACGAGCATACGGAGGTCGTTCCAGACCTCCATCATCTCCTCGTGAGACCTAGCACGGAAAGTGAAGGCAGTGTCGCTACCTCGGAACAAGCCTCGACCGCCAGGGGTCTTGCCGTAAGCCGAGGTACCATCCTTGCGACCCTCAATGTGGAACTTGTGCGACTTGGCAGTAGCTGCAGAAGAAGGGGGACCGAGGGTACAAGCGGGGAGGAACAGAGACCAGACGGGGTGGGTAGCGGTAGAGGGGTCGGAGGAAGCATACTCGTGGAGATAACCGGCAGGGGTAAGGACATAGAATCCTTCCTTGTAGGACTTGGTGAACCTCTTCTTGCGCTCGAGCATACCAGAGTAGACAGGAGTGACGGAGGGGTCGCTCTTGCCAGGGTAGTCAATGAGATCGGGGTTACGCAAGGGAGTTTCGGGGTCGAGGAGGTGGTCGGATCGGGCAGCGAACGAGATCCATTCTCGGTCAGGCATGAGCTGAGCCATGTTGACACCGAGGTTGCGCCAGGTCTCCTGGACAGACTCGGACATGCGGGCCTGCCACTCGTCGAAGGTGGACCAGGCAGACTGGATGGAGCGGACGATGCCCTCTTCAAAGTGGGCAGAATTTTGCTGCATGATGATGATGGATTTTTGGAGAGCATTCTCTTCGTTGACCTGGGCGGAATTAGCACGACATCGCCGATATATAGCGCCATTTACTCACCTGCCTCTGGAGCTGCTTCAAGACAGCCTGGTTGACCGCGAAGGGGTCCTCCTTGGAACCGACCTGCATGGGAGTGTTGTTGACCGAGTTGATCGCCCTCGCCAAGTCGGCGATAGCCCTCGTGGAAAGCTCCCTCTCCTTGGCCACGCTGGTAGCGAGCTTGCCAGTGTCATTCTGCACATTCTTGATGTGCGCCTTGATCTCGGTTCTCAGCTTTTGCAAGTGCTGCACGATGGAGGACTCGATAGTCCTGGCGAGAGAGGCGTGGGAATCCGCAATCAAGCGGGTCTTGTCTCGGATGGTGTAAAACACATCCTGCATACCGCCTTCACCGAGGAACTGGTTTCCGGGTCTGAAGGGAACTTGGATGACGGCACCAAGCTTGGTGAGCTCCTTGGAGGTGTTGGCCTCAATGTCGGCGATACCTTCGAAATAGGCTGCGGGGGAAAAAAACTGTCAGCGGGATCACCGAGGGGGTGCATCAGCGAGGCTGAACGCACCTATGAGCATCTTGACGATGCCCTTCCAAGCCTGGAAGCGCTCGATGAGGATGTCCGAGGGTTTGAGCTCATGGGGGGCAGTGTTCTTCTTGATCTGCAAGGGGTCAGCGAGTGGCTCGGTCTTGAGAAACGGGGACTGACGAGGGACTGATTCCTGGAGACGGAGGAGCCCGCCCTGGAGGTGGTGCGGGAGAGGGTGTCAAAGTGGGACATGGATGAGATGCAGATGAGAGAGAGATGCTGTTTGGCGGTGCCGAGAGAAAGGGCTTTTATAGGGGCGGCGGGACAGAACGCTAAATCAGGTGATGTCATCGCCCAATCCGGCTATTCACCCATGACAGCCCATCCCGTGTGGCACTTCGGCCCCCGTCACCATGCCATCATGATCGCATAATCTTTGATCGAGCACTATCGGGCTATTGGCACATCGATTGCATGTATCGCGCATATCTATTACAATATTATATGTAGCATCTATCTAAGCAGCCTGCCTCACCATCGGTACCTCGCTCCCCGCCATGCTCGCCCGCGGCAGGTCCCCCTCCACCGTGCTCATGCTCTGGTTGTCTTGGGGCATGTATGCGTGCGAAGGGTACCCGTTTGACGAGTAGCCAGCAGCAGCAGCGTATGGCCCTTGCGCAGAGCCATACGGCCCCGATGCAGCTCCCGAATTGTAACCTCCTGCTGCCGGAGCAGCACCAGGAGGAACATTACCGTACGCCGCCGGCCGCTGGTTCACCTGGGCCATCACCATGTTATCGCTGCTCGTGGCAGCAATCCCAGCGCCATACCCTGCCGCCGGATGCGCCGCCTCGGGATACCTGGGAGGCGAGTACTTTCTAGGGTTGTTTCTCGCCAACATTTCCTCTTGCATGACCTTCTCCTTGTCTTGCCATCGCTCGGGGTGAATCTTGAACGCACGACGACCGGTAAAGTCGTGGCCCTCGCCGTGGCGTTCTTGCCATTTGGCGACTTGGCGCATGTAACGAGGGGAAGACTTGCCAGCAGGCCAGAGGTCGGCGACCAGGGTCAAAAAGTAGAATGAGAGAACAAAGGCGACTGCCCATTCAAGAGAGGCGGCGGCAGAGGTGATGGTGTTGCAGGTGTCGGCAGAGTAATTCTTGTAAGCGCCAGAGTTACCACGGCACTGTCAAATGTATTTAGTTGTATCAACGGAAGCTAGAGGAATACTCACGACACCGTAACAAGCACCGAATGAGATAGCCAACGAAATGGCAAAGACTACAATAACGGCCTTGATGATAGAGTTACGCCTCAGAGACTTTCGGTCCGGGTGTTCGTGATGCAGGCACAGCTGGAGATACAATTAGCAACATCCTCATTGTCGATTGAGTTGACTCACCACCTCGATACAGTGGCACGCAGCAGAGATGGCCACTCCGACAACAAAGACCACGGTCATGATCCAGTGTACAGTCCCATGCGTGAATGCATTAAACTAGTCGTGGCGTCAGCATGAGGTGCATTTCCTTGTCATGAGATTACATACCGCAGAGAGCAAGATCAGACCGACTGATCCGACGACACACCAAAAGATGGCAGCCCAGTCTTGAAACTGTTGTCAGCGCACAGCATCACGACAGCGCAGCAACTCACTGAAGAAAATCTCTCTCCTCCTCATGTCCGCAGGCAGCCGCGAGATATGTCTCAGCCACCGCATAGCAACGAGCGACGAGATATAAAACCTGCCCCATACTCGTCAACGTGGTACAACCGCTTCCTTGAACGATATATACTCACGCGGCTACACACGCACAGATACAGATGAACAGTGTTTGGTGCGTTGCACCAACATCACTGATAAACACCACGCTCGCCTCATCGCTCTTGTATCTCGGCTTGCCGGCGACAACCCAGAGAACGAGGAGAGCGAGGATACCGCCAAGCCAGGTGCCAGCGGCGAGGAGGGGAAGGATCACATAGGGGCCAAAGACTGGCATGACCAAGCGTCGTTAGCGCGACCGCCACATGGGTTGACAAAGGAGCAGGCCTGAGCTCGCGAGTTGGGTGATGCACAAACGTACAGATGTGGGAGGTGAGGGTGCGGGTGTTGAGCCACCATGGCAGTCTCTTTCCATCTGCGCCTCTCATATTGTCCACTGAGTGCTGTACGGTCGTCTGAGCTGGCGAATTTGAGATTCTATCGGTGCCTCCGAGGTAAACAGATGTTTGAGTGTTGTTGATATGTGCAGGGCAGGAATAGAAGGGATGTCAAGAAGGAACGATGATATATGAAAATATTTATCCTGTCATCGAGAAACCTGCAACATGCATGACGGTGTTCGGCCAGGGAGTGGATTCAAAAAACTCGCGCTAGGCCGACGTCACCCTGCCTCCCTGTCACCGCACACCGGCCGCCGACCTCGGTTGGCTCGCGCGACCGGTTGATTGTTGACATCCCGTTTCGTGATTATGATGCGCGATTACGTACAGCCATGTTTACATACTCCTCCACCAAATGTGAGTATTCTACAGCACGAGTACGCCTTAACCATAGTATCATCTTCTTGTCTCTTTGCATGAAAACATCAAAAGCACCTTGCGCTCGCCGTCGGGCTTGACTCCAATTACGCAGCGTCCTTCTTGGGTCGACCTCGGCCCTAGCACAGCAATAGTCAGCAAATCTACATGACCGACATCTTGCCCGACATCTTGGTAGACCACAGCTCACCGAACGCCCGGTAGCGAGCATGACTCACCTTGGACTTGGGCTTCTCTACCACCTCTTCAGTAGCCTCTGCGTCATCTTCCTTCTCAGCTTCCTCCTTTGCAGCCTTTGCACTCTTCTTGGCGGGCGCCTGGGTTTGTAATTCAGCGATGAGCCAAAGCACCACGTGATTTTAGAAAGACCTACCTTTCTCTTCTTCTTTGGCACCTCCTCTTCCTCCGCGTCATCCTCTACATCCTCATCGCTGGGCTCCTCCTTCTTCGACTTCTTGACAGGGGCCTGTATTTCGATTAGTAGATGTAGTCAGAAACTTCCAGAGCTGGATCTCTGGAAACTCACCTTTCGCTTCTTAGGAGCGGCCTCCCCAGCATCCTCGCCCTCTTCATCCTCATCCTTTTTGGCCTTCTTACCACCCTTCTTAGCGGCGGGCTTTTTGGCCGTCAGCTCGGCTTCGGCGTCTTCGGCACCCTCTTCGACCTTTTCAACCTTGGCCGATTCGGGGACATCTTCAGGGCGGACTGTCAAAGCCCGTCAGCATCAAGCTCTCAGATGTACAATGATGGCGTTACGTACCATGTCCTTCAGCCCAAGCATCCTTCACCTAAAAAGAGATCAGCGGAAGATGACACACAACACACAAATACTTGCCTTTTGCTGCAGATCCTCACTGTAAACAGAAGAGATGTTGTGTAAGCTTGAAGGCCCTTTATCTCCATCCTCCTTCGCCATTGATTTTCTCCGACGTTCTCCATGTGGTGGTGGGACTTACGACAAATCCTCATCTATGCACCATCGTCAGCCACCGGCCAAACTGTGTGTACAAGGCACAGACTCACATCCATCAAGCTCCTCAGCCTCACTGAAGTCTTCCTTCCAGTGCTTGATGACTTCAGGCGTCACGCCTATGCAATCCCCCATCAGCCAACACTCAAGCGTGGTATGAAGTAAGACTGACAACCCCAATGGCGCCACTTGAAACTACCTCCACGGCCTGGGATCTCAACCCAGACACCGAGACGGAGCTGGCCCTTGTCGATCTTGGTCTTGAAGCAGGGTTTCTTGCCTGTGGGCGTGAAAATTTAGTGGTCGACTCATGAACGTGTGGGAGAGGGAATGAAGCGCGTGGAGGGAGGCATACCGTTGCACAGAGCGCGGCTGGAGGAGGCGAGTTCGAGTCTGTAAGCGGGCATGGTGGGGGTGGAGTAACGTATTGGGAGAAGATGGTAGAGAAGAAGAAGAGAAGTAGAATCGATGGGAGTTGTTGATGGGCACCCAATTCTGACATGACGTGGGTTGACGCGTCGAGTGATACGCCTAAGGCACGCACCACGATCGAAGGGGTGGCAGGGCGTGGCACAGTGCATGCATATGGAAAGGTTGAATAGTAGTTGCAATGCCTGCTAGCCATACCAGTGATAGTATCTGTACCCTCTATGCATGTTGACTGATGTCAACCCAGTTCCCCCGCCTCTCGTAAACATCGCTACTCACCGCAGATCATCCCAAAAGTCTCGACCGCCGCGTCGAATCTCAAAGTCTCGCGTTGTTTTCGTCTTTCCATCTCTCCCCACTTCTATTCTCGTCAGCCAGTCTGCGCCATATCTCCTCCTTCCCGCTCTTCCACCTATATCGCCCGGATACCATCGTAACTACTGGCTAGTATCAGCCCGTTCTCAGCTCGCCACTGCATCCCACGGCACCCCACAACTCGACCTGACGACCAGCGAGAGAAGACGACAATTGTCTTGACTGAATATAAACGTCCTCACACATCTCTTGCGATATCTACACCTCTATTGAATTGATCTGGCGTGCATTGCAGGTTTGTGCCCCCCTAGCTCAGGCCCACCAGCCACGCTGACAGCGCAACAATAGGGCAGTTTCCACCATGGCAGAATCTATTACCACTACAGACCCCGCCTCTCTCCCTCTTCCTCCCTCCGCAGACCCTCAAACAGCCGACGCTACTGTCCCGGAACCTCTGCTTGTGGAGGGCGAGACCGTGCCAGATGATCACGAAGAGACATTGAGTAGCGAGGACTCTTTCCCGCCCGCCGCCCAAGCCCTCATTGCCTCTCTCCGCTCGCAGCTAGGCGCCTCCCAGCAACACGTGTCTACCCAAGCCACCAAACTCTCCTCCCTCGCCGACCTCGCTGTCGAACACTCTCAGCTCAAAGACCAGCACGCCTTTGTGTCTGCCGCCAAAGAAGCCGTGGAGGCTCAGCTCAAGGAAGAGGTCAAGAAGCGGGAATTCGCAGAGGAGAGCGTAGAGATGCTCAGGGGGCAGGTGGAACAGGCTAGAAGAGGCGTCATGGCTCTGCAAAAGCAGGACGCCGATAGGAAGCGAATGAGCCTCATGAGCGGTATAAATGTGTTGGGGCTCGGCGTACCCCAGCAAGGAGAAGAGGAAGTATTGGCGAGTACGAGCGAACAAGCTGCCAAAGATGTCAAGGCTTCTAGGCGTACCAGTATGATGGCGAGATCTCATCGCAGGATCAGCTCTCAGTCAGAGCCCAGTGAGGTCAGTGCCTCCCTCGACAGGCAGTCTTTGGTCTCGCCCAATGTTCCTGGCCAGGCCCGACTTGGCGGCCTGCGCGAACTACGCCTGAGCTCCACCCCTCCTACCGCTACTCATCACAGTCCTAGTCCTCCTGCCCAGCCCAACACCACCCAGGCTGGCTACTTTGACGAATCAGTCACCCAAGCAGCTCTCCAATCTGCTGTCGCTGCTAAAGCTGCCGCCCTCGAGGATGCGAATCAACTCCGCTCTGAACTTCGTCAACTGCAATCCAGACTAGCAGAGAGCGAAGAATCGCGGATAGCTACCGAAGTGTGTCTGAAGGCTTTGCGAGAATTTATGGCTTCGCACGAAGGCGGGGAGGGTGGTGAAAGCGCAGCGGAAGCGTTGAAGGGCATCTCGCTCCCCCCTCTCCCCACCGACCGAGACCCAGACGAGCCTCTTCAGCAAGAAGCAAAAGGTTCTGGCTGGGGTTTCAAGCTTTGGGCCACAGGTGCCAAGTCCCCCTTACAACCCCCGAGTGAAGCCCTCTCTCCTGGTCGTTCCCGCGCTGCTTCTAACGCCACATCCAATACCCACATTTCGCCCCTGCCCACGCCTAATGAAGAGGGCACTTCTTTGGGTCTGAGCGGTTTCGTGAGCAGCTGGACGAAAGGCGTCAGGGCGGCTTCACCGCAAAATGCTACCTCTCCCAATGCTGCCCCTGTGCCCGCCCCTGCGAACGCAAAGCTTTCCGTCGGGGGCGGCGGGATGGGCTCCTTCTTTCGTCGCCGCACCGCCGAGTCTGTGAATGACAAAGAATTGCCCGTACCGCCGATTGCAGAAGACGCTATCGATATTTCAAGCCCTGTGCCGAGGACGGAGGAGGAAAAGGAGGCGGACAGGAGGAGGAGTAACGCGACGACATTGAGCGATCTGGAGGCGGAATTGGGGACGCCGCATGGGAGCCTGGAGGCCAAGCCCGATGGGGAGCTTGAAGGTGCAAAGGGCAAATTTGGCGAGTTGGAGAGGCTGGATGAAGTCGAGATATAGGCTCGTGCTTGAGATCCCTTTTTGGGTGTTATCTTGGATTATTATAGCTATACGATTGTGTACATTGGTACCATTCACGATCTGTCCTAGATGGGTTTATGCTTTATGAGAGACGAGCGTTATGATTGACAATGCTGCAGCTACATGCAAAGAAGTATATGAATCACCGGCACATGGTGTGGTTATTGCCCAACGTCCATCAACTCTTCTCCAAACAAGCCGCCTTCCATCTCGCCAAGCACATAGTCGAGCATGTAGCTCTCCTGGACAAGCTTATCCACTCGGTTAAAGTGTCGCTCAGAGTAGGGAATGAGACCCTCCAAGAGGTCCTTGATGCTGATAGGCGCCGCAAGATCAGGTCTAGCCTTCTTCTTCTTCTTCTTCTCCGCATCGGCGTCTTCAATCTCCACGTCCTCATCGTCATCATCATCAGCGCGTGTAGGTATCTTGTTTGCAGACTCGAAAGCCTCCAAGATATCTTCCGCGCTCCTCAACTTCAGCACCGTATAAAGGATGATCTGTGCCACAGGGGCTGTGCGCGCATTCGCGTTCCAGTCACGCACAAACTTCAATAGCCTCACGAGGTCAACACCAGGGAGCGTCTCCAAGATCTGGTCGATCTCCTTGCTTCCCGTCAGGCCTTGCTCCTCTTCACTGACATTAGGTTGACGCCCACTGATGACCGTGGAGAAGAGGTTCAACAGTCGACCAGGCTGAGCCATACTGAGGGCCAAGAGGATGGCACGTCGGTAGTCTTTGAGGGCAACATAGTTGACAAAATCTTGTTCGACTTGGACGGCTTCCACAAGCTTGGTGTTGGCCTCTGTCTGGTCGAGGAGGGTGGTGTCGTGCCAGATGGTAAGAAGGGAGTCGGCACCAGCGGAGAGGATGGTGGCTTCGTCGGAAGATGTGGCAAGAGCCCAGATCTGAGGGAATCAGCTTTTGTTATTGGATTTCTATGCAAGGGACGTACCTTGTCCTCATGGTTGTCCAACGTCTTTACACACTCTTCGTCCTTGATATTCCAGAGCTTGACAAGCCCGTCAGATGACGAGGACACCAGTTGTTGACCGTTAGACATGTAGTCCACTCGAAGCACAGAATTTGTGTGGCCCTCGAATGTCTGCAGAATTGTCAGTTTATGAAGAAACGTGAAAATATTGAGCTCACCTTGAGACATGTAAAGTCATCCAAGCTCCACAACTTGATCGTCTTATCGGCACTTCCACTCGCCACAACCTTGTCATTCCTGCTGAACCTCACAGTCCAAACACCTCGCCTATGCCCGTTGCAGGTACCCAGATTCTTGAACCCTCCCTCAGCACCTTGTCCTTCAGACTTGGGCGGTGTGTAGTCGATAGTATAAAGCTTGACCGACTTGTCTTGCGAACCAGAGACGAGGAACTTGTCATTAGGAGCAATGTCGAGCGAGTTGATATCCTTCTCGTGGGCACGCAGAGTAGCCATGGATCGAGGTCTCATGGGCTCCGATGGAGGAGAAGATAAGGAAAGAGGCGAGAGATCCCACATTTTGATGGTCCTGTCCTGACTGGCTGTGAAAAGGAATTTGCCTCTGCCAGGCTCGTCCATTTTGCGCGAAAAGGCGACGGCACCGATAGACTCGGCGTGTCCTTCACAGACAGCCACACATTGCCATGTGAAACCATCTCCGCCCAAAGTCGTTGTTGGCACCCAGACACGAGCAGTGTGGTCTTTGGAGCCAGTCACGAGCCACTGGTTATCCGGAGAGACGTCAAGACAAAGAACCATATCGGTATGCCCCGGTAGTAAACGAGCATTGTGTGATGCTGTGGAATAGATGCGAAGCTGATTGGAGTTGGTAGCGACCGCCATATGCGAATGGGGGATGTCTGACGTATCCGGCAGACTAGATGAAGCAGAAGATGGGGCGGAGGGGTGGGAAAGGAAGGCGACATCGACAATCTCGTCGTTGAAACCAATGATTTGTCGTGTCGGCAGTAATGTCGAAAGAGAGTGGAAGATGATGTTCTGATCGGCGTGGGTGGAGACCAGGGACGAGTCTGTTGAAGAGTAGAGGACTGACAGAACGCCGTGTTGCTCATCCTCGTCATCATCCACTTCATCGACGCCCTCGACACCCTTCATAGCCGCCACTTGTACACCCTTGAGCACATCCCACACCCTCACAAGACCCTTATCTCCTCCAGTGTAGCAGAGCCATCTGCCCTGGGACGAGCCGTGAACGTCCTCTTCTTGCGGTAACAGTCCAAGAGATTCGATTTGCTCCTGGGCAATTATGGTTTGCACCAGTTTGGGGCCTGTCGCCTTGCCCTTGCCCTTCTTGCTACTTGACGCTTCCTCCGAAAGCATGTCCCAGACAAGAACGACCTTGTCTCGACCTCCCGTGACAGCCCATTTGCCATCCGGAGTCACAGCAATCCCTCGCACAACGCTGACATGTCCCTCCAAGACAGCTTTCGGCTTGACCGAGTTTCCACCACCGACGACCCTCGCATTTATATCTCTCAGATCATACACCCTGACTCTCGAGTCGGTTGATCCAGTCAAGAGCTCCATTCTCCGCCTTTCTTCTCCAGCAATAGTCGGGAAGTTGAAGTGCAAAGCAGACACGGGACCACCATGTCCTCTGAACATGTGCGTTACATATCCACCTTCGAGATCCCAGACCTTGACAATACCGTCAGAGGATCCAGTGGCCAAAAGTGTGTTGTCGGGGGAGACGGCAGAGACGAGGATAGGAGCATTATGGGCCTTGTTGAGAAGTCGGGTGTAGGTGAGAGAGGGAGGTTTAGGAGTGGGTGTCAAGGGTGCTGAAGAGGGAAGGGGATAATATCGGACTGTCATTGACATGTGAGATGTCAATAGAATGGGAGGGGAGGTGTGGTAGCTCAAAGCCAAAGAGGAGATGGCTGTGCCGTCCTAATTTTGACATCAGCTCAGTCGATGAGGTGTTTATGAGACTTACACCTCGTATTCTGGCAATAGCAAGACCGGTCTGAACCTCAGTCACGAGGGCTTCCTCTCCCATGGTGGTTATGAGCCATTGACCATCTTTGGTCAGCAGGACAGGACCGCCAGTATAGATGGGCGCGATTGAGCGAGGAGACGCTCGGAAGCTGCATTTTGTGAGCAATTTTCAGCCACAGCAGCTGTGTACATACCTCGATTTGAGAGACTTCTTGGGGTTGTATCCGCTCATGGTGGACGTATCTCCTTTTCTGTTGATTCTGCTCTGGTTGTAGCTGGAATCGGCCTCCTTGCAGAAGTTTTCAAAAGTGCAAAATAAATGGAATCCGACCATGAATCAAATCCTCCCCCCATTTTGGGCGTCTCTCAACTTCAGTCTTCTAGACGCGTTCGAGGCTTTAAGGCAATCGCATTAACAAAGGACAGCCAGATCAGTCGTGACGAGTCGGCAATGCAAGGTTCGAAGAAAAAATGGATGCGCAAACAACTTCATAAACAAAACAACTCGGCCGACTATGCCCGGTAAATCTCAAGCTGCGATAGGGCCGCCAGCCGAGGGAAAAGACTCCTCACAAGTCGCCAACACCATCACCCCCATGATAATCTGATACACGTGAATTTTCTATTTTATCCTCCCTCCTCCTTACACCCTCATCCCGATCGCGCCCCCGCTCAGCACTCGCACACTGGTGTGCCCCTCCCCGCGCTTGGCGCTGAGCGGGGCGATCTCGCCCGGTGAACATCGTCAAATGTCTAAGGTTGATATCAGCTTGCAATCCTTATCAGCGCAAGAGCTACGCACCACTGTCAGAGTCACTGTCATAGAACTCGTCCTCATCATCTTCGTTATCTCCCAAGTCCTCGAAAGCGACCTTGTATCTCAAGATACCGCCAATACCACCGAAACCCTTGACGAATTGAGATCCCTCCTGGGACCTGTTGGTGATGAACTCGAGCTGAGCACCGAACTCGCGGTACTTTTCAGCGAACCATTCGAGCAAAGGTTGGGGCTCGGCAGCCTGCTCCATCTCGAGACCGGTAGCCTTGTCCATAAACCTCTCACGGTCCTTGTCACCAGGGTTGGAGAAGACAATGATCTCCTCTGCAATCCACGTTAGGATGATACAAGCTGTTGGGTAAACCACTTACCACCAGCGGCGTTACGCAAAGTGTTTCGAATAGTGTCCAAGTTCTCCCAAACAATCAAAGTCTCCACAGCTCCCATGTCGAGACCCTTGAGAGTGTCGACGATACCAAAGCAGTACTTGCCAGTGTCGAGGGCGATCTCGTCAAAGTACCTTTGAACGAGCTTCTTCTCCTGCACAAACTTGACGTTGGCGAGAGAGTCGGCCGCAAGCTCAATGGCCTGGTTGAAACCGTTTTCGCCACCGTAGGAAACATCGACGACCTTGACGACCTTGGCGAGCAATCTCGGATCAAACAAGTCGGAACCGCTCAAATCGGTCTTCAATTCGGCACTACCGGCAAGAACGAGACCAGCAACGTTAACCTTGTCGTTGGTGATGAAGTGTTGAACAGCAAGTTCGGCAACTTTTCGGACGTAGTTTCGACGAGCTTCCTCTCGGAGACGGGAGAAACGAAGAGCAGATTGACCACCTCGACCATGCTTCTTGGGAAGGTCGACAGTAAACTTGTGGACAATCTCTCGGGTGTTACCGGCCAGGGTACCGAAAAGAGAACCGTTACCGTCACTGTAGCATTGTAAGTAGACGCTAGCGGATTCCACAACGACTCAGCTCACATGATGATGAAACCCCATTTAGAGTCGTTTTCCAGGAGCTCTTCAAGCGCCTCAACGTGGAATCTACTGTCACACATGTACAAAGAAGTGTTGATGGGCTTGAAGGGTTCAAGGGCGAACGAAATCTTCTTCTCCTTCCCTTCATCGTTCAGCACGGTTCCGACAAAGACACAAAGACCATTTGTGGGCACTCGGTTGTAGAGCTTGAGCTTTTGTTGAGTGGAAGTAATGGCGGAAAGGACAGATAGTCTGAAAGGGATCAGATGAGTTTCCTCCATCGAGATGTCCGCCACCTACCGGTTAACACGAGACTTGATGTTGGAAGCGGTACCGTATTCCGTGGTCAACATGCTCGCCGCCTGGGAGATCTGAGACCTAGGGGGAAGAATGAGGGTGATACAGGAGGTACCGGCACCTCGAGAGTTGGCAAGCATGGTGAGGAGCTTGCGGTACCTCCATATCTAGATGCGCGTTAGTGATACACGTTCAGATGCGCGCGGTCTAGCTTCGCTCACTTGAATAGCTTGGTCGTGGGCCTGACACAAGTCAGCAACGTCCTTTGCGCTCGATAACGGAACTGACCTCGTCGCTGGACATTTTGGTAGGCTCTTGTGGCAGTGGCCTTATGGATACTAATCGGAATAAAAGACAACAATAAAAGTCAAGAGGCCGTCATTAGATTTCGGGCGAGACGGGGAAAATTCGAATGTGGCAGGCGTGGCAAGGTGTTACGTAATGGCCATAATGTCATTATTGATGGCGAGCTGCCGATTGATCAGTCACCCTGCATCATCTTCAACAACAACACCAGCCATGTCCAACTTCACAGAGGTCACCTCGCCCGAACACTTCCAGGAGCTTCTCTCAAAAGACCTCAACAGAGTTTCCGTCCTCAACTTTTGGGCGCCATGGGCCGAGCCATGTGCTGCCTTCAACAAGGCCGTTGAGCAAGAGGCAAAGCAGTTCCCTTCGGCCCTTTTCCTGAACGTGAGTCTTCATTAAATGCGGATCATGCCTGCAGGATCCGATTGTATGGCCCGCCCAAGCGGTGGTCAAACTCTGGGTCAAGAACAGGTCACAATACCGCTACCAGTTCTATTTCGAAACTGGTAATAGGAACAGAGCTGACACGATTACGATTTCTTCCATCTTTTGTCTTGGCCTTCCTATATCAACACCCTGTGACTATATCGGAAACAGATTGAGGCAGAGAATCTCGCCGACATCTCCGAATCATTTGATATCGAAGCCGTCCCCTCATTCCTCCTCCTTCGTGTAAGTCATGATTCCGCCTTCTCTCTAGCTCGATTTCCCATTCGTGTTCTTCCGACCGCCGCGCCCACCTCCTCTATTCTCCTTCCCTTTATCTACGTCACACGCCGTAGAACATAGTCTCAAGAGATCTTTTGATCTCTACAAGTCTTTGGAGATCAAAAGACCTTTCTCAGATTGACTGCCTGGAACAGGTATTGGGGCTTTTCTGCGCGGCGCTCGAGTCATCCTTTGTGACGCCCTTTCTTCCTTCGGTTGGAGGACGGTCGAGATGATAACTCCGTCAAGGGGGGGAGGGGTCATATGAGGACGTCTAGCGAAAGGTCGATTGCAGCACGCATCACCGCCACTTTGCTGTTCACACCCCATTTCCCCGGGGTCACACGCTGGAGTTGTCATTACGAGATATAGGTTGCTGACATTCTCTGCTTCATTCAATATTTCCTCTACACCCCATCGCTACACAATGTCACTCCCGTCCGATGCGAATAAACCCGAAATGGAACGGCGGGCTACTGCACCCCCTGCACCTTATGCTGGCAAATCACCGTTCCCCGCTCCTGCATCACGGTTCACCCCTCGTACCCCTCTCCAATATCTATCGCAATCTCCCACCAATTCGGACATATCGATGATTTCGTCGCCTGCGTATTTGTTGCCTACGCCACCGTCGTCCACCGCCTCTCTTCCTAATGATTCGCCCTATCCCAATGACCGTATGGCCATGATGAACCGAATAAAATCCTTGGGCTCGCAACCCAACTCTCCAACGAATATCAAAATACCCAACTATTCCCGATCATCCTTCTCCTCCAACCCTGCGTCGCAAAATAATTCTACTGCGTCGCGAAATAAACCTCATATCCCGTCGCCTCTTGACAAACTCGACTATCTCCACAATATCCCACCCTCCCCTCCTATCTCTGACCCGGGCGTTCTGCTCCATTTGCCACCGACTCCCAACCCCGACGCTGAATTGACTCCGCTTGCGTCTCCTTTTGCCAATCTCCGCTCGTCGTCATCTTCTTCGGGTGGTCAACGTCCCGTCGTCCTTGCTTCTCCTCCTCGTCGCCGGGGATCTATGGGCATAATCACTGGGCATGGTCCTCGACGCGGCTCTACGCTTGCCAACGAATTGACGGACAATGACGCTACTGTCAATCACGAAATTCCAACGGACGATCCATCCGTCTCCCGCGTTCCGTCGCCTATGCGATCCCGGCGACAATGAAAACTTGTCAACAATGTTCCGGGCTACGCGCTGTGCATCTGTATTCGGTGACTTGTACATTGATATTGTATATCTTGTAAACCAACAGGGCCACACCCTCTTAGCGCGCCACTCTGGCTCCGACGCCGCCCTCCTCCACTCCCTCCTTACCCAACACGCTTCACCCGCCTCTGCCTCTGCCCCTCTTTCAACATCGTCTGCTCAACCTCAAGCGCCTGAGGCGGCCCAACGCCCGAGGACCGAGGCCGAGATTGTCGCTCGGTGCCACGAGCTGATGAACAAGCACAAGGTGGTGCTGTTCATGAAGGGTAACCCCACGGCGCCAAAGTGTGGTTTCTCGAGGCAGACTGTGGGTCTTCTGAGGGAGAAAGGTGTAGAGTTTGCGTGGTTTGATATCCTGAGTGATGAGGATGTGAGACAGGGACTGAAGAAGGTCAACGACTGGCCCAGTACGTTTGTTCCCCTTGGCGCGTGACGCTGTTACTGACTTCCAATCAGCCTTCCCTCAAATCATTGTGAACGGAGAGCTTGTTGGTGGTCTTGATATTGTGAAGGAAATGATGGAGAGCGGAGAATGGGACGAGGTGATTGAGGGCGAAGATGATGATGAGAAGGCCGAGTAGATGGAGGGTTGTCGAGTTCATCCTTTTTTTTTGGATTACCGTAGCATCTCATAGGTGCTTTTGGCGTGCTGTAGATATCCGGGCATTATATTTGCGTTGTCTGGCCGTGATGCACACTGTGGTCATAAAGTGCAAGTCATGCTCTATTTGGTGCCTTGGTTGAAAGTGGAGGTTGTTGTGGCCGCCAAAGATTTCAAGGATGGCTTATAATGGCCAGCGACCGCTTTTGCATCTTCAACTTGCTTTCAAACGTCAGCGGGACTGTCTAGAACACTAGACACATAGTAAACATGGCCCACAACCAACCATACCGCCCACAGGGCCAACAAAGCCACGGTCTCCCAGCTCGCCCCGCCTTCGCCCCTTCCAACGCCGGTCCTTCAACCCGAAACGGCTACCCCCAAGCACACCCATACATGGCCTACCCCCAACAAGGCTTCTACCAAGCCCAAGCCCAAGCCCAAGCAGCATACGGCGGATACCAAGCAAAGATGTCGGGTGGCTACCCGGCCGGCGGGTTCTACCCCATGTATAACCCCTTGTTTCAGCAGATGCCCATGCAGCCTGTCGCGAATGCCGAGGGGTATTCTTACTCTAGCGCTTACTTGGGTAGCCAGGCTTCTGCACCCAGTGATACCGCTGCCGCTGTAGATCCCCCAGCGAAGAAGCAGAGGACGAATTACCCCCAGGCGAGCGCTGGGCAGAGCACGAAAGCGTGGAGGAATTGCTCGCAAGCGGGATGCAAATTTGTGGGTCCCGGGGACCAGGTGGAGATACATGAGGAAGACCGGCACTTGATCTATATACCTGGAAAGAAGGTCGTGAGGAGTGAAGAAGAGGAGAGGTTTGCGAGGCAGAAAGGGTGAGTGCTGCATTCTGCGTCTGGGCTCAAGCTGACCTTCTGCTTAGACCTTTACCTGCTATACAAGGCACTTCCATAACACTGAATACGCCTGAAGATATCGAAAAGTGGATTGCAGAACGTAAAGCTCGTTGGCCCACGGCTAAGCGGGTGCAGGAAAAGGTTTGTTGCTCAGATTTCATGTTGCTGTGACATTGCTAAAACATAGTGCAGGAGGAAGAGCACAAGTCTGCTGTAGAACGGGGCGAGATACCTCAAAATGGCAGAGGAAAGGGCCGAAAGCTAGCCCCGGCTGTGATGGCGGAAGAATGGGGCAGAGAAGCCAGACCCTTGGAGGACGCGGGCGTCAGAAGAGAGCGAGACGGCATGAGGGGGCGTGGGAGGGGCAGGGGAGGTGCGCGAGGCAGGGGAGGACGTTTCGGTGGAGATGAGAGGCCAGATGTGCCGGGGGATCAGCGGCAGCAGAGAGAAACTATTCCCACGACTATCGAAGTGGCCGACGCTACGACGTTACCAGCGCTAGGAGGATACGACTCTGCCGCCGAGGGTAGCTCTAGCTCCAGCTCCAGCTCCTCTTCTTCCTCAGACTCTTCTTCCGACTCTGATTCATCCGACTCCGAGTCTGAAGCCGAGAACGACGACAAAAAGTCCTCTCCTGCCAAAGCTCCTTCAGCACCGACCAAGCCGATCTGCAAGTTCTTTGCCAAAGCTGGGCGATGCAAGTTTAACGAGAAGTGTCGTTTTGCCCATGTTGCTCCGGAAAGCTCTTCTGCCCCTCGAGCTGCACCTGCGCAAAAACCCGAGCTTGACAAGAAGCAAGCCAAGCAGCCGTTGCGGAAGCGAGCAAACCCCTTTGATAGGCCTAGTATACTCGGTGCTGTAAGTTGATTGAGCTTCTCATCTAGAAGGGAAAGCTAACTTCATCTCAGCTGTTGGCAAACCCTATTCAGAACACCGTGTCTCAACTATCACAAACGATACGTTTTCTCGTTGCCAACGACATGCTACGAAACGTCGAGCTTCATCCTGGACAGGCAGAGGATGAAGAGCGGGAGAGGAATAAGGTGACTGTGGTGGGAGAAGGGGTACAGGAATCAGACGCGAAGCTTGAAGAGCACATCAATGAGAAGGTTGAAATAAAGGACGAGAAGCCTGAGAAGAGTGATGAGGACGAGAGGCTTGATGGACAGCGGTGGAAAGTGGGGTAGAGAAGGATCTCGAGTAATTTACGACCTGACGACCTGAGACGTCTACGATACGAAGCGATGCAGCCACATGCACACATCTCGAGGCCAAAGGCGTTGTGGTTCTGATGGCGCCCCATCCAACTTCCCATAAGGAGTCACAAACACATAGAATGCATGATCCCTGATTCTTTCTTCGTAATATATCACTTCGCAAATTTGTTTAATCGTGGCAACTAGAGAACAATATACAGCACTATACAGACTTGATGCAAGCACATACGAAATAATTATCATATACTGTTACACAGTGGAACCCATAGCACATAAAAAATCGAACTTGATGCTTCCCTTCCAGAGATATCTCCCGAGAAGCACTTTTTTAGTCCTTGTGGCGACTGATGACTTCAACACCCGCAGCAGACGATGTTGTCCTAGAAGGCGTTCCATCAACCCACCCTCCTTTGGTCGACATGCATGCAAAACGTACCTGACAGCATCAAGCTCTTCCTCATCATCATCGTCGTCAAAGTCGCCATCCTCCTCCTCTTCATCCTCGTCTCCCTCGTCTTCTTCGTCTTCGCTTCCAGAGCATTCATTGGCGAATTGGTGGTCTTCGGAGAATGGGTCTGCGAACGGAATCCTATCCTGAGCCTTTTTGGCCTTGTCGGAAGGTACGACCATGGCCTGTTTAACAGACTTTTCATTAACAGTCTCTGAGATTGTCATTCCTCTCCCGTCTTCCTCGGCTTGCCGACTCAAGTTGATAGGGCTATCTGTCCCATCATGCGGTGAGGCGACAATGGTAGGCGAGTGCGAAGGGAGTTGAGCTGGGTCGATATCGGGCGTCTTGATATCTGTTCTGACGTCCAACGCAGGTTTCCCCGACTCTTGTTCGAAAGAACTCGTCGAGCTTTGCGAAGGCGACAGTCCGCCGCTATGCGACGCGCTTTCCGTCTTTTGCACCTCCCCAGCAACCTGCAAAGCATTCTCCTCCGACCTCCTCTTCTCCCTCTCTTCCCGACGCTTCTTGACCCACGCCATACCCCCACCATCATCTTCATCCCCAAGGAACGCCCCCCGCCCGCTAGTTTTGGCCACCACCGGCGCTCCGCCGCCCACGCCCGCCGAGCCCCACTCGACGAAAGCAGGCTCCAGTTTTTGCCTATACTCTTTCTCCCTCTCTGCAGCTTCGCTCGCTCGGCGGGAACCGTATACCCGGCCATTAAGCATCTTGACGGGCGCCGGAGACGCGCCGAGGGACGAAGACGGCCGGGCTTCGAATGAAGACGTGCGGTGGTGGCCCGAGGAGGAAGGCTTCAGAGTTGGGGATGGCGGGGTCTGGGTCTTGTATAGAGAGTCGGGGCGATTGGCGGAGAGGAGAGAACGGGCGCTGGCAGGGGGTGTGCCGAGCATGTCTTTTTTGCGTTCGCTCTCGACAGTCCATCGGAAGGGCGAGCTGTGACGTCGATGAGCTATTGTTGACACTTTGTTCGTAGAGACGACTAACCTCCCCATGATACCACCAGTGCTCGAGCTCCTGGTGAGCGGCTCGCCCTGGTAGCCACCGTCTTCCTTGTCCTTGCTCGATATAGGATTCTTGCCTCTCAGCAGCTTCTTGGTGCCCTTCCACCCGCTCTTCAGGCCCATATCCTTACTCCAGCTACGTCCCCTCTTCATCCGACTTTCTTGGTCCTCGTCCTCGCCGTCGTCATCGTCATCATCCACCGCATACTCATCGTCCATATTCTGCAATTCGAGATGCCTCGTCTCCACTCCATTGGGATCAACGCCACTCCGTAAAGCCACATTCCTCCCCGTACTCAGACTTCGCTGGAACCGCGGATCAGGCAAAGGCGCAAACCTTATCTTGTTGTGCGTTGCGCTGGACGCGCTGGAGCCCAGTATCGGAGAAGTAGCAGGCGATCCCGAAACGTCCAATGATCGCTCGCCGGCAGACACAGGCGGAGGCGAGAGGATGCGGACCGGCTGTGAGGGAGCGTGTGTGAGCGAGTGATTGCTGCCACTGCCGCTCCCTGACGCAGAGGCGGGGCCAGTGTGGGAATGGGAGGTGTCGATGGGGAAGGGGTCGGACGGGCGGCGAGCGTGGGCAGAGCCGTTGAGGAGGATGCCCCCCCGCGGATGGGCGTCGGAGGGGGCGTAGGCTGGGTTTGTGGGGATGAGGAGGGAGGGGTGGGGCTGGGTATCGACTGACATGTTCTGGTGGGATTGGGAAAGATGGATGGCAGGGGTATATATCCCCGGGAGTTGTAGGAGTATGGAAGAACGAGTTGACGGCAGAGGTGATGTCACTAGACTCTTTCGGGCGGGATGTTGATGGCCAATGGGGTGTTCTTTGGTTCCCCTGGATGTGGATGGGAGATGAAGCAGGAGTGGACTGGCTGCATCTGACTCATCCTGACTCGCCTGCCAGTGGCAAGGGCCGACGGGAAGTAAGGAGCATCGATCGCTGTGAATTGCCACGCCAAGCCATCCCGTTATCCTTCTGCACTGCCTGCGTACATACAGCAAGATGCCCTGCTTCCCTCTATCCCCACTCTCTGCATACATGCATGTACTGCACACCCCTACCCACGCCAAGACCCCGATGCATGAGACCGGGATATTCGGTCGCTGGCTGTACCCGGCAGATCCAAACATGGCGCCTTCGCTGTTCTGGCCCAGGCACACTCCTCCATCTCCGCATTGCCGACCGAATACCGCCGTTAGTCATGCCGCTCTTGGTGCTCGTCGTCAACCTTCATTCGCCGGTATAATTAAACAAGATGTCAAATAGGATACTAGATCGTGTATACACTCCACCTCTACAGCTCTACTCGCCACATACACTGCGCACATCGCAAACACTCTTCCGTCACGTCCACAACTTGGTCATCTCCATCCCCAGACTGCCGGCCACCTTCACAGCGTCGACGGTGAACACTTCGTCCCTCGTCGGGTCATCCGTCTCTCTCACAGGAGCATAGTAGAAGCCCATAATGAGCACGACGTATCTGCACAAGAGTCAGCTTGCTACAATACTCGCTGAGGAGGACGTACGCTAGAACCAAGATAGATCCTCGATGGTAGTTGCTCCTTGCCTCGATGTAGGTGTAGGTCAACAAGAAGATGGAGAGGATGATGGCAATCACGTCCCAACGGGGGAATATCAGACTATCATACTGTCAGCCTTGTCCACCACAGCCCATGTCGGAGAACGCACGTGAACGTGTCAATCACGTCACCCATCTTGTCAGGCTTATACAGCGCACTGAAAGCTACCATTGCAGGTATCTGGAGTAGACAGACTTGAAGAGCGTATGCTGAACCGATTTCCATACTATATGCTCGTCAGCGTCATGCCCAACAATGATCGTCGTCGACTCACCTCAGCGCGATATTCCCGTTCAGCGCGAACGACATGGCGTTCATAAACTCTGTCGTATTGGGCACCAGCGCAAAGAGCGTCAGACCCAAAAACTTTTCATCGATCCCCGATCCTTGCATCACCACATCCACCACATCCACCAAGATTTCTAGTCATTCTCGTCAGCGCCTGCGCCTCACTGTGACACCGCAAAGACTCACCAGCAATAATGGCATACAACAATGTGCACCCCAACAATACTCCCGCACTGACCCCCCTTGTCCAACTAGGCGCTTCATGTCCCCCTCCCTCCTCTCCATCCCCCGCACCATGCCCCACATGTGCCCCCGGTGCAGCTTCATTCACCGCAACACCTCCTCCCTCCCCATGCCGATGCTTCCTCTCAGACCCCACAATCGACCCCTGATGCCTCAGCGCACTGACAGTCGCCACAGCCACCGCCCGCGTAAAGTCTTCGGTCGTCAACGTGCCCGGCAGACGCATGGGTGTGAGATTGTTTTGCTTGGCGGCTTGGTCGAGGCCTTCGAGGTATGGGGTGTAGCCTGCAGGGAGGGTGAAGGCTGGGTGGTTGTTGGGTACGGATTTGGCAGTGCCCGGGACGGTGTAAGGCCCAGCTGAGGGTTGTCCGTCGTCGTCTTTGGGAAAGCCGGAAGGGTCGAGGCGAAGGGTTCCGCCCTTGGGGGAAGCAGTAGCCGGGATCGGTTGTCCGTCTGTGTTCGAAACGGGGATCACGGGAGAAGCCGTGTGGGGAGGTTTTTGTTGTTGATGCAGAGGCAGTAGATGCTGGGCGAAAGCTTGGGGAGTGAGGCGCTGGGTGAGCGTCGCTTTGACGGCGGGGTGGACACCGAGGGCCTGGTGTTCCTCTGGCTTCAGAAGCTGCTGGGGGTTTTGCCAGATCTGGGTCGCGTGGGTTCGCAAAGAGAACCAAAGACCGATCAGGTACGACTGGGTGATTGTCAGTATACTGCACGAACCGGGAACCTCGTGACTTACAAAGAGAAGGATGGCAGCACAGCCATACATCAGCGTCTTGACATTCTCCTGGTAGAACGGGTCCAGTTCGGGGTCAGGGTGCTCATAGTAGCAGTGATTGCACATCCAGACGTCTTCAGGCTTCATCAACGTGGTATGTCCCGTCGTGCTGTTGGTCGGGGCAGGACATCCCTCACAATGAAGCTCAAACTACAAAACATTAGCTCAAGCGCAATGAAACGAAAGGAAACTCACCGAGCCGTATGTTTGGTAAAACATGGTTGGCGTCAAAGTCCCGATAATGGCCATGATCAACATTGTACTCGTCACCCCCGCACTCTTGGCATTGAATTTCTGCTCCTTCTTCTTCAACGCACCCGAACACATACTAGCCCCAGGCATCAACAAGACACCCGCCAAGATACTTCCAATGATCGACCCTTCCACCAATCGTCCCTTTCCTTGCATGAGCGCAATAGCGTAGAGGATGATTTCAATGATGGAACCAAATGTGGCGTTGATGACTGCACCCATGCCAATCGACGATTGGGCAGAGATGGAGGCGACGGCCATGCCGATAAAGTATGAGAGGGGAATGACGGAAGCGAGGGCAAGGACAAAGATGAGGGCTTGCGAGGTGAGGAACCGCAAAAGCGGAGTGATGGGCTTGCCAATGTGCTCCTGGTGCTCGACAAAAGGAAGCAGCAGCATGCCGTCGATGATTGTGAAAAACACCAGAGGCAGGAGGTTGATGAACAAGATGTTGACACCTCCGACAGTATACTTGTAGTACTGGAGACCGACCGCTCGGTAGGTACACAAGAGTACAGTCGAGGTAGGCCCGGAAGTGGGAGCCACTTGCCCAGCGTGGAGTCGCGCGCGTCGCAGAGTAAAGGCGGGCGACTCGTCCGCCAAGGGATCAGATTCCTCAGTCACATTGTCGGAGGAAGGATGAGGTGTAGGCACTGGCACTTTGGGCGCAGCCCTAAAATTGATCTCCAGAGGACGAGTATAGAGCAGGTTCAGGAGTTTCCAAGTGAGCTTGGCCATGGGGATCGTGACGACGAAGCACCAGCAAAGCACACATACAAAGAGCATGACGGGTACAATGACGAGCAGGAATGTAGGCCAGTAGACCAGCATCCCCATACGCTTGGCTTTCTTGTTACGGGGCCGCCTGAAGCTGCCGCCGCCCAAGAGAGCAGTCCTTTCACCATTGTCCTTGCCTTTGCCCTTGACGTTGGGGGCAAAAGACACTGCAGGTTCGGCACGCACGGTGCTCGTCGAAGGAGCGTCGGGAGAGCTGGTACCGTCCAGATCGGGCCTCTGCGTGTCCTTGACTGTGATACCCGACGAAGCGCCCGACACCTCTCGTCTCTGCGCTCGCTTGCTGACAGGCGATCCGTTGCCATTGACAGCACCATACTGCCCATTCCCTTGTTCTGCATCCTCATTATCCCCGTCGCCCTCCGTATGCTCATCATCCACGGGCCCTCCTTCACCCTCCACGTACTTGCCAAACGGCCATCCGATGTACCACGCCAGACCCCTAAGCGTCTTGCCATAACCGCCCCTGCCTCCGCCTGCTACTTCAGCACCGCTGACAAGTAGAGCGACAAAGAGGCAGATGAGGGTGAGCCACCAGCCAAAGACGACAGTCCAGATGATGTTGCCAGGAAGGAGATGACGCTCGGCCGCGGCGGAGGGGATGGAATGCAAGGCAGATTCGGCGTTACGGGTGACTGATCGAGACTTGCGGTAGAGCGCTGGTTTCCATATGGGAAGACCGAAGGGGTGTTCAATGTTGATCGCCTATACGAATGAGGATTGCACACGTGAAGCAGAGACTGACTCACATCTTGACGATCTCTCAAGGTCACACCTTCATCCGTCTCGATCTCTTCTTCGTCGTCTTCATCAGAGTTGCACTCCCGGTCACCAGTCTCTTCACCGATTACATCGTTCACAATGTCGCCGACCAAGCTTGCACGTTCATCAAGCTCGTCTTCGTCCTCATCTGCCACCGAGGAATAGATAGACGCAGGACGCAGGTCATCGCGCGGACTGAGTCGGCCGTCCCGAGGGGTCTCGGTACCCGAGACACTTCCGGGATAGGGAAAGTAGTCACTGTCGCCAGCGAGTCTCCGGGTGGAGCTGACTTCTCGCACTCTGGACGAAGGCGCCCGGTGCGACGTTCCTTGCTGAGCTTTGAACCCTTGGCCGGGCACACCCGTCGGTGGGTTACTCGTCTCTGGAGTGGTCCCTTCTTCAGCTAGCCTTCTACCCTCGACCTCTTGTTGCTGTCTCTTCTTCTTGGCACGCCTTTCCTTCTGACGCTGCTTGATAAGCTCCGCGCCGCGATCTACATCCTCCTCCTCGCCATTCTGGATCTCTGCGCGATCTCGGCTGCTGCTGTGATGGTGGAAGAGGGGCGGTCGAGCTCGAGAGGCTGAACGAGAACCAGTCCCCCCACCAGTATTCTGAGAGACTTCGCGAGCACTGTTGAATCGCGATCCCCGACCTAGACGGTTACTGCCCCCGGGAGGATTGTTGTCCCGCGCGGCAGGGTTGAAAAGCGTTGTTGGCGAACCAAAGCTGCTGCCAAGCGCTGTCTGCGGTCGGCCACGAGCACTGCTCCACCCGCGTGGAGTAGATTCGAAAGAGGTGTTGCCGGGCCCTGCGGTGTGGGGGTAGGAGTTGGGGCCGAGGTAGTCTTCGTCGTCTGCCGAGGAGTAGGAGGCACGTGCGGGGGATAGAGCGGGACGACCTGTGCTGGGGGAGGCAGCGGGCGGTGGCTGCTTGGGGGAGGTCATGTCAGCGATGCTCCCGACATGTATAGGACGAGAATGAGAAAGAGATGAAAGAAAGGTTGTGAATGCAGGGACAAAGGGAACATGGTGCAAGGTGACAGCAACGCGCTCGTGCTCGCCCAGGCCCACGCGACCACCGCGCGTCTCATTCAACACTCACCAGTTCATTTCTGCTCGGCCGTCCCTTGCCTAGCTCTTGCTGCTGCTGCTGCCCACTGTGGGTCCGCCTCTGCTCGGTGTGCTGGCTGGGCGTGCCTCCGGGAGTGTGCCCTGGCGAAACACCGACGGCAGAGGCAAACGCCTGAGACGATGTGGGCGGGCGAGCGGGGGTAGCGTTGTTTCGGATAGTGGGGGTCGGGGAGGATGCGGAAAGGTATTCTGTGTTGTCGCTCGACGGGGTGGACATGGTCCGAGGGGAGCTGGGTGTATTGCTTCAACGTGAGTGGTGGACCGCTATGCGCTCGCGTTCGACCGCTTCCACCTGGCGATGGTTGGGTGTAGTAGGTGAGTGGGTGCCTATACGCTTGTGAAAACACTGCTCTGTGTAGCCGACTATGTATATGCTCCTGAGCGTCGTTCTCGTCGCCGGCAGTGTTGGCACTGACTATCGGCCACCACCGCCATCGCACATCGCCGAGAACAAGAAGACCCCGAGCGATGACTAATGCTGCGGCTCGGAATTTTGGCCAATGCATCATCGTTCAATTCGTATCTCAACCTCTTCGTTACATTTCTACCTTATCCTCGCCCTCGCCAGCATCCCCACCTCCCGGCGAGCCGCTTATCCTCTCTGCTTATCCTCTCTGCTTATCCTCTCTGCTTATCCTCTCTCGCTTTCGGCCACCCGATCAGTCTTTTGGACCTTGGACACGGCTCCTAATTTCTGCTTGGCCACCGATACCACACGAAATGGAGCAGGCGCCGTTCCAAGCCCTGCGTGGCCATACACATGGGCACGGTTGCTCATGGCCACCCAAAATCGTCTCTACCAATAGAGACCTCGATCTCACTTCGTGCTTTGAGCACGCCATCTTGCTACCTGCACCCCTCGTCATCACCATTCTATTGGGTCTGGCGCAGGTGATCAGAATATCCCGAAAACTCAAGAGGAGTGAGGCAGAAGGGGGCTTGACGTGGATCAAAAGGTCCAAGCTCGGAGAAAGAATATGCGTGACAAAATTGGTAAGTGATAGGACTCTATCACGGACTAATGCTGATTACCTTCTGCAGCACTTTCTCGGCGCAGCTGCTCTCTTTTCGGTCGTGTCGTTTGCTCTTTCCTTGAAAGACGTGGCTACCACACCCTTGACATCGGTTCATTACCTGCTATTGTCGTTGACCTGGTTCACCCTTATCCATCTCACAAATTTCAACCACCACACCTCACGCACATCATCCACAATCGCCCTTCTCTTCTACCCTCTCTACGTCGCTGTCTTTCTAGTTCGTCTTCGCACGATCATCATCACTGGGCAGTTGTCCTCTGGCCTCACTCAGTCTACTTCGGGTCGAGTCATTCTCGCCCGAGAGTCTTTCTGGTTCATCAGCATCTTTGTCGGTCTCGGAAGCTTCCTCCTCGAGTTGCACTCTCCAGAGAAAAAGTGGCAGAAATGGAGAGCTCCATGGTCGAAAGAGGGCAAGATTGCTTTACTCGATGAAGACGAGGATGAGGAAGCCGATATTGTAAACGACCTTCAAGGCGGAGGAGCTGTTTACGGCAAGAATGTCTATGGCGATGTTGAAAGCCCTATCTCAACAGCCAACATCTTTGAAATCCTCACCTTTTCTTGGCTTACGCCTCTTCTTTCTCTTGGCACCAAAAAGTACCTGGGTGAAGAAGACATGTGGGCTCTTCCCCATGAAGACTCGGCTGAATCGCTTTCAAACCTCGTTGCCAGCTCTTGGCAAAAGGAGATTGACGCTGTCAAGACCGGCAAGAAAGAGAAACCTTCTCTCAAGCGCGCTCTATTCTCGGCATACGGTTGGCCCTACGCCATCGCCGGTCTGCTCAAGGCTATCTACGACATTCTCAATTTCCTGCAACCTCAGCTTTTGAGGTTGCTTTTGGCCTTTGTCTCTAGCTACACCACGAAGCATCCGATGCCTCCTGTTGCGGGTTACGCCATCAGTATCTTGATGTTTGTCAGCTCCAATGTCGCGACGGGTGTCTTGCACCAATACTTCCAGCGATGCTTTACCACAAGTGGGTGCCCCCTGGTTTCATACCTCAAACTGCTGACTTTACGTAGCTATGCGCATTCGAGGAGGTCTCGTCACCATGATTTACCGAAAATCTTTGGTTCTGAGCAACGGAGAAAAAGCTGGCAGGACCACCGGAGACATTGTCAACCTCCAAAGTGTCGACGCCGTGCGTATCGCCGACGTCACACAATACGGCCACATTGCCTGGTCCGGCCCGTTCCAGATCCTCATCGCCTTTGTATCGCTGTACCAGCTTGTCGGCTGGCAAGCCTTCATGGGTATCGCCGTCATGGTCGTCAGCTTGCCCCTCAACACCTGCGTCTCTCGTTTCAACAAGCGATTCCAGCGCCAATTGATGAAGATTAAGGACACGCGTACGCGTACCATGAACGAGATCCTAAACAACATCAAGTCTATCAAGCTGTATGGCTGGGAACAGGCATTCTCTACCAAGATCTTTGAGATCCGAAACGCCCAAGAACTCAAGATGTTGCGCAAGATTGGTCTCGCTATGGCTGGTTCCAACTTTATCTGGCAGAGCACACCGTTCATGGTGGCTTTCGTCACTTTCGCGACCTTTTCCCTGACCAGCGACAAGCCTTTGACGAGCGAGATGATCTTCCCCGCCATTTCTCTCTTCCAGCTCTTGTCTTTCCCCATGGCCATGTTTGCCAACATTATCAACTCGATCATTGAGGCGACCGTCTCTTGCAACCGTCTCGAAAGTTTCCTCGCGGCTGAAGAGCTCGACCCCAATGCGCGCACCCTCATTCGACCTTCCGAGGATCCTCAAGGGGAGCCAAAGAAGGGCGACACCGTGATCAACATCAAGAAGGGTGACTTTAGGTGGCTTGAAGACTCTACCGAACCCATCTTGCAGGACATTGACCTCGATGTCAAGAAGGGTGAATTGCTTGCTCTCGTCGGGCGGGTGGGTGATGGCAAGTCGTCGCTACTCGGGGCTATCCTGGGCGAGATGACTCGCTCAGACGGCTCCGTTACCGTCCGCGGTGAGATTGCCTACTTTTCCCAAAACTCTTGGATTCTCTCGGCTACCGTCAAAGACAATATCGTGTTTGGTCATCGATACGACAAGGGCTTCTATGAGCAGGTCCTTGACGCTTGTGCCCTTAGACAAGACTTGGCAGTCTTGTCCGAAGGCGACCAGACCGAAGTCGGCGAGAAAGGTGTTTCTTTGTCTGGTGGTCAGAAGGCCCGTATCTGCCTCGCCAGAGCTGTCTATGCTCGTGCCGATATCTACCTTCTTGACGACCCTCTTGCAGCTGTGGACTCTCACGTTGGCCGACACATCTTTGACAAGGTCATTGGTCCCAACGGTTTGCTCGCTGGCAAAGCCCGTATTCTCTGTACCAACGCCGTCACCTTCTTGCCCCAGGCCGACAGCCTCATCATGCTCAGGAAGGGTATCGTCCTCGAGCGAGGTACCTATGCCGATGCTATGAACAACTCGGCGTCAGAGCTGTACAAGCTCATCACTGGTCTGGGCAAGCAATCTACCAAGGAAGAAGGATCCGGGGCTTCCACCCCTACTGTGGTCGAAGAAGCTGTCATTGAAGAGCCTGAAGGCGTGGAAGACAGTGAGGAAGCCGAGATCGTTACTGGCGGCGAGTCCCCCAAGCAACGCAAAGCCTTCCGTCAGCTCAGCCACTCGATCATGCGCCGCTCTTCTGTCGTCTCCCTCCGTACCTCCAAGCGCGATGCTCTCCGTGACCTTCGAGAAAGCGCCAAACCCAAGGAGCATTCCGAAAAGGGCAACGTCAAGCGCGAGGTTTACAAGCAGTACATCAATGCGACTTCCAAGATCGGTCTCGTCGCGTTCCTGCTCTTTATGGCGCTTGGACAAGGTCTTGGTGTGATGGGCAACTTTGTCCTGCGTGACTGGGCTGCATCCAACACTCCCAAGTCCGAGGCCGTAGACGATGGCACACATCACATCAGCAAGTACCTTATCCTGTACGGTCTCGTCGGGTTCTCCGGTGCCATTTTCAACGTCCTGAGTTTCGCCACCTTGAAGCTTGTCTGCGCTCTCAGGGCGAGTAAGACTTTGCACGACAGGTCTTTCAGTGCTTTGATGAGGAGTCCCCTCTCTTTCTTCGAGCTCACCCCGACTGGGCGAATCTTGAACCTGTTCTCCAGGGACATTTTCGTCATTGATGAGGTCTTGATCATGGCGCTTGGAGGTTTCTTCCGTACTGTAAGCATCACCGGACTTGAAATTTAAACGCGACTAACCATTATGTAGGGTGTTTCCGTCCTGAGTGTGGTTGTCGTCATTGCTTTCGGTGCGCCTGTGGTCTTGCTTGTGTTTGTGCCACTGGCGATCATTTATCGAATGATCATGAAGTGAGTTTGCCCATTCCATAACACCGTCATCGTCTGACGATTCGTAGGTACTACCTCGCCACCTCTCGAGAGCTCAAGCGTCTCGACGCCGTCTCCCGTTCTCCCATCTTCTCCTTCTTTGGCGAGACTCTTACCGGTCTCGCCGTCATCCGAGGATACGGCCAGAAAGAACGTTTCATCGCCAACAACGAGGCTCGCGTGGACCGTAACCAAGCTTGCTATATGCCTGCGATGACTATCAACCGATGGCTCGCTGTCCGCCTCGAAGCTTTGGGTAGTTGTTTGATGTTTTCCACCGCATTGGTCTCTGTTGCGGCATTGGTGAACTCGAGTGGGGTCGATGCGGGTCTCGTTGGGTTGATGATGTCTTATACTATCTCTGTGACTGGATCTCTGGTGAGTCATGGTTGTTTTGGGCGTACAGCTGCTGACATTTCCCGTAGAACTGGCTTGTTCGAAGTGCTTCCGATGTTGAGCAGAACATTGTGTCTGTTGAGCGAGTGCTCGGATACTCTCAATTGCCGTCCGAGGCTCCCGACTTTATCGAGGATGCCAAGCCCGCCCAGGGCTGGCCAGAGCAAGGATCTATCGAGTTTGAGTACGTGTCACCCATTTGTCCTTTTTCCAAGCTTACCGTCTCCGTAGCCACTTTTCCATGAAGTACCGCCCCGAACTCGACTTTTGTCTCCGTGACGTCTCTCTCAAGTTCAACGGCGGCGAGCGAATCGGTGTCTGCGGTCGAACGGGTGCTGGAAAATCATCCCTCACCCTCGCCCTTTTCCGCATCTTGGAGGCTGCCGAAGGCAGGGTTCTGATTGATGGCGTTGACATTGCAAACATTGGGCTTCACGATTTGAGGAGCATTGTGTCCATCATTCCTCAGGATCCTCAGCTGTTTGAGGGTACTCTCAGGTAAATACGAATCTGGGGCATTCGGGATTGGGCTAACAAGACACAGAAACAACATTGATCCTACTAGCGCGTCTTCTGATGCGGAAATCTGGCATGCTCTCGAGCAGGCGCATCTCAAGGTCCACGTCAGCAAGAACATGGGAGGCACACTCGACGCTGAGATCTCTGAGGGCGGTAGCAGTACGTCCAATCTCGTTTTCCAGGGGTTGATGGATAGCTGACGAACCAATAGATTTGAGTGCCGGTCAGAGACAACTTGTCTGCTTTGCCCGAGCTCTTTTGCGAAAGACCAAGATTCTCGTCTTGGATGAAGCCACGAGCTCTATCGACTTGGAGACCGATGAAGCTGTCCAGCAAATTCTCCGTGGGCCTGATTTCAAGGGCGTGACTACCATCACTGTGAGTCTTTTGAAATGGATATATACAAGTTCAGCGCTGACTCGACTGCAGATTGCCCACCGAATCAATACCATTATGGACAGCGACAAGGTGCTCGTCATGTCTGAGGGCCGAGTCGGAGAGTACGACACTCCCAAGGCGTTGATGCAAAAGCCAGAGTCCTTGTTCTGCTCTCTCGTCACGGAAGCTGGGCTGGCGCAGGCCGTTTAGAGTCGTGTAGAATAGAAAAACAAAAGTCAGATTAATGCATGGATAGTCTCTATCGCTACATGACAGTGCATAGAAGTGAACCCATACTGCGACACGATTGACATTTTCGTATCATCATAAGCTACGTTCAGATCATAACTACTTGTGACTGCTCAACTCGAAAGCCAAAATGCTGACGATCATTGCTGATGATCGTGTCTATATAAAGTCTATGATTGCTATTTTATACAACAGGTGTTCTATCCCCAAGATACCATTACTCTCCCCTGCCTCGACTTATCTCCCTCCCAGCGCAATCTTCCCACCCCTGACCAGTCCCGCCGACTCGGCATACCTCTCCACCCTATACACCTGCGCCTTATACCCTTCCAAAAGCCTATCAATCCACCCGCCTTTCGGAAACTTTTTCGCCCACTGGTTATGCAGGTGGATCGTATAGATATGCGACGTGCGCTCTTCCAACACTTGTCTCCCCGACTTGCCTCCTTCCCCATCATCCCATTTCTTGCCCGTAAACGACCCGGGGTCAGGCAAGAATGGATCGGGGAACCGGTTATCCAGCCGGCAATTCCTGGGATCGCTGAAACACCATGGGAGGACGGCAAAGGGGCGGACGCCGGCGGCGATGAGGTGGCGGTGCAGTTTGGCGTAGAGGTGCGAGCCCCATGTGAAGGTGTTGGGTTTGGGGAGGGGGGAGGTGGACATGATGTTGAATGCTTCGCAGAGATAGGGGGAGGAGGCGTGAAAGTGCATCAGGGCGCCGTTGAGGGAAAAGTATGGTTTGTCTGTTTTTCCGACATCAGCTTGTGAATTCTTTTGAAGTGTATGAAAGAGAACGCACCATAACAATCCCACTGGGTGACCCATTCTTCTTCTGTCAACGGATGCAGATCCCGCGTCAAAAGCTGGTCCATATCCATCCATATCCCCCCATAATTCCACAACACCAACAACCTCACCGCATCCCCATCCACCCACGCCCGCTCGTCGTATATCCCTCCATCCCCCGTGATGCCCTTAATGACATTCTCGACGCCTGTGCCCTGGGCGAGCTCGGCGAGGTGGACCTGGCGGACCTGGATGTACTCGCCCCACCGTTCAAGGAACGGCTTGACGTGCGTATTTGCAGAAAGGCTTTCGGCGCCGTTCGTCCATACTATAAGGGTAGAATGTGTGAGGGGCTGAGTCGCCAGGAAAGCGAGGAATGTAGCTGATTGCCGTTCCCCAAACGAAATCAAGTCGGACCGCCAATAAGTGTGATAATACACATGCTCGAGGGCAGCTTCGGGCTCGGGTTTGATGGTGGACGCAAAGTCGTAGCACGACATGCCGCGTTTCAGGCTCGTACCGGTGGACAACATGTGTCGCCGGGGGGCTAGGTGCTGCGTCATGTTGTACCGGGGGGAGGGGTTGTTGAAGCAGCCTTTCAAAGGCTGTAGGGAATCGATCTCTTCGGCAATCCATTTGCGCGAAAAGATGGAGAATTCGAGTTGGATCTCGTACGTCCGTTTCCAGAGCACGAAACCGTACACCAACGCAGCAAAGAGGGCAAAGATCAATAGACATTTCGACCTCCGCCGTCTAAAGATCTGGGGGAGCGTGAACCACCCGCTCGGCTGTATTCTCCGCCGGCCTCCATGGAATGGCAGGGAGAACGACCCCCGCCCTTTCCGTCTCTTCTTGCCAGATCCCGAGCCATTCAGCAATTCCTCATCTTCCGAAACCGGCGACGGGGCGCTGACAGACTTTCGCCTCGAACGAGCGGCATTGTAAGGGTCGCTTTGGTGATAATGGGCGTACCCATTACCGACACCCGAATCCATCTCGAGAACGACGGGGCTGTCGTGGATGATTTGTTGGGAGTCAAAGAAGGGCGAGACGGATGTTTTGATGATGGGTCTGGGGATGGGGAGTTTATTGTCGGATGACTGTTCGCGAGGACTGTCGTCTGAGGGTCTTGTTGATGGGGGAGATGGGTTCCTGCAACATGTCAGCTGCGATTCGCTGCTGGTTTGCTCGGTCATGGTCATGAAGATGACGAGGGAGTCGCACGACAGGGAAGAGATGTTTTGACACTCGAAGAGGGGCACTCGCTGGCAGCAACACTGGAACGTTTCCATGCTCTGTCAAGGAACATCCAAGCTCGTTTCACGACTCCTGGACCAAAGCGAAGCAAGCGATGGTTGTCACCCTGACCTCACTTGAATTCGATCATAAGATGGGTGTTGTCTCTTCTCGTCGACGTCGTTGTAAGAGTTAGTGACTTACCACTGTACGTCTGACCACGCTTGCGTACTGGTGCTGTCGCTGTCTGCCATGGACGATGAACGGTGCTCGCAGTAAAAATAGGCAACCAGCGCATCGAAAACAACATAGTGCCGTGCCTCTGACGCCGCCGCATCATAGGCGGTTACGTAAGTTTGCAGTGCCACACGGGTTGGGGCGGGGTTATTTCTTGGACTCATGACGAACGTCGTGGCAATGGATCTCTTCCCTTCCTCAACATAAACATCACCATGTCCCAAGCTGTCCCCCCCTCCTGGCGCGTACGTAACCCCCCACCCCCACTCCCCCTCCGCTCACCCCCCGCAGGATCTCGGCAAGTCCTCCTCCGACCTCCTCCTCAAGGACTACCCCATCCAGGGCACCTCCCTCGAGGTCAGGACCCTCACCCCCTCCAACGTCGCCTTCAAGGTCGCCGGCACCAAGGACGCCAAGACCGATGCCATCACCGGTGACATCGAGGGCAAGTACGTCGACTTCAAGAACGGCTTCACCTTCACCCAGGTCCGTCCTTCTTCGCTCAAGCCGAGGTTTCTCAACTGACGCGTCCAAAAGGCCTGGACTACCACCAACGTCCTCCGAACTCAGCTCGAGCTCGAGAACCAGATTGCCAAGGGCTTGAAGTTTGACCTCGCCGCCACTCTCAACCCCGCCAAGTCTACCAAGTCTGCCATCTTGACTGCCATCTACAAGCAGCCCTCTTTGCACACCCGTGCCACCGTCGACCTCTTCAAGGTATGCCTTGAAAACTGCCTCTTTACTCTTACTAATCTATTTGTAGGGCCCTACCTTCACCGCCGACACCGTTATCGGCCGTGACGGTTTCCTTGCCGGTGCCGAGGCTTCTTACGACGTCCTCTCTGGCGCCATCACCCGATACGCTGGTGCCGTCGGCTTCTCCGCCCCCGAGTACGCCGTCACCCTCCACGGTCTCGGCAACCTCTCCACCTTTGCCGCCTCTTACTACCACAAGGTCTCCAAGGACGTTGAGGCCGGTGCCAAGGCTGTCTACGACACCAAGTCTACCACTGGCGGTGTCTCCCTCGAGGTCGGCGCCAAGACCTACCTCGACAACGCTGCCTTTGTCAAGGCCAAGATCAACAATGCCGGTGTCCTCTGCCTCGGTTACACCCAGGCCCTCCGACCTGGTGTCAAGGCTTCCGCTGGTCTCGCTATCGACACTACCCGTCTCAACGAGCCCACCGCTGGCCAGGCCGCCCACAAGGTCGTAAGTAGACTCTGTATGGATGTGTGTCGGACTGTGCTGATTGATTGTGCAGGGCGCTTCCATCGTTTTCAACGCCTAAGGGGTTATGGGACAAGAAAGAAAGTAATTATCTCTATGCAAGCTTTGCAGGATAACGATCGACGAACGTGCTGGAATGTTCCATGATTTTTTGCTAACCCTTTTTTTTCTGTGGACAAGTCTGCGCCTCGTGTCGCTTCCATGGTATTGACTTGTTTACTATAGAGTCTGTCTGGAGCGACCCACCCTACTCATTCTGTAGGTACACCACGGATTAGCTGCTGGAACCGGATGTGCCGCTTTTCAGGGCGACGCGCGCCTGGCCGGCCGGCCGGTCGGCTTTAACCGGGCCGATGACGCGACTTGTTCCTCTCTTCTAGAAAAAGTGTGAGTACTCGTCTCTATCACATCTTTTCCTCTTGTGGCTGTTTTTTGCGTGATGAGAAAATTACTCAGCTCACTCCGAGCACAATGTGCTATGAGGCTTCATTTATTTTAATTAGACACTGATTCATTTACTTTTCCTTCCGTCTTTGAAATTGTCAAAATGATTTGTTGGACCAGAGCTGACGAACAAGTATATCAGGTCTCTTCACCGCTATCGCTTCGAACAATCCGCACACCCAGGTAGTGAGTATCTTTCCATCTCCTATTCCCTGCTCGATTCTATTGCCCTTATTCCTACCTTTGATGAGAAATTTCCAAGACTACGGTCGCCCCGAGCCCTTTGTGCAATGAGGCTTCACTTTTTTAATTAGACCCTGATACATCTACATTCCTCTCCACCACTTTACCAAATTGGTCTGCTGGACGCGAGCTGACATTAGTCTATCAGGTGTCACTCCACATTTGTCGGAATTGCCCACAACGTCGACACATTGTCTTTTCTGCCATCGTAAGTCCACTCAATCCTGTCAATCTCTCTGTGATTCTTGTCCCTATTCTATGTATGATGAGAAAACTACTCAGCTCACTCCGAGCCCAATTGTGGCTATGAGGCTTCATTTATTTAATTAGACCCTGATCCTTCTTTTCATTCCTGCCATTGACATTTACTTTTGTGATAATCTTGTTGGGATGAGGCTGACGATTTGGCGTGTAGATTTGTTGTCGAGTACAAGTAAGCAGGACTGGCTTATACAACCATCAACAGGTCCATTATACGTATCTATACCAGTTGCCTTGTTCATTCTTTCATGAATACATACAACTCTTACTCTATATGCAAACGTAAATCCCATATAATCATGACCCAAATCAAGCTTCCTTTGTCAAAAACTTGTCCTTGGCCAAAGCTGCGTACGCTGGCCGGGCAAGAGAGTTCAAGGCGACCCTAGCGTCAGTCTTGATATCTTCAATCAACGCCTCTGTCATGGAAAAACAGTCAGCAGTGTCACAATTGCACACATAGGTGGAGGCTTTACCTTTGGAGACATAGTTGAGCTCTGGGCGGATGTAGCCCAGTACGAGGACGCTCATGTGATGCCCATAAAAGTCGGCTTTGAACGGGTGCATGATATGCACCTCCTACACTCTTTTCATCAGTGATCGTCCTCGGTGATACGAAGGAAGAGAAAGAGGGGGAAGAGACTTACAGCAGTGATCTTTTCATTGTTAAAGTAGGGATTCCAGCCCACACTCATCACCATCGGCCACACCTTTTCATCCTCCTTACTCCACCTCTGCGCATGATGCTCGGGCGGGTAAGGCGCCGTCACAGTCGGCAACGGCTCCAATACCTCTCCGCCTGGTGGGGGGGAGGAAGCTTTGGAGCCTGGGAGAGATGTGGTGGGGGTTGGGAAGGCGGAGGGGAGAGGGGTGGAGGTGGACGGGTGGATACGGGCGTAGCCGTAGTATATACCCGTCATACCGAGGGAATTGAGAGGATCTAATGATTCATCTGGAAGGTTCGCTGCAATCAACACCATGTCAGCCTCATTCCTTTCCTGGATCTGGATTTCAGCTCGGTAGGAAAGATGTGAACTTGCCAGTGGGAATCCCGAGAAACCGCGCACCACGGCCAAACCCTTTGGTGACGGCGCCTTCCAACTGCATGGGGTATGGATCCTCTGGACTATCGGGGCCGACGATCGTCGGCCTGCTCTCACGCGAGACGGGGGCCATGTCTGCTTTTGGGGGCATCGCTGTGGGTTATATGTGGTTGTGTGGCACCTGGGGGAATGAGGTGAGGGATGGATAGAAAGTTGTGAGAGTGTTGCAAGTCGAGCAGCCGCCGGCGATAGCGAGGGCACGTAATCAGGCGGCGAGCGCCGACCCTTGGGACGCCGAGGTCCGCATTCCAGCGATCCCGCCGGTCCGTCATTTCCTCGACTTTTTTCGGATCTTGCACTCGATCATCTACGGCTTCTACCATGTCTCGCTTCAGGACCGCAACGAGGTGTATAACCTCTCTGGGTTCAAAGAGATCTCTCCAGACCACCACGCAACCACTACCATTGTCTCTTCATTCGACCTCTCCCCTCATCCGACCACATCATCAGCCCCATATCCAATGCCTCGCAAAAGACAACGACTTTGCAATCTATACCGACTTTCTCAATGTTGAAGAGCAAGAAGCTTTGGTTGGTATGGGACTGGCAAAGCTGGGTAGGGGAAGGAGAAGACGGAGAGGCAGGCCGATCAAGGCAGAGGAGAGTCAGCAAGTCAGGGATGGTATACAACGGTTGTTTGTGGGTGAATACGAGTTTGAAGAGGTGTGTATAACCCCTCAAGAGAACAGGAGGAGCCTGCTGATGAGGCGCAAAAGGGACATTACGACTCGGTCATCCATCACTTTCGCGAATCCCTCGTCTCCACCCTCCCCCCCTCCCCCTCGCCTACGCTCCTCCGCGCCCTCGCAAAGCTATACAACATCTTCCCCCTCCTCCCCTCCCCCGTCCCCCCAAACCCATCCGAATCCGACCTCCCGCCCCCAGGTACCCTCACGCATTTCCTACATCTCGCGCCAGAGGGCGATATAGGACCGCATGTGGATAACCTCGAAGCTAGTGGGAGGGTAATTCTGGGGCTGAGCTTGGGCGCTGAGAGGACGTTGAGATTGGTGAGGAAGAAGGGGGAAGGGGAGGATGGGTGGGATGTGAGGTTGCCTAGTGGTTCGGTGTATATTCAGCGGTAAGATCCCTCTCCATTCAACCGTTTAGCCTTCGCTGACCTGGAATGTAGCGACTCGGTCAGATACAATTACGAACATTCCATACTACCATATGACGACAAAGGTTCCATTTGGAATGGAGAGAGACTAGAGAAAGGTCATCGGATGAGTGTCATGATTAGGGTGAGTTTGACATTTTTCTTTACGAAGGGTTGATTTACGATACGGCACGCGATGATGTGTGCACGTTCGGGAATGCCCGGTTGTGAGCCTACGAATTGTCGTCGTGATGGTGTTTGTTGATTAGTATGCTGACAGAGTACTCGTCGTTGATAGGATGCGCCTTCTCGACCTCCGACATGAAAAGAGTTTCGTAGCGATACTGCATAGCACATCATTCCATACTTGCATGCACTGACGACAGGGCGACGGTTGCATTGAGCCTTCAGGATTCGTCCAAAGTCCAAGATGCAATATGCCCCTTGGGAATCAGAGGGCCTAGGTGAGAAAGAATGGGTATCATACTTCTTTATACATTTCGGTCCGTGCCAAGGGCGAATACACTTTACAATATGCCTACAGTCTTTCTTCCCCTTCTTCCAAATCTGTCGTACATTGATCAACAGAGCAGCACGCGTAGCGCAAGCGGTTTTATGGCGCCATAAAAAAGAATAATCTCGTAATAGCCCCATGGTGGTGTGTGAAGAATACAGATCGGTACGCGTCCGTCTTATGACAGGTGCGCTGGCTTGTGGGCGTGGACCTCGATTGTTTCTCGGAGGTAGTAGGCGGCACTAGCGGTGGCCAAGATGGCGATGGTCGCAGGAACAGGAGCCTTGGTCTTGACGGCCCGTCTGTAAGGTTTCTGGTTAGCGATTTGCTCCGCGATGTCTCCCGACAGGTCCCTCCGATAGGGCAACTCACCTTATGGTGGGGTACATCAACGCGGCGGAGCTCGCTGCAAGGAAAAAAGAATCAGTACTGCGATTGGATGTGCGAAACTGGACGGGGGCAGACCCACCGGTAGCTGTTTCGAGGCCATAGTCCATACCGTCACGGATTCTCATACCACTCAAGGCCATGATACTGCCGATGCCCAATGAGCCGACGAGGGAGGGGACGGAGGAGAAGCGGGCGTAGGCTGTGATACCGCCGAGGATGGTAACGCCGGAAAGCTGGAGGGGGGCGCAGTCAGCACCACTTGAAGGAGTAACGGGATACCCGGGCGGGGATGACGTACGACGGAGACGGGCTTGCTGGACTGTGGGTGGTGAGCGGGGGCACTGGCTGGGTGGGGTGTGCTTACCATGGTGTTGTGAGTGGCGTAGTAGTAAGTGGAGGCAAGTAGATGTAAAGTAAGCAGTGAGAATAGATGGCATTCGTCAGATGACAACGACCCCGCTCACCCGGCTCCTCATCCGCACTTACCCGGCCAGCGAACCGAATTACACCGATGTCATCCATCGGCCATCGCCGCAGACCCCACAACGGGGACCCGCTCCCCGGGGGGCTCTCCGCACTCCGATCGCACTTCTTATCTCCAGACCGTCGCTGTGTTCTGCATCTGTATTCTGCATCTCGTCGATACATGCACATACCATACCTTGCTACACCGTGGACGGGGCGTGGACGGGGCACGCTTACACCTAGAGGGGGCGTTTACGCTAGGAGCCACTCTTTTCCAGCTTACGTGAATCCGGCAGCGGACTCTTCACCCACAGCCAGCGCGGCTTATCGGCACTTGATTCGTTCGCAGTTCATCTACGGATCCTCAACACGAATTTCTCTCCTGATACTCCCCCACTGAGTACTTGCAGAATATGGAAAAGCAATCTCGACATCCAGCATCTGGCCCTGTCCGAAGGCGACGCCTCGTGAAGAGCTGTGGATTTTGCTATCGACACAAGGTATGTCCGCTTCGGGAGATATGACAACATTTCCGACTATGGGTTGGTAGGTCAAATGTGACAAAGTGTTCCCTTGCTCTCGGTGCTCTTCCCGCGGACTCGGCCATCTCTGTGAACAGTTGTACGTCAAGCGTTCTTATCTCCCTCCTCTACGTCTAAACACGTACTACAGGACATCAACAGCGAACGGCCAAGCCACCACATCATCTTCAGCATCCAAAAGACAGCCGACGATGGCAGAATTGATCGAGGAAAACAAATCTCTACTTCGAAAAGTCAATGCCCAACAAAAGATTATCAATGCCTTTTCCGGCGACCAAGGCTTCTCGCATGCGGATGAGCTAAGGGATCCACCCTTCTTCCCCGAGTCGGCAGCCTACGAGCCTGAGCAGGAGGTAGCGGAACAAGATGCTGAGAGGGGAGAGCAGCCCGACTACCTATTTACGATCCGAGAAGTGTACGGCACGGCGCCCGAGTCGGTCCTCGAGGCAAGCCCCCATTGCATATCTGATTGTGCAAAGCTCACTCTCTAGTGAAAGCCCAAATTGATCTTTACCCAAGATACCGAAGCAGCCCGTCACTCTCTACTCGCAATCGTCCCCACGCAGTATTCCCATTACTTGGTACGCCACCATTGCAAAGTATTGCACTGGATCCATGCTGTATTTCATATCCCCTCGTTCTTGAGCGCGCACGACGGGTGGATAGCGAGTATACAGCGCGGGCAGTTGACAGATCAGTCTTATGACTTTTTGTCGTTGTGTGCGTGATTTGATCTTGTGACTGGTTGTAAGCTGATCAAAGCAAGATTTTGCCATTATATCTGCTAGCCTATACTTTCTCGATGAGACAGAGGCCATGGGGCTAGGTTTGACCAAAGGTGTGTTTTCCCCGATACTCGTCTCCCACTGACCTCCTGGGTCTCATAGATGCTATAAAGGCTCTCCCCCGGTTATGGTTCGACATCTCCATCAACTGCCTCCATCTCGGCCAATACATGGTTCGCTCCACCATCCCCACCCTTCAGACCATATGCGTCTTACCATTAGTAGCTCATTCGTTCGGGTACGTGCTATCCCACAGTATCACACTCCCAATGCTCACTTTTTTCAGCATGTCGGCGTATCTCTTCTCTCTCCTGGAACTAGCTTTCAACATGGCCAAAGACCTCAATCTTCATCTTCTAGCCGACGAATCAATTTACGCGGCTTCTCTCGGGAATGTGGACTCTGAGATGGGAAAGAGGATATGGACATGCTTGGATGTTGCGCATTGGTGAGTCCCTCCGGTCAGTTTCGTGTGGAGGCGCTGACTTTCAAAGTATGCATCCGAGTATAAGTCAGCCTTACGCTCTGCTTTATCCCACATCACGCACTTCACCACCAGCCAATGTCGACGATGCCCACTTTTCAGATACTGTGCCTGCAATCTCTCGGCCGTTATATCAAACAACCGGCGTCACCCAGTAAGCCCACACCCCCAACACAAACAAGACTGAGGCTGACAATTACCAAGCTTGATTTCCATGGGTCAATTCGCCAGCCTCTACCGAGGTTTCAACACTGAATACAACAAGGAAACCACAACCTACGCCCGCTTTCTCGTCGCTCAAAAGTATGGTCAAAAAGCCGGCACCATCCTCGATTCTATGCCCGAGCACCAGCCCCGGCCCTTGGAGCAGTATTATCCGATCGTGGTTACGGGGGAGGCTTTCAACTATCGGCCTTGGTCGAGGTTCTTGTTTTCATCTTTGATACCTCAATGCCGGATCCATTTCTTTCGGTGGTTTCTCCGTCCGGCTTATGGAGATGATCGATTTCGAGAAGCACGGAAAGTGAGTCGTGTTACTTGCAGAAAAGGAATAGGGGTGACAGCTGACGGTTGTAGATCTGCTTGCAAGCTTCTCGGGAGATCATTGAACTTCGCTGTAAACCCATCCCGCCTCTCTATCAAAAGAACTGGTACGTGCCTCCTATGTCTCGAGTGAGCCACGCTGATGATACCGTCAGGCATGTCTCGGTCAATACCATCATGGCAGCTACAGTCATCGCAACAGAGCTCCTCCATGGGGGCCACGAAGAGCCCGTAAAAGTCGGGTTCAGGACAGAGGTCAATACAGCTATCGAGATCTTGCGACAAAGCAATACTACCAACACGATCATTCCACGAGGTATTGAGCTGCTACAGCGGATGTTGGCGGAAGAAGCTGCGGCGGCGGCTTGGACGCAGGAAGGGTTCTGGAAGAGTCTGGCAGAGATTTCAGCGGATGAAGATCTGCTGGCATTGTTGCTCGGGAACGGTAGTAGCTGAATGAATGCATGGGACGACAATTTATCAATACAGCTCTGCCCCGGCAAGCTTTAGAAGAGTCGAGTTTAGCTTGGGGAGGGACGCAGGGATGCCAGTGTCGTATGGACAGGGCTGGCCGTCCTCGCGGATCTTGGGCTCGTGCGGCCTGGAATAGATGGCGGCAAAGGGGACGTGGGTGGTACCTCGGTAGTTCTCGAATGCGACCTTGCGGGTTTGTCGATCTTCGTCCGAGAGTAGTGAAGAAGGAGCCATACACACATCTGACAGAGTATCAGCATACTGGAGCATGGAGGTTGAAGGAGAGCTTACAAGTGACGACTCGGTCTTGTTCTCCGTTGGGCCTGACGTTGTAGTGCATGGTTCTCGAATCCCACAAGATGAGATCCCCGGGATCAGCACAGACTTTTGTCCACTTGCATCCGCGAGAGTAGAACCAGTCTTGTTGCTCGTCCGTGAAACCTGTGCGGCATTAGAGATGTCAACATATGGGCCAAGGGTTTGACTCACCATACCAGTCGAACGGACCCCAGGTCTTGTAGGTTTCACGCCCGTGGATGTCAAAGAACTCTTCCACAAGCTGGTTGCTACCCTCCAATACCATAAGACCGCCGTCATCAGGACCATTGTGGTTCAGGTTGACAATGCCTTGGCAGCAGTAGAATCCTACTCGGTGGTGAGATTGACTATTGCCCTCCGGTCAGTATGTCACAAGTCAACAAGGCTTTTCAGGTAGTGTCGACTCACTCCATGTGTTCCCATTTACCATCATCTTTGATGTCGGTTCGATTGGGCAACATCAAGCAACCGCCGTCGAAGGAAGTGATAAGCTCGTCAGTCCCCCAGACTTTGGCAAAGGCGTCGATGACTCCAGGCTCGCAACGAATGTCCCAGACCTAGCATCACATCAGCATTGATACCAAAGAGGATAGATTTGCTCACAAAGTCCAGGTGAGGGAAGCCATAGCCATGGAACATTCCGCCTTTCATATGAACCGGGAGGTGCTCGTTCTTCCACGTCGTTGGGTCATTCCGATCAAAGCCGAGTGGGAAGCTTTCCATCCACTGAAACATGCGCTCGCGATAAGACAACGCCTTATCAGCGGGAATAGCCCCTTTCACTACAGCATAACCCTTGGTGGAGAGGTCGTCCCTCCAATCGCTAAAGACAGGCTTGTCGAAGCGTTCGGCATACTTGAACGGCGGGAGTTCAGGGGGGGGTGTGGATCGGTCTTCGTATCCGCTCTTTGCGGCGGTGGCGACGGGCATAATGAGTTATCTTTGGGCGTCATTCATCTTTGACTACTCTTTCCATATATATGCTTTGATGTGAGGCCTGTTGACTATCTTAACGCCGAAAACTCGGGTGGAAAGTCTGCTTGTAGCGGTGTTCTGCTGATGTTACTTAAGAGCGAAAACCCGGGTGCCTGGGCTATCTTGATAGTCCCTGTTAAGAGCGAAAACTCGGTCGTAAGAGATAAGCATGCAGATATCACTCTATGACTGTGCTGTTGATGAGAGATAGCCTATCGCCTGTAAGGCATTATATATACATACATCAAGAACAGTTGTCGACCCCAATGAAGGTTCCGTCTTGTCTTTTCGTATAGCAGCGACATGTCGTCCCCTGTGGTGATGTGGCAATCCATGTGAGTGCATGTGTGCCATTCCGGTCAGCACATCGGCTTTCGTAACCAATACTGACATTGCATTATAGCCCCAATGCTGTCGACGTGACACCTTGGCCCAAGAATAGAGGCCTCTTTCAACTCTTTTACTACTTTTCCATTCTCTGCGTTGGTGAATTACTCATCGGCTATGATGGAACCATCACGGGAAGTCTGCAAGCCCTTCCAGGTGAGCATAAAGTGTAGACCTCGCTCTGTCGAGTAGCTGACAATGGCTACAGAGTGGAAAGCGGACTTGGGTAATCCTGACGCAAGCAAGATCGGTCTCTTGAACGCTGCCGCTTTCATCGTCGTAAGTCACGTTCATAGCCTCTCAAGAAGGATGAGCAACTGACCTGAGTTTCGTCTAGGGTATCTGCATGGGCCCTATCAACTCCTGGGTCGTGGATCGCTTCGGGCGCAAATTGCCCATTCAATGGTTCTCTATGACGATGATCGTCGGTACAATTATCGGCTGCATCGCTGGAGCCAAAGGCGGTCAAACTGGTTACGCTCTGTTTGTGGCTTCACGAGCGGTCATAGGTGCTGGTATTCCACCATTCTTGATGACTGCTTTGATCTTGAACCAAGAACTGGTAAGCTCTATCTCGAGTCGGCTTCGCCGGCATGTGGTATGTCAGCAAGCTCACGCTGCTGCCAGTCTCACCCTCGATATCGTGCACTTTGCTCAGCTCTGTGGGATTGCGACTTTATCCTAGGTTCGACCATCGCCAGTCTGGTTACTTTCGGCACTAGCCACATCACGGGCTCTTGGTCTTGGCGAGTACCCTACATCCTCCAGCTTCTTCCTGCGACCTACATGCTAGTCGCTGTTCATTTCATGCCTGAATCCCCTCGTTGGCTCGTGGCCAATGGTAAATTCATCATCGCTCCACATCCCCGACTGGTAGTGTGCTTACCGATCGGGCAGGAAGGGAAGAGGAAGCTTTTGAATTCTTTGTCAAATACCACGGCAACGGCGATCCCAACGACGAGCTTGTCGCTTTCGAGTGGCAGGAAGTCAAGGAGACGATCGCTCTGGAAGAAGCCAACAGGCGCCGCAGCTGGGCTGAAGTACTCCGCATGCCGGGCAACAAGCACCGGCTTTGTCTTGCGGCTCTTATGACCTTTATGCCTCAAGTGAGCTTATCCATTCGAGACAGAGAAGACACGGAGACTGACGTGATACCTAGATGAGCGGTTCAAACATCATCTCATACTACTACTCTGTTGTCCTTACACAGTCTGGCATCTCGGGGGCCGGTAAAATCACTGGTATCGGTGCTGGGCTCAACATGTGAGTCCTGAGTGTCTAGAATTGATACGGCGCTCAAGTATCAACAGGTGGGGCTTCGTCTGTCAGGTTGGAGGGGTGTGGGCGCTTCACTCTTGCCGTCGACGGACCATGGTCCTCTCGGTCTGGCCCCTTCTCATGATTGGCATGGCAGCTATGGCAGCATCTAACGGTGTCTTTCAAGTGTCAGACCAGAGTAACCATGCTGCAGGGGTTGCATCTGTTGTCATGGTATGGCTCTACAATGGCCCTGCAAACTTTATCTCGCCCTTGTTCTACTCGTATCCTGCCGAGATCTTGAGCTACTCCATTCGGGGTAAAGGAATGGCGGTCTGGAATACTGGTCCGTTGACTGACTCATCGCAATGGGGTAGTACTGACATCCTCTCGAATCTTCTTAAGTCAATCAAGCATGGGGCGCCTACGGTTCCTATGTCAACTCTATCGCCCTTGCCAATATAGGCTGGAAGTACTACTGTGTCTTCATCCCGATCCTTGCGGTGCAGTGGGTCGCAGCGTACTTCCGTAAGTTGTTGGCAGGCTGGTAAATCTCATGTTGAGCTGACCTCTGTTCAAAGTGATGGTTGAGACCAGATTACTCACTCTCGAAGAGATCGCCATCGCTTTCGAGGGTGCCGACGCTGCTGTGGCCGTGGTGGACGAGCGGCTTCGAGGCTCGGACGACAACAAAAGTCAACTGGCTGCTGATGATGAGAAGAAGATCGTGTCTGAAGGCTCAGGCAACGTTGTCATCAGCGAGGTGTAGGAGAGTGCAATGTTCCAAGTCCAATACGTCCTTCTTCCACTACCTCCGTCTCGTCTGTTCTCTCTTAAGTATTTGGGTGTTCTATGTATGCTTTCATCACGCCCATAATTCCATCGGGCCATCATCAGCTTTGACGGCATCAGCTGCCGGCGACGGCGGAGACCGATACGCGTGGCGCGTTTGACCGGCGTTATCAGTCGCTTCCCTGCCAATTTCCTGCTTATCATTTGGTGCACCACATGCTCCATCCCGTCCTTCCGTCAGCAGGACACACTAGCTCAAATATCACCCTGGCTGACCTCAAGCATCACAATCTCATTTGCCACAGATATGGACTTCGCTCTTTCCACACCAGCACCCGCACTTCAGACTTGTCTCAGGCGTCACAAAGTTTGAGCTTGACATCGCGCCGCCTTGCCCGACTATCGATGAAACTCGGTATCGCCCGGCCCAGGCGCTTCAATAATCCACCTCAGGACGTATACCTGCAGAAGCTCGACGGTGGGAATCTGATTTGACTGTCTACGACGACAGAGACGACTGCTCAAGATAAGGTATATCCGACTGTATAAATATTAGGGATTCTCGAGGATCGCTCTTGCATACCCATTACCATACAGATAATTGGCCGACTTAGGCTACTCACCTTCTACTTGCCAGAGCGACAGCAAAATCCGCTACATGACCGGTGGCTCCTCTCATGTCGACTGGAGGTCTATGTAAGTGTCGTGTCGCCTCGACAAACCCAAGGTCAGCTCTGACTATCTCCAGTCCAAATGCAATCGACCAAACTCCTTGGCCGAAGAACCGCGGTCTGTCCAAACTCTTCTTCTTCTCCTCCGTCCTATATATGGGCCAGTTCTTGAACGGCTATGATGGGACTATCACTGGAGGTCTTCAAGCTCTGCCTGGTATGTATCTCGAATTAGTCATGTGATGTCTACTGATCACCCTGTGATAGATTGGAACAAAGACCTGGGGTACCCGTCTGCTGGGAGGATAGGATTGCTAAATGCAGCTTCTTACATCGTCGTGCGTACCCGCCTCTCCTCTCTGACCACACAATGCCGGCTTAGTCTTACGCGTCACAGGGTGTTTGTATGGGACCGCTCAACGCATGGGTGGTCGACAAATTCGGGAGAAAATGGCCTATTCGATGGTACGCTCTCGCAATGATCGTGGGCACCGTCATTGGCTGTGTGGCTGGGTCTCAGTCTGGCAACACGGGCTATGGCTTGTTCGTGGCATCAAGGGCTATCATCGGATCGGGTGTACCGGTATTTCTGATGGCCGCCCAGATTGTCAACCAAGAGATGGTGAGACGAACGCACATATGACAATGGCCAGTATGCTGAACAGTGGTATAGGCACATCCGCGATTCCGTCCTCAAATGGCTGCCTACTGGGATTGTAACTGGGTATGTCCTGTCTTTGCTCATTTCCAAGCTCCATACTAAAGGGCGAGCAGGTTTTGGGAAGCACTGTGGCTTCCTTCATCACCTTCGGCACATCCTACATCAACTCTTCCTGGTCTTGGCGTATCCCATACCTCATCCAGCTCCTCCCCGCCCTCTACATGCTAGTCGCCGTCCAATTCATGCCCGAGACCCCACGATTCCTCATCGCCAATGGCAAGGAAGAAGAGGCTTACAGATTCTTTGTGGACTACCACGGCAACGGAGATGAGGAAGATGAATTGGTCAAGTTCGAGTGGAGGGAAATGAAGGATACGATTGAGATGGAGAAAGGCGAGAAGCTGGGATGGACACAGCTTTTGAAGACACGGGCGAACGTGCATCGTCTGGGTTTGGTAGCACTGATCACCACTATGCCTCAGGTGAGTAGCCTCCTGAAGAGTTGCCGACAATGACTGACCATGTTCACAGCTCAACGGTAGCACGATGATCAGCTACTACTACTCAATCATCCTCACTCAATGCGGCATCACCGGCGCCGGTCAAATCACTGGTATCGGTGCTGGGCTCAACATGTACAGTTTCATTCTCCAATGCCTCGGCGTCTACTCTCTCCGCTACTTTGGCCGTCGATCCATGGTCCTCTCCACTTGGCCGCTGCTTATTCTCGGTATGGCGGCCATGGCTGCGACGAGTGGGGTCTATCAGCATTCGGGACAAAGCGACAAAGGAGCCGGGATAGCAAACGTGGTGATGGTCTGGCTATATTCGACGCCGTGGAATTATGTGTCGCCCATCTTCTACTCGTATCCGGCCGAGATCTTGAACTATGAGATCAGAGGGAAGGGTATGGCTGTATGGAATACTGGTCAGTGCCATGTTTGACAGGCGGGGTCAAGTGCTAACGTCTGTATGTCAGTCAACCAAGGATGGGGCGCCTATGGGTCTTATGTCAACTCGATCGCGTTGGACAGCATTGGATACAAGTACTACTGCGTCTACATTCCCATTCTCGCCCTACAATGGGTGCTGACCTACTTTTGTAAGCTGGTTCATTCTTATGATGTGTTTATGTGGGTTTTTCTAACACTTGTCTATAGTCATGGTTGAAGTCAAGGGCTTGACTTTGGAGGAGATTGCGATAGCTTTCGAAGGCGACAGTGCGGCTGTGGCCAGAGTCGACGCGCGGTTGGTGGACGGTGTCTCTGGAGGTATAGGAGAGGGAGACGATGACGAGAAGAAGCTGGGTCTATCAGGGGCATCTGTCATTGCTCCGGTTATCTAGTGCGGCTATGCTTCTAGTATATGTGGTATTGTGCCTTGTCCTTTTCATGTAAACGTTCTATATGACTCGGTACTAGCCCATGCTATCAACTCATCAGCAGTCCACTAATAGAATCACCAAGGCGGGGGGGGGTGGTGGTCTCAGCAAGGGTGAGGAAGGATGTTCATGGATAAAGTGTGCGGTTTTAGTACTAATTGAGGGGTGTTCGGAGACCACATGGGGACAACATGTTGCCTGTAAAAGCCAAGTGAAGTGGATGATATCGACGTTAGGACCGTACAGGAAGGGATCAATCGAGACTACCATACTTTCGCCACGCAGGATACATGATGATATGGATGACTATTTGACTCACCTTTCTACAGCAGTGCGACGCAATCGAGCGAGTTGCTACGTAGAGGCATGACAACACAGTGAAGTTTGGTTCCGCCATCCCAACGCCATCCACTTCTACTCGTACTTCTATACTTCTACTCCTATAGATGTCAATCAGGGATGTCAAGCTTTGTTTCGCTCGGCCACTCCATTTCAAGGCTAAAAGCACCTTACAAGTCTCTGGATGTACATGTCATTATGATGCTAAATCGCATGTCACTTCCTAACACTGTACCCCTCTGATTGATATGTATACACCGGGCTCTACTGTCCCTTTTTCTTCCGCCAGCCCCCCACCGCCTCTTTCATAGAACTGGAAGAGTCTCGCAACCCGTCCACAATACCCTTCCAGGGACTTTTCCCCTGCTTATCCTGCGCGGAAGCCTTTTTGGTGCCAGTATCCGGCTTGGCCGTCTTCTTGCTATTGCTAGCCAAAGACTTCTTGCCGGAGGCACGAGCAACAGATGCGCCGGTGTTGCCTGTTTCGACTTTCACCTTGGGGAGCGGTAGGAATGGAGACGAGGGCGTAGGGTCGGGGCAGGGAAGGGCACAGGCGACCGCGAATTCCGCACACGTCAATCTGCCATGGCCGTACCTGGTCACCGGGCCATTCCTGCCGATGGGAAGGCCTTTGCGAACCACGTTCGGGGTGAATGGGTCCTGTTGTAATGGAATGAAGAGCTCGTAGGAGCTCAAGATGACAACAGTTGCTTTTTTGTGCAGATGCATCTCTTCCCACAACTACCATTTATAGCGTCAGCCAGACAATCTTGCAGCTGATACCGGATGGCCCTACCTGGGAGCCGGCGTTCGCCCAATGCTGTAGTCCTTTTATTACTGTGCCATCTTCCTCAACCACTTTGATAACATCTTCGTCCGACAGGACCACTCGCATCCCGCCCGGCTTCGCCGCCTCCGTCATGAGTTGCTGTACTTTTGCGGCGGGCTGTGGGCTGTCCGTGAGGACGGTTCGCAACTTCAATTCTGCGAAAGCGGCGACTATCTTATCTCTTTTCCTCACATACACCCAATCGGGATTCCCGCTCTTCGGCACTCTGGAAGCCCGCCAAAAGCCACGGAATCTCTTGGATAAGACATGGCTTTTGGTGACCATGTTGATAAATCTCCAAAAGACGAATCCCATCCTGGATGAGAGCTGAGGCTCATTGAAGATGGTGTATTCACCCCCCTCTTCGTGGTCCCCTTCCTCACACCCTTCATAATCGTCACCCGTTTCCTCATCCTCTTCATCCTCTTCATCCTCTTCATCCTCTTCATCCTCTTCATCCTCTTCATCCTCTTCATCCTCTTCATCCTCTTCATCCTCTTCATCCTCTTCATCCTCTTCGTTTCCCTCATCGGCCAGGAAGGTCTGTTTCAGAGGAAACTTGTATGCGAGACTCCTTGGAGCGATATTGTGAAGAGGCACAGCATCGTCAAGGGCCTCCTCTAGCCGACTGTTCAGACTCGGGTCCAAAACAAACCGCACACCATTTCCCACCGTCCTCTTAAAGATATCCTTTGTGTGATCGGTAGGGGCGCGGGTTGCAGCCGTCGCAATGGAACCGTAGTCCATATCCACAGGGACGAAGCTGGCCAGCATTTGCCGAGTGGTGATGTCAGGGAAATCGGAGGGAATGGGAGGGAGGCGATGGGACTCGGGCATTCTAGGCGGTGAGGGGCGTGGGTGCGAGGTGTTGGTGTAAGGTCTTTCGGGGTAGCGTAGGAGAAAGGTGGCGCGTAGAGTGTGGAGGAAGGGTCTTCGGTTGTTGCAAGAGTTTGAGGATGCAGTACAGGGGGAGACAGTGCGGGAATAGTCGATGGAAATGTGACGGAAAGAGTGGTTGGGTTCTGAGATAGAATTGTGATGACGGGCCACGAGGCGCGCGAGCACGGACGCGGTTTTCCCTCCCCCAAATCGCCACAACCATGTGTACCACGGGGCTGTGCATCGGCGCCCAAAATCAGATTGGTACGTGGACTGGAAGTGCACTAGCCGTTTCCGAGCCCCAGCATGGCTTCCACCTCCTCCATCTCGTCCGCCAGCATCTCATCCCCCCATGCCCCATCCGACACTCGTCTCGCACCCTCAAAGTCGATGATACACAGACTACCGTCTGCACGCCGACGGATGTGGCGGCGTTCGATGTCACCATGAATAATCCGAACGCTATGCAGTGCTTCATAGAGTGAACAGATAGCGAGCCTTCAGAGAGAGTATCAGTCAACGTTGTACTAGTAGTAGCGTCACGCAAGGAACTCACTTCGTCTGGAGAGGAAGCAGCGGCAGGTCCTTGTCCTTAGCACAAACGGCACTGCCGACACGCTCCAAAATCATAAAGTTGATCTCCCTGCTTTCCCACTCTCGACTGACATACATCAGGCCCCGAGGAGCTCCAAAACACCGGGGCACGATATGGCCTTGCAGGCAAGAAAGCACCCCCCCGTAAAGCTCTACCTCCGCTTCCCAAGCATCTACCGCCTTGGCACCTGTCTCGTACCCTGCCGATCCTTTTGCATCGTCAAAGGTGCTGGGACGCATGATCTTGATGACGAGCGGGGGCAGATCGTCAGGATGATTGGCTGGAACTCTGGAAGTGAGGGAATAGACATCAGAAAGGCGCCCCCTGTCGATCAATGATCCTATAGAGAATTCGAGGTCGACTGCTGAAGAAGCATCGATTTGTTGGGAGGCACAGAGGGTGGGAGAGGAGGACCATGCGGAGATGGGGATGGCGGTGATGGCAATTGTAATGGGAGCTTCTTTTCGAGGAGTGGCGCGAGGGGTGAGGGGAGGATCGGCGATGGGAAGCAAGGGTGGCGACGAAGAGATTTTGGTACAGTCGTCGAAATGGGGGTGTATAAGGTCCTTGTCAATCCATCCATAGATAGATGAGTCGGACAAGCCAACAGGGCCGAAGAAATGGTGCGCCAAGGAGCGCCCCGAATCAGACAAAGAGCAGCCATGGAAGTGAAGGCGAGCCCACACAGACTATCGTCGAGATCAGCGCTGTAGCTGGGTTACGGAGATCAAGACACTCACGGGATGAGCTGAACCGCTGGCCCTGCGTCCGCTCTCAAAGCGATCCTCACTGACATCTTGCCCCTGCTTAGACACCCTCCTTCTCTTGGCCTTCCGTTGTTTGTCTGCTTCCTTGCTGCCTCTGATCCCGGCCAATCTACACATACTTGTAAACACTCCCGCCAAGGCCCCACCCTTACCCTCGCTACGTGCAGTCTCAATCTTGAGTTTGGGGAGAGGCAGAAACGGTGGAACGTGGGATGGGGCCGGGAGGGAGAGAGTAGAGGCGATGGCGAGCTCAAAACATGTCAGGGCTCCGTCACCTGCACCTGTCAACCCTGCATCTCTGACAATCGGCAAACCAACGCGCAAGATGTTTGGCGCTGAGCGGTCCCGTTCGAGTGGCAGAAAGATTTCAGAAGAGCTCAAAAGCATGATATTCGCCGTGTCGAATAGTCTGTACTTTTCCCAGAACTAGCCTCAATGTCAGTAGCTACTCTCGCAGCCAGATGAAGCACATACCTGCGCTATACAATTCGCCCAGTACTCCATACCCGAGACCTCTACTCCATCTTCCTCAACAACCCCCACCGACTTCTCGCCCGTCACGATAACCCGCATGCCTCCTGGCTTTGACGCCTCTTCCAAAAGTCGCTGCACTCTTCCGGCGTGATCGAAGGTATCCCTGAGAATGCTGGGCATTATGGTCTCAGAGAGTGCTTGGACCTTCCCATCTACCTTCCGGACACAAATCCAGCTACGCGCCCCACCATTCTTTGATTCACATGACCGCCACTCGCCGCGGAGGTTCTTGTCAAGGGCTTTGCTCTTCAGGACAAGGTTTACAAATGGCCAAAACATCTCCTCCATCGTGTCGGAGAGGTCGCGCTCACTGTAGATAGGCTCTAGATCTTTCTCTTCATCGTGGATATCGTCCAAAGCCTGTTTCCAGAAGATGGCAGTCGTCAGTTGTTTTGAAGCAAGGATGTGAGCGGGCAAGTGATTATCAAGAGCCGCGAGGAGGCGATCATTCATCCCCGGGTCCTTGATGATTCGTACACCGTTCCCCTCAGTCTCGGCGAGTACGTCGACGGAAGACACCGTGGAATCGCGGGATACCTCTTCATCGATAGATCCGAAGTCGATGGCGTCGGGGACGAATTCAGCCATGATTTGCCGGACGGGCACGGGCGGAATGTCGCCTGGGGGTTGGGGTCTGAGGGGTGCCAGGGTTTGAGGCATGATGTTCCATGCGGCGTGTTGTGCTGGTAATAGATGTAACGAAGCTGACGCAAGTAGAATTGCGGATTGTTGTCGTGGGGCCGTCAGGCGCTAGCCGCCAATTATGCACGTAATCATGATTCTGTTGATTCATTAGATTTTACTAATATTATTGAGAAGTAGAATATTGACTGCTCAAGTAGACTACTCGAATACTGCACGAAACGAATCCTTCCACATTCCCCCCAGAGGATAGCTTCTTGCACTTGTATCCACATGACCCCAGCCCCGTCGAACGACATGATATCCTCTGCAGCCCATCGCTAGCCGGATGTGCGAGGTTCTGCCGTGATTGGGATCTGTTGCGTTGTTGATGGCGAGTAAAAGGGACAACCAACTGTTGATCGATACAGGCTGGGCATGATTGAATTGCGTGCTGTGCAAGGGTGAGACACAGAAGTCAGTTTTGGCGTGTTGCTCTCGCGGTATCGTTTGTTCCTTCCACTGTTCTCACACTGCGTCTTCCAATATCGACGCAAGCCGAAGCTGTGCAGGTGGACGGGGTTAATGAATACATCACCAAACGACTCCAACTTCTAAATGTCCTCTAGCCAGAGAAAATTTAGGCAGAAGCCTTCTTGGTGGCGGCACCACCCTCTCGGAAGCCGTTCTTGAATCGTCGGTTGACGTCCTTGAGGTGAGACATACGGCCGGTACCGCTGGACAATGGGTAAGCGATGGATAGAGCGACCAGACGAGAGTAACGTACGTAGTCTTTCTCCTCTTAGCCTTCTGGCCCCAGTTGAAGGATCTCAACTTGGCAGCGGGGTAACCACACTGGGCACAAGCTAAACAAAAGGCGCAGGTCAGTTTCCATGCCATCCCCATGATCCACACCCAAGCTGGCTTTTCCGTCTCCCCCGCGACCGCCCAACGATTCCTCCAGCAGCGGCCGAACGACCACCGCAAAATCTTTCCAATCTTCATTTCCCATTCCTTTCGGCCATCCTCTTCACAGCTAGCTTGGGTATCCTCCGCAATGTTGATGACATACTGAGCTTCTGCTTGTGGAAAGACCTGTCACCACATCGGCGGCAGAGGGTGTGGGACTTGGAGTGCCTTTTACCGCTGTTTGAGGGGTCAGCAACGGTCCATTAAACAGCCATCAAACGCCAACGTACAAGGAGGGGGTACCCTGTTAGTTGGGGGAAGCGACCAGGTCAAGAAAAGAGTTGCAAGACCTTCCGTCAGCTGATATCCAGAGGATATAGGGGGTTGTTATGTTATACGTACTTTAGTCTACAGGCAAAGTCAGCATGGTTCTTTCACAGGACATACACCCTCTCTGTCTCTGCTCCTTCCTGGGTCGAGTACGCACCATTTTGAGGATTAGTTGTGGCTTGAGGGCTGGTAGAGGCTTGCGTCAAAAATCAATCATGAACACCACCACCCAGAGCCACCGGGAATTTCGTCCAGGCCAGTGTGGCACTTTTGATACCGCAAACTTTCGGCGATCGCCGCCCCGGCCGCCGATCATTGACGCGACGGAAAGCATGTTTCAATGCAATCGTGTCTTGTGCATGTGAAAGCAGAGCCATGTCTACTCTACCACCACTCAAGTCGTTTTCACTCACACACATCCTCTATGATCCCGCGCACCCACTCTCCATCCCCCTCACCCTCCTCTCCCTCTCCCCCATCTTTCTCTTCGTCTCCTACTTTACGCTCCTCATCTTCACTCGACGCTTGACAATAGCGCTCCTTGCAGGTGGACAGCTGATCAATGAGGTCCTTTCCTGGGCGCTGAAGAGGGTAGTAAAGGAGGGAAGGCCGTATACGGGCCATGGAGAATTGGGCACGGGGTATGCGTGGCCGTCAAGCCATGCGCAGGCTGCTGGATTTCTGGTGGCGTGGGGTTTGGGATATGCCTGGACCATGGACAAGAGAAGCAGAAAGCTGCGGAATCAGTCAGCGGAGACGATTAGAAGGTGGAGGACTGGAATATACGTGCTTGGACTGATTGTCTGGTCTGTAGGCGTCTCCTACTCCAGGTAAGACCTTTCTCTCTCTGTGCCTGCTCGAACGCTGATGTTAAATCAAGGTATCACTTGCATTACCACTCTCCCTCTCAAATCGTCGCCGGATACCTCGTCGGCAATGGTTACGGTGCATTGCACTTTCTTTTGTCAGAGTATTATCCATTGTACCACTCCACATCGCTTCTGGCGAAATTGCGCCGTGGTGTAGAGTATGTCTGGGAAGGCGTCGGTGGTGTGGGAGGATGGAATCTGGGAGATGCTGAAGGCGGATGGGGAGAGGGTTGGATGCTGGCTGAAGAAGCGGACAAGAAAAAGACATGAATCATCATATCTCATTGAGCTCATCGCTGTGCACATCTGCTCATCTGAGGGGTGCTTCTTGAAAAGGTATACATGTCCTATCCTACGAGTTGTCTTCTGCCATCCTTCTTTCTCACGGTCCACTGCGAACGTATTCACTTCCTACCATTTTGCCTACATGCGCGGAGGCCGTCGGGCGCTCGCTTCTCGGCACTCCCCGCCCTGGCGTCATAATCGACGAGACCTTCTGACTGCATCACATCATAGCTTTCCGCCATCTTCAGCATCACCTGACCACCTTCCATCCACGACCAGCACTACTGTGCCCTTGAACTCTGAAAAGTAGAGACTTGCGTACGCGATCCTTCCGGGTGCAACCGATCCGAGAACCTCCACTTTCACGTCCACACCAAGGCACCAGCTGCGTACTGGCGCGTGTGAAACAGTTCGTATGTCATTCCATCTACCAGTGCCGACCGGCAGCCTCACTCGGAGCTTAGCTTATACTTCTTTAGTGGCCAGTGGAAGGCTACGCCAGCTTTGATCATTATCCGACCATTCCCGAGCGGTTTTCCATAAAAGTCACACACCCGCATGCGAGCCACCTTTCTTCTCCGCTCATATAGGATCTCAACGACGACTCTTCGACCTACCACCAGCAATCTACCACGGCAACACATTCGAACAATGACCAAACAATCCGCTCAACAAGCGCAACAGCCCGAGATTCTCGGGACGGAAGAGTACAAGACGGACGCCAAATGGTTGAAGCTTGAGAAGATCAATTGGAAAGACCAAGATGGAAAAGAGGTAAGGACTCAAGACCTATTCTTAGAGTTCATGCTAATACTAGAGTCAGCGAGCTTGGGAGGTTGCCAACAGGTCCACCAGGCCCAAGGGCGGAGTAGATTGTGAGTATTATTGCGGCTGGACGAATATAGCTCATACCAAAGCAGCGGTACATATCCTTGCGCTCCTTCACCACCCCAATAAGCCTACTTCCACAATCTTCATCGAGCAGTACCGCCCTCCTGTGGCATCTACTGTCATCGGTATGTCCCGCTCACGTCTTTCCTGGCATCTACTGATTCCTATGGCAGAGCTTCCTGCCGGGTTAATTGACGAAGGAGAGGACGCTGCGTGAGTCGGTATTCTTTGAATGGGTTCTATAATCTGATGGTCGGGGATAGCACATCAGCCCTGCGAGAGCTGCACGAAGAGACAGGTTATGGTGGTGGGAAACACGGGGGCGAGGCTAAAGTCGCCCATATATCTTCAGTGCTCGCCAAAGATCCCGGGTACGTCGATACCCACCTCTCACTCCCAATGTACTGACGTGCACACAGAATGACGGGGGCAAATATGTATCTGGTGACGATCGATGTGCATCTGAGTGAGAATGATCCGGAGCCTGAGCAGCACCTCGACGATGTAGGTACTCTGGCCGTCCTCTCGAAAAACCCTGCGGATGAACGGAAGGTTGACTTGGTATCAGGGCGAGCACATTGTGAGGAAAGTAGTCCCTCTCAAATACCTCATCAGGCATCTTCAAGGTACGCTATCTTCTTTATTGATTTGAGCTGCATGTCTAATAATACATGCTCGTACAGACTACGCCAGAAGAGGCTACACAGTCGACACTATTCTAGCTTCTATTGCTACCGGCTGGGAGCTCCATCGTCGCTTCGAATCTGAATAGTGATCCTTGAAAGGAAAAAGACAAGTGATGGTTCTGAGAAATCGTTTGAAGAGGAAATGTGATGTTTGTATTGCCTTTCCTTTGACTGATGGAAGAAGCGCAATGAGAATGCATGTCATTTCTATCATTGTATCCCGTCTCCTTCTTGCAGGGCCCTTCCTCGAAAAGAATTGAAGAAGATTGACAAGCGTGTGCATGACGGTCTGCTTCGTTATCGTTGAACAACATGAGAATGGAAGCGACTGTCTCAAAGTAAGCTTCGGTGGTGAAGATGGCGATGGCAAAGAAGCTCAAGAAGATCCTTCGGTCGTGAGATATAAGACAAGGGCAAAGAGGATACAAGGTTCTAGCCCTTCTGAGAGGGTTGGGCGAATCATGGCAGATAGTACCAACATCAACACCCACAGCGTTCGCACACCAGTCCCTACCTCGCTCCGGGACCCTCTATCTCATTCCAGGCACTCTCAGATATCGTCGTCCACTCCCTCCCTCTTTGGTACATCTGTCCCGTCAACTCTTAGCGGCCGTAGTATCACACAGAGTGAAAGTCATGTTGAAGATGAACCAGAAACCGGGAGTCCGCCGGCCGAACCGATGAGACAGGCCAAGATTGAGGTTCAAGAGGTTTCCATCGGGATCGGGAGAGGAGATCGAGTAAAGCATAGTCACTCCATTGAAGACTTGGTATGATAGCCTGGGTAACCTGCGAGGGATGACTGAAGGGCGCAAAACTAGACGGGGTCGCAGTTTGGCGCATGCACAGACTCGTAGCAGGAAGAGCAGTGTGACTCCATGCCCCATTCCTAATAGTTCAGACAAGCCCATCTATACACGCGCCCAGGACTCGCTATAAGGGCGACTGCTCCTCCTTGATACCCAACATCCTGTTGACCTTCTCCCGCTTGGTCTTCCGGAACGCTTCCACAGCTTCTCGACCCTTTTCTGAGCGGTGCGCGATAAAGTCGAGCTTCATGGAATCTATTCTCTCTGTTGTCATACTGTAAACCTGTGTCAGCACCGCTCTATGGTAAGAGAAGTAACACACAATCCTTTCATGCAATCTTGCATGACCCCGAGTTTGCCTTTGCAGGCAAAAGGCAAGGTGAATGTCCTGCCAGTAGCGCAATCGGCAAAGTCTGCTTTATATCAGATCGTGTCAATGCTCTGGTACCGCGAGAAGCTCACCCTTAACAAATTTATCACACGTCTTCAGTGCTTGAGACTTTGCATCTTCCATGACCTGCATCTCTTCTCGTCTTGAAAGGGCCTCCATATTTTTCCGTTGGGTCGTCGGGTGTGGGTATTGGATGGGCGCAAGCGCGTAGGTGTTATGTCGAGGCAGTATTTGGAGTTCGGCTGTGATAGACGAATGTATATAGCTCAATGAGATATGAATGTAAAGTATTCAGATTGTTGGAAGATTGTTGTGATTTGACCTTCTGCTGTCAAGTGGTGATGTAACAACGGCGGCATCCGTTGCCCGCCGAGATACGAGATGCCAGCTCGAGTGAGCGGTCTGAGCATCTTTTTTTGGTAATCAGAACTCGACCACCCCCCTGTCGGCCCTCGGAAAAGAGCTCAAGTACCGGAAATGAGCACCCCTTTCAAAAGAGCGGTCGCTCGTTCGCTCCTGCAGAGGCAGCCTCAAAACGGAGTCCATCTTCGCCGCGCGCTCGGTATTCCAGGTATCCCATACGTCACAATCTATCGCGCCTTTACTGACCCATACATATAGCTCGCAGCTATTCTAGCTCTCCATTGACCAACCCGAAACCTCCAAAATTCGGTCAACCCCATCAATCTACCCACCCACACCTAGTCCGTCCCGGCGAGCTGACACCTGGCGTACCAGGAGAGGAATATGAGCGAAGAAGGAGAAAGCTCATGGAGAGTCTTGGGGAGGATGCCAAAGTGGTGATTATGGGTGGAACTGTCAGGCTGATGTCCCAGAGTGAGTAGCAATCCTTGACGAAATGTGATATGCTGAAAGTCGTGCAGGTATATTGTGCGTTTGACATTTGTTCGAAAAAGCGAGTGGTAAAGCTGACAATCTATTCCGCAGCTATCGATTCAGACAATGTGAGTTATCTTATAGCTATCAGAACGCTTAGACTCATCATTGAACAGCTACCGACATGTACTACTTGACGGGTTTCCATGAGCCAGATGCCACCCTTGTCTTGGGTACGTGTTGCGCACATTGCCTTATCAAATTGCTGACTCGAGGCAGAATCTAAACCCTCCATACCAAGGGGCTACAAATACACCCTATTTGTTTCTCCCAAAGATGCTCATGACAGCTTGTGGGAAGGCGAGCGCGCTGGCCTCGAGGGTGCTACCTCAATCTTTGGCGCTGACGAGGTAAGATATGATGCCCGTTGTACAACGTCCATTCTGACAAGATCTGTCAGGCTCATCCCAACTCCTCGCTGTCATCTTTCCTCCCCGGTATTCTCTCCTCTGGTACAGTCTATGCCGCCCTTCCACCCTCTCCTTCTCCTTCACCATCCTCGCAACCATTCCAACCCCCTTCCTCCCGGCGTCGATCTTCCCTCCTCAAACTCTTCTCTCCAACGGCCTCCTCCACCTCTCCCTCAAGCGAGTTCCAATCATCCGATCCTCCCCACCTGCTCCTCGCTGGTGCTCTATCTTCCGGACGAGTTGTGCCTCTGGACAGATACATCCAGAAACTCCGCTTAGTCAAGTCCCCAGTAGAGATTGCCTTGATGAAGCGAGCTGCAGAGATCAGCTCGCGGGCGCACGAGAAAGTCATGAGAGCTGCGAAGGCTGGGGGGAGAGAAGCGGAGCTGGAGGCTGTTTTCGAGTTTGAGTGTGCTATGAAGGGGAGCGAGAGGCAGGCTTACGTGCCGGTCGTTGCTTCCGGGTGAGTCACGCAAGGTGTTGTGTCTCCTACTGTATACTGATGTTGCATCTTTCTAGTGCCAATGCTCTGGTCATTCATTACACCAGGAACGACTGCACTCTAGATGAAAATGATGTGAGAATTCGCTGTGTAAGACTAGTGGCATTCACTGATCAAAGTTGACAGATTGTCTTGATCGACGCGGGCTGTGAATACCACATGTACACCTCCGACATCACTCGCTCCTTCCCTGTCTCTGGCCGCTTCACCGCTCCTCAGCGCGACCTCTACGAAGCTGTGCTCAACGCTCAAAAGGAATGTATCAAGAGGTGCCAAGTGTCGGACAGAGTCAACTTGAGCGAACTGCATAGAGCGAGTTGTGGATTGCTTTTGGAGGAGTTGAGACAGATTGGATTCAAGTTGAGTGTGGGAGATGTGGAACGGACTTTGGTAAGTGGCCGTGGTTGGCTTACCGAGCTTCGAGCTAAAAGACTTTCACAGTATCCCCACTTCTTGTCGCATCATTTGGGCTCTGACTTGCACGACTGTCCCACAAGAGATCGCAATGCCACGTGAGTTCACGTGTCGCATGTTGGAAGACGGCTGCTGACCCATGCACAGACTGGTAGAAGGCAACGTGATCTCAATTGAGCCAGGAGTCTATGTCCCTTATGACAACCGTTTCCCCAAAGCTTTCCACGGTATCGGAATCCGCATAGAAGTAAGCACGGGTACTCTACTCTATATTGCATCTCAATACTCATACAGGGTTACAGGATGAAGTGGCATTCCAAAGAGAGGGCCCTCTGGTCCTGTCCGCGAATGCGCCGAAGGAGATTGCTGACGTCGAGGGAGCCTGTCAGGGACTTTTGGAATAGAACAATCATGGCAAGATAATTTGCATTGGACATGCATCAAGGATGTCACAGAGGAGAATGTGAAGAATGGATGGGTTGCAACGGAAATGTTTGCGCATGGCTCAAACGCTCAGATTTTCCCAGTCATGGCTCCTTTCATCTACTGGTATGGCCCGGGCTTTCGTACTGCTTCAAAGGATAGGTCGAGTAGTATGCGCTTTCACCCATTGCGGCGCATCAAATCGCTTATAGTAAGCAACAGACTTGTAAGATCATACTATACACCGCCTAATAGCGAAGAACCTCAACAAGACGTCAAGGGCCAACAACGCCCGGCATGAACCCGACACTTCTATGAAGCGCACCCCCACTGTCTTCACTGATATCGAAATCCTCCTACTACTTGGCATATTGATCGTCCCTTCATACAATGCGACTCCCTGGACTGCCGTGGGCTGGATTCAATCTCCTTCGCTTGATCGGCGTAGTCTTTATCATCTGGGCATTTGTTGCACAATTCATCGCGCTTGCTAAGTGAGTTTCCATGGTTGCCTTCATGGGAGATATGTCATTGATACGAACGGGCCCAAACAGCGACCTCTCTGCTAATGCAAGATCATCTGTCTCGACTACTTCGCTGACAACCTCCGAATCTGCTTTTTCGTCCTCTTCGGATGGTGAGCTGGTAACAGCGTCTTCTACTATCGATAGTCAGTGGGGAGCATCGCCCAGTTCCTCATCAAGCACCACCTCTCTTGCATTAGCAACTTCCGGATCGATCATCACTAAAGGACAAAGCATCAGCCCCGCGAATGCTATAGCGGAGGACGGCAAATCAGGCGGCCAGATGATCAAGGGAGCAGAGGAGACTGACGAGGGCAATAAGACTTCGGCCAACTGGGGAATGTCAAGTATACCCGACCAGCCTGGGGGAATCGCGTCAGTAAACGTTCTTGCACCCTGCCCTTGTCTGATGAGATACTCTAGGTTTACGATTATATCGAGGTTGATGATGGCCATCGTCCTCGGTCTCCTCCTGTGCGGACAATTCGGCTGGCCCGAGATGTTCTTGTACAAGTACGTACCTTGGCTTGGGCCGCAGTCGACACCAATTTGGCTGGGTCTGGTAGAGGTGGTGGTGGCAATAGAAAACCTGCGTGTATAGTAAGCTCAGATAATAATCAATTGCTGAATATTTGTTGATGTGATGCCTGTGCGTAGTGCTAAGAGTGTGGTCCTCAATTCGGCTTGGGGACTGTTTGCGGTCGGACTGTTCAATCTTTTAATCGTACGTGCCCTATCAAGGCAACCCTGTGACAGCGACTGACTACTTGTATAGGGCGCAGTATTTCTCTACTTGGGCAGACGCCTTCCCAAATCGCCTCCTGCCCCCTTATACTTCAACATGTCCCAGCGTCCACTCTTTTGGACGCCATTGCCCCTTTGTTATCGTCAACTGTGCGATGAGCCAGAAGCTTCGCAGAGCAAACCCGAGAACCAAGGAGATCGTAGACTTCCGCCTTCGAATGCGTATGAGATCGGACTCGATGAAGATGAAGAGGACGAAGAAAAGTCTATCAAGTCGAACCATCATTCCAACACCCATAGTCTTACCCTCGCGCCCGCAGCGCCTTTGATGGGAAAGCCCAAAGCGCCTCATCAAGACGTCACTCGCGGCGACTATCCCACCTTTTCGGGAGGAGGGCCGGCAGATCCTGGTAGACAGGTGCCTACGGGTTTCCTGGAGCGGGCCAAAGACGGCAGACTTCTCAAGTTTGTGAACGAAAACGGACAGGAAGTAAGCCCACAAGTGCAAACGAACCCGAGACCGGAAGAGTTGGGTGCCGTGAGGGGTCATCCCCGCCGGATTGAACCCTCTGGTCCGGATGGAGACCGAAAGGAAGGACGAGTCATACAGGATCGACTGCCGCCGAGAACGCACTTCAAGGGGAGGACACCTGCAGCTCTGAATCTTGACGGAACAGAGAAGGCTATGACTTCAAGGAATGCGCCTGACCAGGCTGCTCCAAAGCCTCCCCCTGTCCGCCCGATACCAAGACATGTCCAACAGGTCCGTGACGAAATGACCAATAGTCTGTCTCGCGTCAACTCTAAGCGCCAGTCAACTCTGTCAAGCGTGTTGACCATATCTGCCACCAAGGATCTGGGACCACAGTTCCCATTACCTCCCACACGCTCGTTCTCTGCCGACTCTATAAGCTCATTGGGTAGCCCCAAGCCGGCGGTGACACAACCTCCCGGTTCCGCCACCACAGCGCGTATGCATAGCGAACGAGGTAAAGGGCCGCCCCCAAGAGAACTTGATCTCCCAAAACCCAAGGAGAGAGGAAAGTCTCGACCCGAGTCAACGATACTCACGCCCAAGTCACCCGCCAAGAGTGTGCGTGAGCCACCTCTCACGGCGCCGCCTCTCTCTCCTACCCACAGTCAATCAGGCCCATCGATACCACGGCCTCTTCCTCAGCATAAATGTTCGGCCACACTACAAGCGCACTTGTCCGGGCCTCCCGGCAATTTGCCGCTCCGATCATCTATGGCCCCGTCCGCTCTCACTCGATCCGAGTCCTCCAGATCGGCCAAGGGTACCAGGCTCGCTCATGGCGTCCGCTTCATGGACAAGGTAGAGGAAAGGTCTCCCTCCCCTCCATGTACCGGGCAGACCGGGACGACGACCGCTACAACAGCTACGACAGAGGGCTACAGCGACGACGATGAGATCACAGCCGAATTAAGGAGTCCAGCAAGGAGAGGCGTTAGGGTCCCTGGGACCAACTTCCAGCTTCCAGCAGTATCATGGCCTGGCATCGGGTCGGCACGTAGAGAGTCATTTGGTCATGACAGTACACGAGGGAGCGTCCTCTCGGACAGCTCACTGGAAGACTTGAACACTAGTTCGAGTGATGATGACTCGCTTCCGTATAGGAAAGAGACAAGCGCAAAGCCAAAAGACGCCCATGATAGGAAACGAGCCAATCCTTCAGCCTCAAAAAGGCCGAAGACTGTAGCGATATTGGGCGGAAGTTATCTTGATGGCCGTAAAGAAACACGAGAGAGGAGGCCTTCTAGCATGAGCTTCGATTCGAGGTCGTCCCTAGGGTGAAGATGTGGATGTGATGTATCATATTTCCAGAATGTTGTAGATCTGTCCCACATGCATGCGAGCCCGCTACACTCTCTGTTATCCTACTCAATGTCCAGTCATGAACGGGTGAAGCAAAGCATCCCTCGGCGTAATCCTCTTGGCCGGGTCCAAATGTAAGCATTTGTCCAGTAGATCAACAAAGCTGAGCAACTGCTTGAGCTCGTCATCCTTCATCTTCAGCTGCTCGGACGATGATGGAACGAGACGCGCTCGGAGGTCCTTGGTAGGTTTGTTGATGACGTGGGTTTTCAGCGTATCCTGAAAGCTTGTCAGCTTTATCCTCTCCTGCGTTCGTCAAATCAACTTACCTGTCCAGTAATCTTATCCTTTTCGAGCCCTATGAAGTTCATCGCCTCGTCAAAATGCATCGTCCCAAAGCTCGCCTTCTTGATCATTCTGTGGTTGATTTTTCCCTTCAGCTCCATCATGAGGAGGAGCATGTGGTTGTTGGATCGGCCAGGGAAGAGGATCTTGCCGGTGAAGAGCTCGTAGAGGGTACATCCGATGGACCACATGTCAATGGCAGTGTCGTAGGGTAGACCAAGGACTATGCGAGATTAGTATCCGCCTAGCACAGTAAAGAGAGACATACTGATTTCAGGGGCACGGTAGAATCGAGAGACAAGATAAGGTGTGATTTCACCTTCAGTGATCTCTGCTGCAGAGCCAAGATCACAAATCTTTAACGTCGTCTTATTCTCGGTCACCTGTGACACAAGTCAGCCATGCTCATTATTATGGGTACTGTGAAATGACTTGCCAAGATGTTGTCCGGCTTGATGTCGGCGTGAACGATTTCGCACTTGCGCATGAGGGATAAGCCCAGGAACAGCTGATGGGCATACGCTCGAACAGCGCGCATGTTGAGACCAACGTTGTTACCAAACCGTTTGATGACATCTCTCAGATTCATACTGCAGCCAGGCATCAGCATTATGGACCACGGACGGAAAGCGTCATACACACCTCAAGCTTTCCGTGACGATGCAAAGATGGCCACGATGTTCAAAGGTACGATCAAGTCTGAGCATATGCTTTTTGTCATCGGGGTCGGCGTCATTCAGCTTCTTGAGGATCTGAGCTTCTTTTCTCCCTGAGATATACCTGCAATTACATTAGTCATATTCCCAATGGTGGCACCAAGGGACTCACATGCTCTCTTGACTTCTCACAACCTTGATGGCCACCTCCTTCCCAACCACATCTTGCCTTCTCTCTTGACCGACAGCTTTCAAGACCTTCGCTTTAACCACCGCAGAGAACATTCCCTTTCCGAGGTTGATCGTGATCTGATATCGACCATCATCGACAATCTCTCCGGGAGTGATACGGTAGTATCCGTCCGCATCATCAACATTGTCGACGACTTCGGGTGCGATGGTACTAGCGGGCTTCTTGATAATCTCTTCTCGGCCTCCGGCTTGTCCACCATTCTTCAGCCTTTTGACTGTCACCTTTTTCTTTTTCCTTTGTTTCTCGTCATCCCCAAACGCATCAAACATGTCAAATTCGTCGTCTTCCTCGTCATCCACTTCGATCTCTACCTCTTCCCACTCCTCTTCCTTTGGTGAATCATCGTCTTCGACCGTAATAGGTTCGCCTACGCCATCGGCGATCTCTCGAGCGATGGCGCTCTGCGGGTCGGGCTTGACAGCTTCAAAGTCTTTCTGGCGCTTTTCGTGGTCTGCAAGAGCTTCTTGGGTGGGATCGTAATCTGCAGCCGAGACCGTCATGTCTGCGTGTACACCACTCGGCGTTTGGGCATCTGGCGGAAGAAGAGCAGAATCATTGGAGGCAAAAGGGTGTTTGGCAAGATCGAACGCTTTGCCTTGCGGGGTATGCGCGAGTGAAGGCTGTTCGGTGATGGTGGGAGTAGCACTCGGGGGATTGCTGGATCGAATACCGAGATTATTGAGCATGGGCGTAGCTGCTATCGGACTGTCAGCCAACGACTTGTCGCTGCAAGCTAGGGACTTGCCTGTGCTAGTCTGCAGACCCGTTCGCGTCCCACCGCTTGTAACACTTTCCGCCCCACCGCCAACCTCATTCACTACGACATTCGGCACCGATGGCTTGCCATCGGTGGCTTTGAATTTGGCCATGATCTCCTCACGCTTTCGACGTCGTTCCTCCAGCATCTTGGCCGGATCTTGCTCTTCCTCGACCACTTCGGGCTCGGGCTCGGGCTCTTCAGGCTCTGCTTGGAAGAATTGGCCCATACCGGCTTTGCCTTGTGGCGGGGCGACCGGCGGAAGCTTTACAGAAGTCTGTGGCGCGGATGGCGACGGCCGAGATGCGTAAGTCGGGGGAGGACCGCCCCGGAGTTGCTGTCCTTGCTGTCCTTGTTGCCCGCGTGGACTCAGCGGTCGCGGTGGTCTACCACTACGAAAATGCACATGAGCATCCACTACATCCCCCGCTTAAACGAAAAACACTCACTCGCCTTCCCTCGGACGCTGACGGTCATCATATCTCGAATCTTGTCTGTAATCATTGCGGTCACCATACCGTCGGGAATATTCTCCCCTCGAGGGCTCACGTTCACGATAATCTTTTCCGTCCCTTGTGGAGCCGTGTCTCCCACTTGGGCCTCGTCGATCATCATAGCCCCGATCTCTATCATAATAGCCCCCGTTACCTCCATGGCGGCCTCCGTTCATCTCACGGCGATCACCATAGCCCCCGCGGCCCTGGTCTCTATCCCTGCGTCCGTAATCCCTGTCCCTGTCTCGAGGTGGGGCGCCATCGTCGAGGAACGCATCCCGCCAGTCTCTTGGTTTCTTGCGGTCTGACCGGTCGCTTCTGCCGCTGGCTGAGTGCGCGTCGTCGGCGTGGGGGCGTTTGATACCTGAGGACATGGCAGGTGGAAAAGAAGGTGTGAGAAGTCTTTTCTTTTTGGAGATAGGAGTGGAGAAAGGGTTTACTGGGTGTATTAGATCCAGCTCAAAGTTGAATTGGGTTTGGATGAGAAGAAGAAGAATGTGGAAAGGAAGAGAGATGGATGCAAGCGTCGATGAGCGAGCTGTGAGCGAGTACTACTTAACATGCGTAAATAACCATCTTACCGACATACTTACATCTCTCTCGCAAGCGCCGGGTCTTAAAAGATGCTTATCTTATCTCAACGCATCAACATCCAATGCCATGACCTCAAGCAACCCAGTGTAAATCCTATCACACCTCTAATCAATTTGCTAACCCCCTACAGCGCGTGTGTCCAGTGCAGATCGCGCAAAGTTCGTCTTATCTCGCCCTCTTACCGACTCGGCCACTGACATTTAGACTCAGTCCAAATGCCTGGGCAGGACAGAGAGCAACGGCTGTATGCGATGCGTAGATGCCGGAATAGACTGTCAAGTCGTCCCCCACAACCGCGGACGTAAAGCAGGTGTCAAGCAAGTTGTCATTACACTACACTCGAAGGCCGGGCATCAGCTGACTCGCGCCGTTTAGGTTGTCTGACGAGACTTTGGCCGGCATTCGGGGCAAGTATGCAGCCAAAGCTCATGCGAACAAGGCGGGCAAAAGAGGGAGAAGTCCAGATTATGGCGAAGAGTCTGGTCCGAGTACGAAGAACAGCAAACATGTGGCATCTTCATCAACGACGACCCACCAGCCGCCTAGCCTATCGCCTCTTTCAACAACCTCTCCCAGCAGTCTGCTTACCATACCCGGCTCTTCCACCAAAATCCCTACCTCCTCAGTCAGAGTCAGCTCCAACACACAGGCAGAGATCGGACCGGCTGCTAGCCGGTCATCGTCTATCGCCAGCCTGTTTGCACCGAAAAACTCGGAAAAGGCCGGACGGCAAGGATTGTCGTTGTACATGGAGGACCCGATCACTTGTGGATTTGTGGATGAAGCTAATGGGAGGGAATTGTATGCATTGTGGGTAGCCCTGGGCCAACGTGTGCGTGACAAGCTGATATGAATGATGCAGTTTCATGCAAAAGTTGGCAGACAAGACGTTTGTCTTTGATGTCCATCTGCATACCTATGGTTCGTTTGAATGCCGCTAGCTGTACAATCCACTGCTAATCCAGCCTCAGAGTATGCGAGACATCAATCAGGCTTCTTGTTCTGTGCCATCCTCGCGATAGCCGCAAAGTTCCGACCAGACATGATGGACCCCATGACCCGACAAAGATGTCTGGCACTGGCAAAAGACCATATGCTGAGAGTCTTTTCAGACTATGAAAAGACTGAGGAGACTATACAGGCGCTGTGAGTCTATGTGGAGGAAGGCTATGTCCGAGCTCATGTCTGATGATAGATACATCATGACCGAGTATAAAGAAGCAGAAGACGAGGACGGCTACCTTCTCCTCGGTATCGTACGTACCACCCATTTCCTTCTTGGAGCCGACACTCATACGTTTCGGACTTAGGCATGCCGCATAGCATTAGACCTAAATCTGGTCCAGCCTCGGCCAGACTATAACGAGAGGCAAAATCGAAGCAGGATACGAATATGGCTAGCTCTGTATGCTGCCGACAGAAGGTAAGATTTCACGGGAATTTTGGGCAAGAGAGTCTCGGCTGAACAGTTTCACAGGTATAGCTACCTTGGACAGACGGCCAAGCCTAGTATGATGCCGCACGACCGCATTCCTCAGCTTTGGTGTGTCTCCTCTGTGTTTCCTCCGATATCATTGCTGACTGTCCAATTGTAGCAAGGCATTCACCCAATCACCGACTTGTCTAGATATAGACCACCTCATAGCCAACAACGTCACTTTCCGCCATACGCTCGCCTCGCATATGGACGCCATCGAAAAAGACAATAGCGAGTCAATACCGGGAGAATGGAAGTTGGATTTGAGGGAAGAGTATTATGCCATTGAGAGAGAAGGAGAGGAGTGGGAGAGGGGGCAGCCTGTAAAAGGTGTGTTGGATCTCCACCGGGTCACACAGGCATGGAAGCTGATGTCTGTGGGGACAGAGCTCGAGACGCCACATGCGAATCTCGCCGCCCTTCTAGCCAAGGTCATTGTGAGTCTTGACATCCTCAGCATCGATAATCTCGCTCACACAGGCTTTCAGATCGCCCATCGCTGGGTACACAGATCCTTTCGTGATATAGGCTCCTCCAGAGACGCTGAAGCTCAGGAAAAAGAGCGACGCGAGGCCCTTGCTGTTTGTATCCGAGGCAGCTTGGGGTTGTTGGAGACGATGACGAGATATCCGGTGGATGTATTAAAGTATGGGTCGGGTAAGTCTTGTTCAACATGTCAACATGTGGCTATGCTAAAGTCTGACTGTAGATTCAACACATCTGTACTTTGCATACGCCTCGTTCTTCCTACAAAAGGTGCGTTATCCCAGGCCTGTGTCGCTCGAGGCTTGTGTCGAGCTGGACTCGAAGCAATCTGCAAAAACCACGAGCTCACATGTCTCCCACAGGTGTTCGACACCCAAATAGCGTCCATCATGCTCGACCGCCCCTCATTCGCCTACATGTACGACCTCTTCAAACGCTGTGCCGAACGCCTGGAACAAGCTTCCATCTCTTCAACCCATACTGCGGCGTTCCATGCTGGTTTTCTGCGCCGACTGATGAGATCTTGCGAAGATATGATGCAGGATGTGAATGAACAAGGGCATACGGGACAGGGGTCGACTTTGGGTGGTGGTGGCGAGCCTGATGTTGGTATCCTGCCGGAGGCGCCTTCTAAAGTGCCCCTTGAATCATTCGAAAGAGAGGTGCCTCATTCTACGTGAGTACTCGTATGCTTTTGCGAGTGACATGCTGATTGACAATGCAGAGCACTACCATCATACGTTCCCGACCCTGTCCAACTCCCCATCCTAACACCCCAAGACCTCCTTCCTCCCACATTCGACATGCTCCTCGAACCGCTCACGAACGATATACTGGGAGACAGCATTACTTGGGATGATTGGTGGCCGATGAGCGACATGTTTGGTGGAGCTAGGGGCGGGAGCGGTCTCTTTGATGGTAGTGGGAATGGATCGGGGGTGTGGTAGGGGCGGTGTACTAATTGTACTTGAGTTGTAATTGTTGTCAATCTTGGGTTCTGTGGTCTCTCTCTTGCAATAACACGATACCTAGTGCCATGCACCAACGAAGACCCTTTGCATGCACTTGAACTGCTGGACACCAAAATGTAAGAGAAGAGTGAAAAAGTGCCACACCACCAAAATCTCCGCAAGTCCGAAGCGTCGTCGCTCCCCTTGTATCGACACGCTCCGTATACAGCCATCCACCCACCCCACCACTCGTGAGCAGCCCCCTCCACCCCTCCTGCCCCCAACTGACACCCTGCTAGACAAAACATATCAACAATGTTCGGTCTCCGCGCTTGGCCCACTCCCGTATGTCGTATTCCCCCTCTTCGGCCGTATACACCGATATCTCCTACGCCTTGAACCGCCTACTTGATGGAGAGTGCTCGGGATGGGTCATGGAAGCAGAGGATGGTAGGGAAATGGGGCTGACAGAGATGGCTTTTTTGTAGGTCGTTAAGCCTCTTTGGCCCTTCATGGCTTCCGGTATCATCACCATCGCTGGTGTCTGGGCTCTCCAGGACATTGCCGTCAGCAGTAAGTCTTTCTTTACCCACTTGCTGTTTTGGAGGCTAATTATACTGTAGCCCCTGACGCCCTCAAGGACCCCAAGAACCCCTTCGGTACGCCCATCTCAAAACCCCAAGACCCGGCCGGCTCTGGCGCGTATATAAGAGAAGGTGCTGACAATGTCTTTTGTAGCTGCCTCCAAGGCCAAGCAGGCCGCCCACTAAATGGAGAATTGCCCCCCATTTGTAGTGTGTTGAAATGAAGAAATTGAATCCCTGCAAACGTTCGCTCTGCGCTGGTGGATGACCTGCTGTTTGGACTTTAAAGAGAGGGAGGAGGCGAGGAGAGAACCTGGACGGGGGCGACGGATCATACTGACAGCAAAACGATCATCATGACGAGATCATGGGAGGATGGGAGAAAATCTGGACTGCTCAAGAGAGGGACGGGATCACGGAATCGTCAAAGCCCGAACGAGAAACCGTACCATGGCAAGACACCGACCAAAAGTATCAAATCGATTACAACAATACATATAACCAACGCCCCGCTCCTACCAAACACTCATCTCCCTACTTGCCCGCCCAATCACCAAAAACCAAAGCCGCAAACCCTTCAAACTCTGGTACCCCCAGCAACCCCTCCACACCCCCATCCGGCACCCCCTCCCACACGCCCTTCCCCCACTGACTGACCACAGGCAAACAATGCGCCAACCTCTTCTTCTTCTCTTCTTCTCCATTGGAGTAGAGTTGATCGCGGAGGGAAACGAGGATACTTTGTGTGAGGGAAGAAATACCTTTTTCGAGCAAGTAGCGCCCGTCTGCAGAATGGAGGTGGGAGAGGGATTCGGAGAAGAGGGCTGCGAGGTGGGGGGAGTGGTCGGTCGGAGAGCGGGGGAAGGGGGTTCGGGTGGTGGGGGGGATGGAGGTAGGGAGGATGTTGGGTGTAAAGCTGGGGACGTATTAGAATTAGGTTGTGGCGTGAAGGTAGATTCATGCAAGACTTACTCGAACAACTTTGGGGTCTCGTCAGAAGAGGTCGTGTCCATCTCGACTTGTGCGCGCACATCTTTGAACAACTGTTCCCAATCTTGAACAGTGAGCTCCTCTCTGAGCGGCAGCCTGCAAGAGATCAGCCCTGAATCTTCCGCTGCAGATCGTCGACTTACGACCCAAACACTTTCTGAACACCCTCACTGACCCTCTCCGCCACGCCCTTCCACCCCACATTCAAGATCCACCACGAATACGTCAAAAACACCCTCTCGGCGGCCTCCTCCTCTTCCTTCTTCAGCCTCTCCATCTCTCGAAGATTCATCTCGCCTACGAGTTCGGCCTGGTTCTTGTCGCCCAAACTCGAGCCGAGTAAAGGGATAGAGTGGAGGTAAGCAGAGATGGTGGAGGGGAGGTAGGATGTAGGGTTGGGAATGTAGGATGTGGTCGATTCGACGAAATCGGAGAGACCCATGTTTTCGATCGAAAATGACGAGAGCCAGCCTGCTTTCTTCTTCTTTGGCGGGTCGACCGAAAGACCGGTGAGGGTCGCTTCGGACGTATTCCGACGGGGCGTCTGGCACCCGTCCTCTTCGTCCTCTTCACCAGCCTCGGCAGAAGCGCCGTGGGCAGTAATGGAAGTCTTGACATCTTTCAAATAAGTATTGCGCGCGAGGATGGCAAGCTGGGAAGAGGTCAAGAGATACAGCATGGGCACGAGATACGCCGTCGTCATTGTCCGCGCGATACTCTGGATTTTGAGGTCGTTCCAGAGCTCCTTCTTGCTCTTTGGCGGGGATAGGTGATGATGAGGTGGAGAGGGGGAGTGGAAGTGGCTGCTGGATTGGGAGAGTTCGGAGGGGGGAGAGGGTGAGTTGGAGGAGATGTCTGTTGCTGGGAGAGAGATGGATTGGGATATGATCGATGAGAGCTATCACTTCTGTCAGGGCTTGCTGACGAGATGCTGAGGTATGTACTCACCCCGTCATCCGTCTCGGGCACACCCACAGACCCTCCCACCATGTACCCACTCTCGGTCTCCGTCTCCGAATCTCCACCCTCCGCCCTCTGAAACTCGCTCGCCCAGCTTTCACCCACCCCCGGAGCACTCGGCACTTTGGGGCTCGACTTGCTATGCCTCCTATCAATGCTTCCCGGGTGCTTGGGCGACGATTGTGTGCTTCCTGGTGTGACTTGCGCTTGCTCGGGCTTTGAGTCACTTTCGTCGTTGTGATGCAGGTGGAGAAAGTTTTCTGCGGTAGTCTCTTGTCGAGACGAGTCGACGCTGGATACAGAGTTTGAGAGTGAACTGTCTCCTGATGTAAAGTTCTGGAGGGACTGGCTAGTCTGTTCGACGGGGAAGACTTGGGATATCTGGGGACGGAGTGCGGGGAGGAGGGCGTAGAGGGTGAATGAGATGTTGGAGATGAGAGATGTGAAGTGGTTCTTCAGGCTAGAGACGGCTCACGTCAGCGGTGGATGCTAGGGTCGGAGTGACACGCACAGCTCCTTCTGTTTCTTCTCCTTGACGGCCCTGAGACGGCTCTCGTTGAGTCTCTCGAGGAGATATGTGGCGAGAAAGTAGAAGGTAGATGCTGTGCCGGCGAGGAAGAAGAGGCGGCGGAATGTGCGTTGCCAGCGAGATCTCGGTGCAGCTGCCATCCTGTTCTGCTCGCTGAATACTTCAGTTGTCCTTCTCTCTTCTCGACCGGATCGATAGCAAAGTAGAACCCGGTGTGTACGTAATCACATCCATCACAGACGCGCCTCCACTTGTTTGGCTCCCAACGCTCACTTTCATCAAATCACCTCCATTCACCTCCCAGGGCACTATCCAGCCCAGCATGCCCTCCAACATTCCCCCAGACGCCAAGGTCAAGATGGCGAACGACCTCCGCGCAGCAGTCCGCGAGCTCAGAGACAGGGGGCTCATGGTAGCAGCAAAATGGGCTTCAGAGCTCCTCGCCTCCTTACCGAAAGAATACCGCTCAACACCCAACCTCGTCTTTTCGCCCCCGCCTCAGATGTCTTCATTACCTCCCCTGTCACCTCCAGGACACGCGAGACCTTCGATAGGTGAGTTCCTACCCTCACCTGGTCCTGGTGCCTTCTCGGGGGGTGGTGTAAAGGGGCCTGGTACGAGGGGGCGGACGATGCACGGGATAGAGATTGAGGAGGAGCTGGATATACTGGATGAAGATGAGTTTCAATTAGCGAGGGGGTATTTCGATCTGAAAGAGTATGATCGGGTGGTGTGGGTTTTGAGGGATGCAAGGGGTAATCGAGCGAGGTTTTTGAGATACTACTCCATGTACTTGGTAAGTCAAGTCGCCTTGAACCCCACAGAGTCAAACTGAACAGTGCTCCAGTCTGCAGACAGGAAAGCCCAAGAATCCCTCTCCCATTTCCTCGATACGAAAGAAGAACGGACAGCGCTCTACCCCGCCATCTCTGCCCTCCTGTCCGAGCTCAAAGACGAGACCGACCCTTACCTCACTTACCTCCGCGGTTTGTGTTATATGCGGCTAGACCGTAAACCGCCTGCGATGAAGAGCCTGATGGAGAGCGTGCGGGCGAAACCTTATAATTGGAGTGCTTGGAGTCAGATGGCGCAGTTGGTGTCTTCTGCTGATATGGTGCGCTGTCCCCCTACTTTGCTTTGGTAAGAAAACTGACAGACATCCCTACAGTTCATATCACTGAAGGAAGAACTCCCTTCAACGCCAATGCTCACATTCTTCGCCATATGCTGTATGCTGGACCTCCATACGGCGACAGACTTGGTCATGAGCATGATCAAAGAGCTTCTCGAAGTCTTCCCTGCGAGTGTACACCTCAAAGCCCAGCGCGCTCTGGTCTACTATCACATGCGAGGTATGTCCCTGCCTGCCTCTCTCTCTCTCTTAACTCGAGACCTGACAAAAATGGGTGGGTGGTTAGATTTCGAAACAGCAGAAAGAGAATTCGACAATGTCCAAAATCTCGACCCATACCGCATGGAAGAAGTCGACATCTACTCCAACATGCTCTACGTCATGAACAAGCAAGCCAAGCTGGGCAAGATTGCGCACGAGTATGCAGAGATAGATCGGAATAGGGCGGAAGTGTGTTGTTTGATCGGTACGTCCTGGTTCACTTTCCCTCGGTTTGCGGTTTGCGGCGGGCTGATGAGGGGACGTGAACAGGGAACTATTATTCTTCGAGATCAGACCATACTAAGGCTATTACCTACTTTAAACGATCTCTCATGTTGAATCGCGAGTATCTACCGGCATGGACGCTCATGGGGCACGAATTTGTCGAGCTCAAAAACTCTCATGCCGCCATCGAAGCCTACCGCAAAGCCATCGGTACGATCTCCTCCCCAAATCATTCAAATAACGTAAACTGATTGAAGAGTATTAGACGTCAACGCCAAAGACTACCGCGCGTGGTACGGCCTCGGCCAAGCATACGAGCTCCTCGACATGCCCATGTACGCCATCGAATACTACAACCAGGCCACCTCCCTCCGCCCCTACGACTGCCGCATGTGGACCGCCCTCGCCACCTTGTACGAATCCCTCCACCGCTTGCCCGATGCGATCCTCGCACACACGCGCGCATTGCTGGGGGCGGATAAAGTGCAGACGATGGCGATCTTGTTGAAATTGGCAGGGCTGAGTGAGGGGATGGGCGAGTGGGAGAAGAGTGTGGGGTATCATAAGAAGATTATTGCGCTTGGGGAGAAGGAAGGGATGGGCGGGCCGGCAGAGATGGCGGGGAGTTATGTGGGGGTGGCAGAGTGGGAGATGAGGAGTGTGGTGGAGCTGTTGGAGAAGGAGAGGGATAATGCGAATGGGGAAGAGCTGGAGCGGCTAAAGTTGGAGGTAAAGGATGCGGATCTGGCCATTGCAGCGCAGTATATGGAGCGGGTGGCACAGACGAATGCCCCCCAGAGAGATAGGGCAGAGAATCTGCTGAGGGCCTTGAGAAACTATGAGATGAGAAACGTTGTCGGCTAGAAATGACTTTTTACGACATGCCTGCATGAAAACACATGAACGAATTTACAGAGTCGTCACTTGTCGATGCATTTCTTATTCATCTATTCTACTAACGTTGGTGTTCCGCCGGTATGATAGATGCTACAGATGAGAGGAAATTGTTGTATGTACTGAACCAAGACCCATGATATATATATTCAAATGGCTAAATGGGGAGAGAAATTGGGTTCTACTAGTAGGACAAACATTGATTCGAGAATAGAGAACGGTATAAACGGAGAAAGTAGAGATAGGAGAGATACGCAGATTCAGTGATGAATGCCGGGGGCTCGTACAGGAATATGTATATGCGCAAAGGAGACCCCAAAAAGTGAGAGAAAAGAATAAACACTGCGACCGGCTCAGCTTAGAGATGACAAATGTAATTGACGGGCTCACTTTTACTGCAGCTCTCTAAGCGCCGCTACGTTTTGGCGCACCGCCCCGAAAAGTCTAAAGACGTCGTCATGGGCCCTGACGAAAGGCTGGTTCCAGAAGCCATACGCCTCATTATCGAGCAATTCTATGAACGTGACAAGCAGACCCCAAGGATGAGGGCGCTTGGCGATCGTTCGCTCGAGGAGAATGCGGGCAATTCGCTCAGGGATGGCAGACGAGTTCTCCGGGTGAATGCTCGTGCCAAAGAGGAAGAGGATAAAGTGGATGAAGAAGAGGGTATGCGCGGAGGGATATCGCAACTGGTCCGAGATGACATTGATCATGTAGTATTGGCCTGGAAGATTATCAGTAAACGACGTTAGATACGTAAGAAATGGACATACCCTCGGCGTCAAACGCGTGAGCCAATCCAGCCAACATGGCGACTTCAGGCGCCTTGGCGTCAAACTCGACGATACCAGTCTGTTGGTACTTTCGCGTGACCGCGGTGGTACCGAGGTAGAAGACGGAAGCGTGCATCAACGTGTGGTTCCACGTGATAGTAGCAGTTCCCTGAGGACCAAGACTCTTGACAGCAATCCTGTTCTTCAATTCCGCCACGATGGCAGGAAGAGGGGGAACGCCACTCGATACAAACTGATCGATGGCAGCCTTGACGTTGCCATCAGCCAAGGCACCGATATAGTCGGATCGGACGGTAGGGAACTTTTGCATCTCTGGCACGAGTTGGTCCAAGCGCCTGTAGGGATCCGGAAGAGGCACTTCCGTGGGCGGGAAAGCGGCGAGAACAATGTTTCGCATCTGGGTGCAGTGGGGCGGGATGACGGTTGTGAGGGTGTGGTAGAATTCGACAAGGAATTCGGGGAAGTCGTGCAGGAGGAGGATGAGCAATCGTACTGTGCCCTTGAAGATGGACTTTGCTGAAGGAGTCATCTCGTCGGATTGCAGGAAAGGCGCGAGGAATCTCAGCAACCACATCACACATCGATGGAACTCTGGCCACCCCTCGTCCCTTTGGGTCCTAAGGAGCTTGGGCATGAAGAGGCGGTGAGAGATGATGGAAAGCCAGCCAAAGGCGAATCGAGGCGCATACGTAGGCTGCGTGATGCCCAGATTGTTGGCCAAGTGCTTGAGGCAGCCGAGGTACGTCTCGGGAAGAGTGTACTCGATGGCAGACAGTTCACTCAGCATGCTAGTGAAGAATCTCGTCCAGGGGCGTTGGTTGAAGTCCTCGCCCATGGCAAGCTGCCTCTGAACAAGAGAGTACGACATGATGGTGATGATCTTGTTGTAATAGTAGACAGCTCGGCTGACACTAGTGCTGCCAGACTTGTCCCCATAGTTTTTGACGATGAGGATGATGAGCTTGGCAAGAGCATCGACACCGTAAAACTTGGGCGGGACGTCGGTGGCAAGCTTGGCACCATCAAAGTCGACAGCTGTGTTGATGGCCGTGCGATAGAAGGCCGAAGAGATGTCTTCTCCACTGAGGATGCCCTCCTTTTGCAAGTAGGTGATGTAGGGCACAAAGGCGACCTCGGGGCTCTTGCCAGTGCTGAACACCCGGACCCATTCCAAAAAGTAATGGGCCAGTCGCTCTTGCAGCTTGCTATCGACGACAGTTTTGGACTTGTCATCATCGGCCGACTGAGGCTCTCGGGGGCCACGAAGCTCTTCGAGCAAAGCATCGGCAGCAGCAGTAGAGTGCCCAGCCTCACGCGCCTTGAGAAGCGACGCCAAACTGTGGGAGAAGGCCTGTCGAGGAACAAAGGCTTGCTCAGAGACAGAGCACTCTCGAATGAGCTCGGTGATGAAATCGATGACTTCGGGAGGGAAAGAGCGGAGGACGATGTGCGAGAGAGCGAGGTCTTGCTCTTGTACGCTGACGGATTGAGCGCGGAGGAGGGTGACAGTGACGGGGACGTTGAGTTTCCTCTACATACATGGTTAGCGTTGTTTGACTTGAGATAGACATGGACGTACCACATCCTCGGCGTAGATAAGCCACTGCTTCACTTCCTTGTTCACCTTGGCAGACAATTCACAAAGCTGCTGCAACAAGAACACGTACACCTCCCTCGCCAACTGCAAGGATGATCGGTAGAGAAGTTGCACAACCTTTTGCGCGATAGCCAGTGTGGTGTTCTCCCTGTGAACCGACTGGTTGGCGATGATGACGATGCCCCGAATGAGGGCACGAAGTTCGTGATCGGCAGGAAGAGCAGCCACGCTCTGGACGTTGGACTGCGCAATGATCTTTTGGATTTCAGCCGCAAGCTCGTGGAATTTGTCGATGCTGCCCTGGGGAGGGATAGCCTGGGGAGAGGCAACCTCATCGACAGCTTCGGGGAAGACAGGTCGAGGGGAAGGAGCAGGCTTGATATCGCCCGAGACAAGTCCATCATTGAGAGCAAGGTTCTGATAAGCAGAGGAGAGGTAGTCGCCACTGGTAGCCTGGCTCGACACCATCCTTGTGGGCTCTCCAAAGTCTTCATAAGCCCTGAATTGCTGAGCGGTGAGTCCACCTGGTCGGAGTTTGAGCGGATCCGGGAGAGCCGTGTGCGAGATGGCGACACCAAAGGAGGCGCCATCCCAGAAAGGCGCAGTAGATCTCGAGTTCTGGTGGGCCTTTCGAGCGGCATACTGCGGGGCAAGGTTGACATCAATGTCCTTGGCTGCCTTCTCCATCGCCGCCTTCTTCAAGACCGAACATGCCACATCCAGGTTCTGATTCACGACACCGGCAATCATCACGTCGGGCATGGTCTCGTCGGTGTAGCCATTCTGTTCTAACATAGACTTGACATTGTTAATCATGCTCGAGCGCAGAGGCTCTTTACAAGTTACCAAAGCCAAGCTTCCAGCAAGGTTCTGCACCATCATGTGGGCAGCCTGCCTCATCTTGATAGCATCAGGCTCGGTACCAAAGTCCTTTTGGATAAGGTCTCGAGATGAGATACCAGCAATGGTGACGGAGCGTTCGATGACGGGAGTGATAATCTCGCGGATAGCCCGGTCGATCGAGTGGTGCACAATGCGCTTGAGGGTGGGGGCGGTGAAGATGGGGTATTCTTGGTTGAAGATAAGGTACTCGGGCAGCTGAGCGATGAGCTCGTCGACGCGCCTGGCCAACGCATCCTGGGCAGCTTGGACAGCTTGCTCTGACTGCATCTGCTGGATTCGGGCATAAGCCTCGTTTCCGGGCAAGTCGCTGAGACGCTGAGAGCCGTTCATCAACTCGCTTGTGGCGCGTTGCAGCTCTGCATCGAGCCTGTTGGGCACCTCCTCCTGGGGCGGAGGGGGCGGGACGTGCATACGGAGGAGGTTGGAGGGCTCGAATGAGCTCAGTTCAACGCTCAATTTGCTGAACAAGACTTCGATCTCAAACTTCAAATTAAGCCGGAGCTCACCAAAGTGGTAGAACTCGGACAAAAGTCGCAAGATCGCATTCAGCCAAGGGTTGGGCGGGTGGAACACCACCGAGTCCTTGCACGCGGCGAGCAGATTGCAGACAAAGGGTATGGCAACAATAAGTCGCTTGGTGTCGTAACCCTGAATCAAGAGATCCTTGACGGAGAGCTCCTTCAACCTGACAGGCTTGTTTTGCGCAAGAGTGATCCGACCCAGCCACATGGCCATTGTCTTGAGTACCGCACGTTCGGATGCGGAGTTGATCGTGGCTTCCGAATTCAGCAGCTCCCTTGCCTTCCTGTATGTCTCCCAGAGGACATGTCGATCGAGGATAGGAGAGTCGAGCTTCTGGAGAAGCTGCATGTAGATTTCGTGCCGGTTCTGTTCGAGACTGACTCGCACGTCGATAAAGTAGTGCGCAAACCAACGAGAGTGCTGGTTCTCAAAGAGCTCGAGGAGCGATTTCGCCTTGTCTTCGTAGTTGGTGGGCGCAATCTGGTTGACATGGAACATAATGGCATCCTTCTTGCCCGTCTCGGGCTCCTTGAACTCGTCATCACCTTCCTCGATCAAAACGGGAAGTTTCAAGGCAGGGAAAGCGAGTTTGACGCCGCCTTGGAGATCGAGCTCCTCCCGTTCGACAAGCGCCTGCTGAATGTCATTGATGAGAACGGGATGAGATTCGTGGAGCGCGGGGATCTCGAGAAGGGAGCGACAGAGGCCGGGGAAATCGACCAAAGAGTTGCGCAACACACTGAGCGCGTTGATACCGAATTGGTACAGGGGCTCATGGGGTGGTGTTTTGCACGCGTCCAGGACGTATCGGGTAGCGACAAAGGCCGGAGTGTCTTTGATGAGTCGGTAGTCGATTATGGCACCGAAAAGGAGACCCGTCATGGTCAATTCCTTGGGAGGATAAGACTTGACAAACTTGTACTCGTCAAAGAGCGAGTGAAGAGCATGAGCAAAGATGTCTTGCTCCTTCGGGTCGTCCGACTTTTTGAAACTCTTCAACTCATCTACCACCTCATCCAGCTTCAATTGTCCACCGTACATTCTCTGGTAAATCTCATCCACCTTGTCCACGACGTCTTTGGCAAACTTGGCTTCGGCAAAGCCTTGTTCTTGTTTGCTGTTGGGTCGAAGGTTCAGGAGACGGGGGTGAAGGATGAGGATGTCGGTACGAAGATTCTTGAAACGCCCGATATCTTCTCGAGCAAGGTTGGGGGCGTTTCGGACCACGCGGATAAAGATGGAGTAGACGGTGGGTCCAAGAGTAAAGAGCAGGGGAGGCGCAGTCTCTGGTTGGTGCTGATGCTCAAACTCGAGTCGGATTTTGTGTTCCACAAAGTCAAAGATCTCCTGGAGGAACTCTTCTCCCTTGATCTCAATACCGTCCGCCAGCCATTGCTCCAAGTTGAGAAGCTCGCGATTGGAAGCAAGTGCCGCAACGTCGAGCACAAAGTGAAAATTGTCTTCAATGGCTAAAAGTCGACCGAGAATCTATCAAACAGTCAGTCATGTCCAAACATCAGCTTGACGGCGCACCTTCAGTTCCGAACCAATTTCCACAATCCGCCCAAGGTTGTTTTCATCTTCCCCATAAAACTCCAACAGCACTGAAAGCAGGTTATCCGGGTTGATTTCCCACATCTGATGGAAGACCAGAGCAGACGAAGTAATGTCGGTAGGCTTTGTTGACAGGTACATTGCCAAAAGCCGTGTCTGCTGGACCACCACGGGCGAGGGGAGGGGTTTCTGTCCCATTGTTAGCTGCGCTAATGCACTTTCGACGTAGCACTCACGGGAAGCTTTTCTAGCGCAATCAGAACCAACTCTGGGGCCAACTTGGCCGCCTTCTCCAAAATCTCTGTTGCCCTCCTTCCAATTTCCGCTCGCTCTTCTCTCTCTCTCTCCGAGTGATGGTCTGCCTCCGCCAAGGCGCACGCATGCACTAGAATCTGAATCAACCCCAAAGTGTTCCACAAACCTGCTCCCTGCAGGTCTCTCGCTTGCTGACGGGCCGCCTTGCTCCAGACCTGTTCCGTAGCAGGAGGATCGACGATTCGCGCATACAAGGTGGATGGGGGCGCGGATGGCATTGTAAAGATGGGCATGGCGTCGGGGGCAAGGTTTGTGAGGTGGGACAAGACAGATAATAGCGAAGAGATGTTTTCCCAGATGGGCGAGTCAAGATTGGCGGGCAAAAGACCTGCCATTGGCGGCACCGGTATTTGAGGAGGAATGCAGATAAGGGAGACGAGGAGGGGGAGAGAAGAGGGATACGCCGCAATAGTCATCGGAGTGTCAAAAGACTTGATGACGTCGGGCCACGAAATAGCGTCCTGCAAAGGTGATCAGCTTTAACCATATCAACAAAACAAAGACGTACGATGGCAGACAATCCCTTGACGACACCATGTAGATCAACGGCACGCCCGCGAGCAACCCCCTCGCACAATCCATGCACTACGTGACACGTCTCCTCTGTCACCTTCTTCCTGACCTGGTCTGGGGTGCCTTCAAACAGCCACGGCGTCCACCATCTCCGCGCTAATGTTTCTACGGTCGCATCGTCCTGCGTCATGGCCTCGCCGAGCTCAAACAGGACGTCTTCCAAGGGAATTGTCCCAGGCGATCGGGGTGGTCCTGCGACGCTGGCATCATTCACTGGGGGTGCTGGAGGAGGATGAACGAGACCGCCGCCGCCGAAGCCTGGGGGCGGGCCTGTCCTGGTGACCCCGCCTCCCAGCCCGGGAGGAGGGATTGACATGGGCTTGGGTGTTACTGAGAGGGTATGGGGAGGGTGCAGGGGGTGCGGTACTAGATGTCCATGCGGGGTGGACTGGTGGGAAGCCGGGATGGGATGGACTGGTCGTGGGAGGGATGTTGGATGACGCGGCGGGTGACTGGACTCGTTCTGTATGGGTGAGAGCGAGTGAGCGTGAATCACGGCCAAGTAGTGCGCGGCGGGGATATGCGGCGATATCTCTGTGGCGCTTCTCATTCAACTCTTGCTGTGTATGTTCCCTTGTTCGTGTGCCCTGATGCATGTCGGAGTGTTCGGGGTGCTTTCCATGGGCCTCTGATATCCCATATGTGTGGTTCATAGGCGCATCAAAGTCACAGCGTCTTGAGAACCAGCCCCGAACGGTATATGATCCAACGCGTCAAGGATTACTCTACATGAGCATCCGTAGGGTAACAGACTGTACGAGTACAGTACAAGACACGACAGTCAGGACTGATATTGATCCTCATTATGTACCATGCATGCCGCCCCCTGATGCAGGCTCTGGGTATATGCAATCAATGCTATGTGTGCTGCTACCATATTCCTCTTTATTCGCTATCACTAGTATCCACATTATACGCTTTCCCTCTCCTGGGATCCCCATCCACTTCTCCCTCACTCTCACTCTCGCTCTCATCTCCTTGATCATCATCAAGGTCACTCTCACTGTCGCTGTCATATTGGCCATGCACCTTGGAAGGCTTGACCTTGTCTCCTCTCATCATGGCCATCTGCCCGGCGAGCGTATCCTCGTCGGGTTCGGAGATGTCGTCCCCTTCATCGTCCGAGTCCGACTCCAAAGGCGCTTCCTCCACCTTCAACTGCAGAACAAGTCAGCAATAGTCACACGAGTTTCAAAGACATACCATCAGAGGCACCTGCACATCCCCACCCAAAAACGTATCGCTCCTCAAATGCACCACAAACGAGTACAAATTGACCGCCGGCATCGCCTGGAACTGCAGCTTGAACTCTTTCGTCTCGCCCGGCGTCCCATCCTCCTTGGGGAGAGGGATATCCGTAATCTTGATAGGGGGCACCATGACCTTGTTGATCTTGGAGTCGCCCAGGAGCAAGAACCACTGGGGCTTGCGAAGCTGGGGCCAGCGGGGAGTATGGGCAAAGCCGTTCACGACGGGGGCAGCCTTTTCGGCCACCTTTTCCTTGACATCCTTGACACTGGGTGTACCGTTCTCGCTAGCTTCCTTGACGGCAGCTTCGATGGAAGCAACGTCGTCATCTATCTTGGCGCCCTGGGGACGTTCAGAGGGAGGAAGCATCTGGATAGGTTTGGCGCAGGCGGAAAGAGGAGTGGTGGGATAGACGTATCGGAGCTTGACGACCAAGTTGCAGATGGAGCTGGGAGTGATGACTTTCGAGTCCTCGACTGGATTCCTATTAGCACGACTCTGTTCAGAACAAGAAATTGACGCACCCTTGTATTCGGCATCGACGACTTCCAATCTAGGCCAGTACTTTGCGACCTCAAACGCTTCATCATGTCCCTCCCTCGACCTGACCCACTTTTCAAGCCACAAATCGCCCTCGGCCTTTCTCACGACCTGCTCCTCAAAGGCCTTTTCAAACGAGATACCGGGAAGCTGAGCCAAGGGATACACACCCGCCGGCACGGCTTGGACGAGCGCGGGCTGGAGCTCAATGCACCGAAGCGAGACACCAAGCCAGCTGCGGGTCTGCGAGATATTGTTGAGAGCGTTCAAAAGAGGAGGAAGGACACGCAACACAGCGAGCTGGTCTGCGCGCATCTCGGAGTCGGTAATCTCAATTCGCAAGAGATGCGCCCAAATCAGAGCTCGAGCTCGACGGTCGGCCCCGCTGGTCACAGGGACCCTGCTGGACTTTCTCATGATGGGGTCTTCCTGGATAAAGTTTTCGGCCTTGACCTTGTTGATGGTCTCTTCCAGCTCTTCCACCTTGCTCTGCTTGGCCTTCTTGGTCTTTTTGTCGACCTTGTTTCCGCCTACGACGGCAGCGACTTCGAGAGAGGCAGCAATGATGGCAATGAGATTGGTAAAGTCGGTGTCTTCCTTGAGGTGCTGGAAGAAGATGTCGGCAGTGGCGTTGAGGATATTGTCCCGGGTGAGACGACGTTGGGTGAACCACCATCGGCCAACAATCCAGGGGATTCCACCACCAAGCACAATGCCATACACGGCAAGAACGAGGATTCCGTTGTTGCCTTCGACAATCCACTTGGGAATGGCAATCTTGTCTTCTCGCTGCTGAGGCCCGTCTGGGTTGCCGTACTTGGCAAGGTTCTCGCGGGTGACCTCGTCAGTCAGAGACTTGTAGGCTTTGGTGATTTCGATGTATTTCTCCTCGGCCTCTTCTTGCGTTTGGTTCTCGGCAAGCTTGAGTTTGTCGGGGTGGCTATAACAAATGATTCAGTCCCACATCACGCGCCAATCACGCGCCAAGACGGAATACTGACAATTGCAATGAAAGCTTCTTGTAGTGCTTCTTGATCTGCTTTTCCGTAGACGCGCTACTCAGACCAAGAATCTCAAAGGGGTTGTAAACTGTCCCGCCTTGAGCCTTGGGAGCAATTGCCAGGTTGTAAATGAGGTAGCCGAGGAAAGTCCAAGCAGCAAGCAGGAGAAAGACGCGTTTGATGCCTGATGACCGCCGGGATGATTTCTTGAGCTTGTCTATGCGGGCGGGTGATTGTCGGCATTCGGGACAGGGGCAAAGTGGTTTTGGAGTATCTGCGGTGCTCTCGTCAGCAACATATAGCGCCGCACACCAACACATCACTGACGCTTCTTTTTCGGTTTGAGGGACAAGAAGGTCCAGGGTATGAGGAAGAGGGTGAGGCATGTGACGCCAAAGTAGCTCGCGAGCGAGCCGGAGTCATCGTACGAGATGCCTGCCATTTTGCGTGGTCCCCTGGGTGGCGATGAGATGCGTGGTACTGCTCGAGTGGACCTTTGCTCGGCTGCCTCGACGTGGCGGTGGACGGTCGGCGCGGCGGAGGGAGCCGCTGCTTCCCCTTATGTGGGGTGAGGAATAACTCGCGCGCCAAACGCGGAAGAAAACGGCGGGGTGGGACGCCCAATTGGCTGTTTTGGATTGTTGAACATCTCTTGACCACCACTCACTGCCACAATGTTCCGTGCCGCCGCCCGCTCCGTCCGACCCGCCGTCAGGGGCTTCTCCACCGCTGCCCCCAAGGCCGGCGAGAACGCTTTCGTCGCCAACAGGGAGGCCACCAGGGCCCACGCCGCTGGTGAGTAGCCGGTATACAGATGGGGTTCAAGGGAAGAGGGCGCGGAGGTGGGGGATAGGGGAGAGTGATGGGGAATTGCTGGCGGATGGGGGCTACAGACAACACAGAGGCGGACGTTTGAGGGACAATATACTGATCGACAATCTGCAGAGACCACCGACCTCTGGCGCAAGATCTCTTTCTACGTCTGTATCCCTGGTGTTATCGTCGGTGCCCTCTGGACCTACAAGATTGAGGCTGCCCACGCCGAGCACCTGTAAGTCATTATGAAAACATATGAAGGGAGGGAGAAGAGTGAAGCGGTCAAAGGCGGACTTGCAGAGCTATCGCTAACTCCGTCACAGCGCCCACCACCCCGAGGACTTCTCCGAGAGGCCTGTCTACGACTACCTCAACATCCGAAACAAGGTGCGTACTCACTAGCGCTATTTATCTCTTTCGTGAACTGACTTGATCACGATAGAACTTCCCCTGGGGCAGGCAGTCTGCTTTCTTCAACCCCGCCGTCAACGTCGAGGTCGGAGAGCCCTAAATTCTCTTTTCTGTTTTTGAGAGATAACTTGTCTCGAGGGATGCATAATGGTGACTAGGAACAAAAGGTGAATCGTTCAACATCGTGTCTGCGATACTGGCATAAGAATCGTTCGCCCTCGGTCGAAGTCTGGCCTTCTCATTTGTTTCGCGCATCAACATCATCACCTTCAGCTGTTCAAGAGACATTGGCGATACAGAATAAGCTTCACATTTGCTCTGACTGGACCAACAACCGTAGCGACAAACGGTGTTGAGTTTCTAATAGATATGATGTGGACTACAGAGAGGTAGAAACCCAGAAAGACAGATAAAAGAAATGCACACAATGCAATCATGATAGGTAATCCTATGTGCACTATACTAATCATACCCATGCTTCACCTCCCTGCAAGATCCCTACTCAACATCGTCCTTATCCCAATCATCATCGTCATCCACCTGTCCCACCGGCTTCTTTTCTCCTTCCCCTCCCTCTTCGCGCTTCTTCGCTTCGCTTCGTTTAGCACTAACAAATGCCGGAATAGACGGCACGAATGGAGCAGGGATGACAGGTGTGCTCGTACGCGATGGGACTGTCGAGTTCAGACCTGACCCGCCGGCTACAGGCGTAACAGTAGTCGACAGCCTACTCGATCCACTACCACTGCCACTACCAGCAACGATACTGGCTGCAGTACCAGAAGACCCCGCAGTTGTTCGGCCCCAAGGGCTGGCAGATGTGGTCACCAACCTGGTTTGGCCTGCCTGGGAGGGATTGACAGCAGCGCTGAGGAGAGGCTTGGGGATACGGGTGTCGATTCGACGCCGGATCTGGACGGAGCGGTTGGGCTCTTGGTCGATCAGCTCGCGGGTGAGACGGTAATGGTCTGCGAGTGACATGACAATAGTTCGCTTGGACTCGGGCACTGGTGGAACGCTTAGCATATACCCAAAAGACAGTTACCATGACTTACTGTGTGGAAGGACCATACTCTGCCTAGGCCCCTTGAAAAACTCTTCAAAAGTGCTCTCGACCATCTTGACAAACTTGTGGTTCCCAAGGGCAAAATTCTTCAGTTCATCTTCATACACCTCCGTATTCTTCTCGCCAGGCTGCTTGATGCCCAGAGCATCCGCCAACCTCGCATTCCTCTGCCTGACCGCGCACTCCGAGTTACACTTGAGCTGCTCTGCCTCCCGACTCTTTGGCTTGAGAGTGGAAGCACCACAAGAGGTCCTGCTCAGGAGATTACCGCAGGAGCATGTTTGGGTGACGATGGCCTGACACGGTTCGTTCTCTGGGCATCGCTTCGGCGCATGACACGCCGCCGTACAAGAATGCTTGCAGATACTCTTTGGCTTACCACACATCTGAGCGCAAGGATCACACTCTCCGGGTTTGTGACAGAGCTTCTGGCATCTGTGGAAGCCACAAGAAAGCAGCTCGCCACATGCTTGACCACAAGAGACGCGGTCTTGAGAGCAACGGATGTTCTTGACATGCTGTTCTTTACCACAGGCACAAGATTTCTCGGTGAGGTACGGGCAGGGAGGGCAGTCCTCGTTCTCGTGGCATTGGTGGGCAATTTTGGGGTGGCCACATTCCGGAGATGGGCGAGTGCAAGGGAAAGGGCAATGTATTTGAGTGCCGCACGCGACAGGGGGATAGATGATTGTTCGTCCGCAGTGACAGATGAGCTGTGAATACATTAGCATTGTATATAACCACTCCATTAATTACTTACCTCATCGTATGACGCTTGTAGACACCTTCCACAAGGACCCTTGTGGTCGGGCTTGGGACAAGTGTGACGTCCACAGCTCAACATCTTGCCGCACGTCAAATGACATTGATGAAGGTCATCGTTGGTGTATATGTCATTATCGTCGTTACGTTTCTTTTTCTGAGATTTGACTTGTTCCCACAAGGGACAGCATAAACGTCCGCATTCGTGTCGTCCACAGCTAAGAACGATCAGCGAGATCCTTGATCATTATTCAGTATCAGCCTCACTTTCTTAGAGCTTTGCAGACTCGTTCACAAGTCACTTCTCCAGTCCCATTCGCCATTCTCTCTCTCAAGATGTCACAAGGTACGACCAGCTGGCTCTGCCCACATCGGCAAGTCCGCATCACTTCCTCGTGACAGGGCGGACATTCCCCGGTATGACAGTTCTTGGGGCATGGATGACCGCAGGGTCGACTCTGAGGACAGCGTTTCTTGCAAGTGGGCACAGGAGCAAGACAATCGGGACGAGGGAAACCAGGAAGGGATGAAAGGGGCGTCGCGCCGCACGGGCAATGGGTGATGATTTCGGGAGAGTGAGGGCACACCAAGGCAGCGACGGGGTGCGGGTGACAAGTCTGCAGTCGTTTGTCAGCTCAAACGTCGAAAGTTTGTGATAGACTTACCTTTTGACACTTGTGCTTTCCACAGTCATAATACCTCTCACAAGACTTTCCACAGTCGAACCTTCCTTCCCATGTCGTCTCAATACCATCTTCCAGAATCTTGGCACAGATCTTGACATTGTTTCTGCCCCAGCCGCATTCGACCTGTTTCTCTTCCTCGCCACAATAGCACGTGACGCTCTCCATTTCCATACAAGGCGCACACGGGCCATAGTGACAGAGCTCTTGGCATGCGTGATCTCGATGACCACAATTGAGTTGTCTATCACAGATGTCGTCACAGACAGGAGAGAGCGCTGCATTGTTGGAGGTGGCAGAGGAGCATTTGACCGTCATTGGTATGTTGTGAGAAGGACAGGGGACAATGAGAGCCACATTGCAAGGTGGGCAGGGCCCCGGGTGACACGGCAACGGGCAGCCATGTCCACACTTGGCCCTCTTGCGACCACACGAGTCTCCGCATGAGTGAGGGGCGATGGTAGAAGTCGGTGGATGAGACAGTCGACCACAAAAACATTTGTATTGACCAGGCGGGTCTGTGCGCCTTTTTTGACACCCGGGACACCTCCATTGAGCCTCTCCAGGTTCCTTCAGTCCGCTCCTGATCTTTTCGTCTTCCTCTCCCAGACTGCGATTCGCCCAATCTCGGATACACTCAATATGGAAAGGAGTGTAACAGGCTGAATAGTGGGTGGACGTAGCTGTAGAGCCGGTGATGGGGTTGACATGAAGGGTGGCAGATGATGAGGGCTCCGGTGGTCGATCTGGTGGTAGACAGCACCATGTCTGCTGTGACGGTGTTATGCTGTTGAAACACTAAACGTTGTATGAGTCTCTGCTTTCATACTCGACGAGGCTACGCACGATAGGACACTCCACGAAGGGACGGTTCTTGAGACCTTTCGTCAACCTGGTTACCAAATCATCCGACTCTTGTCCGGCAGATTTCTTAGCCTGCTGCTCCGCTCTGACCACTCCTTGAGCCGGATCCTCCTTTTGCCCAGGCTTCATCGTCTTGCCCCCTTTATGGTTCATCGACGTGAGTTTTGTAGATTGCTCGAACGCGGCTCGTCGACCAGTAGCAACTGCAGGACCTTGCTGGGTGGTGTCTACCCCCTGATTTGGCTTCTTTCCCTTCTTGCCCTTCTTTCCAGTTGCCTTGGCCTCCTCCCTCTGAGCGGTCTGCGGTGATGAAGGATGCTCGTCGAGATTAGTGGCCAAAAGAGCGGTCCCTGGAACGAAAGAGAGAGCAGCGGCGTCTAACGGCGCAGCTTCTCGCAACTGAGGAACTCTGACAGAGTTGAGTGAGCGCATCAGAGCTGGAGAAGGTCTGACTGTGTTGTTGACCGCCGCGTTCGGGAAGAATGGCTGAGGCGACCTGAGTTCCACGACTTCCTCGGAGAACCCATTCCTGGCACCTGCCGGGCGCATATTGCCTTTTGAGCTATTGGAAGGGCCCGAATGGTCGCAACCCCTGCTGTGTACGTGAGGCTGCTGGCCGTTGGTCGCGCCTTCACCATCTGCGTGGGGATCATATGCGAAACTAGGGACGTTATACTGCATGCCATGATAGCCCGTCGGATGAGGGTGCTGCGGATTGTGACGTTGGGGATAGCGCCCATTCTGTCCTCGAGATTGCGGACCTGCCGTCCGGGTATTCACTTCGCGACGTTCTCTGGACGGGATTTGCGAAGGACCGTTGGTGCTGCTGCCGGCGTCCTCCCAAGGGTTGAGGCTGTAGTCTATCTGAAGCTTCGGGGGCGCAGAATCAGAAACACCATCACCATTAGGGCCAGGCGTCTCAGTAGACCGATCAATAGCTTCTGTCCATCCTTGCTCAACATTTGGCGAATTTTGAGCTGACACAGCAAAGCTAGAATCCACGAAAGACTCGGCCGGCTTTTTGCCCTTTTTTCCTTGGGTTCGCGAGAAGGAGTTCCTCCTCGAGGGAGCCTTGGAAGCTCCCCTAGAGTTTGAGGCAGAGCTTCCTTCAGCAGTTCCCTGCTGAGTCTCCCTCCCGTTTCCCTGCTTCTTTCGCTCCCCTTGTCTTCCGTTTCTTGGTGCACGACCTCTCTGCCCTTGTCGTCGACCATTCTCAGCTCTCGTGGTCTGTTCAAGCAGGTAAAAACCATCCCCTGGTCGCGACGGTCCACCAGAGACCGGAGCAATGCCGTTGGGCGCTGGCTTCCTCGTCTGAGAAGACTCGGGATTCGTAGGCTTCAATGATTCTGCCATGACTGTACAGTTCACGAAAGTAAGCTCAGGCAATCCGCAGGTGGCGAGAGACGAAAAGTCGCTATCCGGAATATCGACCAAAGTCTTTGTCAATGCTGTTGCCGGAATATAGATTGCTGGGTAAGAGTCCGAGACTTTTTATGACTGTAGAGTCGCCCGCTGGAGCCGGTGAAGTGAAGAATGAAAGGAAAATGCGAACTGAGAAAAAAAAGACGACGGAGTACTCAAATGGACCAAAAATGGACGGCCAAAAGAGCTTCGGAGCCGGACGGGATCAAATGCTGCTCGATAAGACCGCTGGTGGCGAGTTATACCGTCGGCCATATGAAACTTCAAATATGTATAGATCGACCAAGAAAGCGACGACAGGAGGATTTTGAGGACGATGCCTGTGTTCATTACGTATATACAACATTGAAGGCGACGTTATGGTGCCCAGTAGAGCCCCAGCTATGGACTCGCTGTTCTTATTTGCTCTCATCTGCTGTTTTCTCATCACCTCCTTCCCCGTCAACTGACCCCCCCGATAACGACGTCGACGTTGCTGGAACCTTGGCCTTGGCTGACACGTCGGCATCTCTCAGACTAGTGGAGATAGTATTGGGGGTTTTCCCGACAAACCAGGCTGGCACCCAACCTCTTTCTCCCGTGTCATTCCTGATACTGAAGAAAGGTCAGCTCTGAACTTGTCTGCGGACAAGCGACCTACACGTAGCTCCAGTGACAGTACTTTTTGTATACTCTTACTTTCTCTCCTTCCTCCAAAGCCAGTTCATCGTCGCTTTTCGCTTTATAATCCATTAGAGCAAAACCAGCATAACTGCTCGACGTGATGTTCGAGGGTGGTATGGGCAGCAATCCGGGGAAGGCAGATATTTGACCATCAGGCGAGGGTGATATGAGAGAGACCGGTTGACTGAGTTCCAGTATACACCCTATTATAAAGTCAGCCAAGAAGACATAGAGATGATGCGATCAAACCCACCAGCAGGAACCCAACCTTGGTCAAAGCTATGCGGCGACCCCGTCCCGTCGATATCTCGATTTACGATATACCACCCTTTGCTCTTGCTGCGGATTATATATGACGAACCAACAGGAACGTCAAACTCATCCTCTCTATCTCGACAATAGCTACGACATCGTCAGTCTGTGTACTGCGCGGTGATTCAAGATTTGCTCACGGATATATGGCAACGCCATATGTGACATTGACCGTATTCCCGTCATGGTCTATCAGCTGGCCATTGGTGGTCCGACTGCCTCCGGCACTCTGACTCCCATCGCCATCTCTCAGACCTGGACTAGGCAACTCTGGGAACGCGGCCCCATTGGGCGTATGTCCATCTTCTATTCGAGCGATAGCTGGTTTAAGGGTGGTAGACTTGATAGGGGACACGGAAGTATCGGTGGCTGGTTTAATCTTTGGTAGGAGCGAGGCGGTTGTGGAACCCGGGAGGCCAAGCTTCTGAGCTTGTTTGGTGTGCGCGACAAATACTGGGGACTTGATGTCCTTCTGTAAGGATGTTAGTGATCAAGTTTAAGCGAGTGGCAAAGTCGTACAATATGCCTCAACATGAAAACAGGCTTGTGGCCAGTCTCTTTGAGTTTTTGGAATAGCAGTAAAGGTTTCTCGTCATAACTCAAACACCTCTCTGCGAATCATCAGTATGTGGACACTTGACCCCGCTGTCAACTCACCAGTAGAGTCTCCAGTGTTGTCATAACATATAAACAGCGCATATAATCTCCAGTCGTCGTTGATCTTGTACTTTTTCAAGGCTGCAGGTAGCACTTTCCAACAAGGATCCTCCAGTGTGACTCTGAACGACTTGGCAGCTTTCCGCGCATCATCCTTGGCCCTAGATTTCTCTTTATCGGATGGCACCACAGATAGATTTGGTGATGGGCCAGCATTCGGGAGGGATGAAGATGAAGTCGGAGCAAGAGTCGAGGATTGTTTGCTGGATGAGGCGGACAGAGATTGGCTCATGCCCGGAGGTGTGGTACCAGGTGATGTGGCAGTACTTCCACTTCCAGCACCAGCCGTCTCCGATATGAGCCTGCTGACTGTCGACGGCCGCGAATCTTTCCGTTCCATAGCCTGCGGCGTTGGGGATTCGACGTTATAAGAGGACGTATTGGTGGTGGTGGGAGTGAAGTTGTCTTGGAAGGTGGTGGAGTGGGATGATAGAGGGGCGGTGAAATTGGAGGACGAGGCCAAAGAAGTGGGGAAGAGTTGGTCGGGTCGTGGTTTGGAAGTATTCTGAACAGCCGTGAGCACAATCTGATGTTTGACGTCCCATACTCACAGGCCCATACTCCCCGTTTTGCTTCATCTCCCTCCACTTCAGGCTCTCTGACCGTCCTAGTCCAAGCCCAGCCAGCTTTTTAGAGTCGGCGCCTGACAAAGTGTCGCGGTCGTCGTATTCTCCGTACCGAATAGATATGCCTTTCTCCTCGAGAATAGCTTTTAACCGCTCATGGTCTCTTTCGATGAGCGAAAGCCGTTCATCTGTGGACTATGAGCGTGGATCCGAGCAGGACAAAAGCCAATCTCACGCTGCTCCCTCACCATATCTACCAGCCGCTCGGTATCCTGCCTCTTCTGTTCCTCCACCTCTGCACCATGCAACATCAGCTCCGCATCACATAGCAATCAAAGCTCCAACTCACCCTGAGGTCTCCATTCTTCCTCCCCTATCTCAATGCCCTGATCCTCCTTCAATTCATAGACTGCCCGTAACAGTGCCAAGCGATGGCCAACGCTGCTGATTCCAAGGTTTTGCAGTGTTTCGAGGTCTAGCGCAGCTAAGACATCACCTGTGATCCCTTGCTCTGTGTACTTTGTAAGCCAAAAGTTCAATTACTACAGGCATAGGTATCACTGAGCACTTACCATGGATAGCTTTGTCGTACTGTCCGAGTCCAAGGCTGTCGAGATATGACACGACGGCGTTCTCGTCCCAATCAAGCAGTGACATGGGCGGAGACGCTGATTTGGGAGAGGTGACGGCCATCGTGTATGGGCGTCGGGAGGGCGCTGTGATTTACCAGTAAGGGCTCAAGGACACAAAAGACAGTCAAGGTGAAATATGAGAGGAAGACGGTTGAAAGGAAGAGACGAGTGGCTGGGTCGGCGCCGGACGCGTCAACAACCGAAGGTGACACTCCCGCACAGTGGCGTTGGCTGATTTTTGCGGTACGCTCGTTATCATCATGTCTCTTTGGTCAAACATCGTTGAGAGGCATTCTGCGAATGCAAACATTGGAGTAGTTCCCGTTATCTAAGAAAAGCTCATCACATGCATGCACAGAAAAAGTATTAAGATGCGTCTCCGACTGCTCCAGCCCTCTCTCCAAGATACAGTCTCCTCATCTCGTCACCCAGCTGCAACCTTCTCTTCCCTTCCAAGTAGTACATGGTCTCTTGGTATGTAGAAGGGACGACCATCTTTCCGATAGGTTCTCTCCCACCCTTGGCCATGGTGAAGAAGAATGTGTTGGTTTCCCGTCGGATCTATCGGCCACCCAAGCGATCAGCAGCGGACACACAACATCTTGGCGAAAGACTCACCCCAGTTTCGACCTCCTCGACTTCGGCTTTGACTACTATATGCACCTTTGCCTCTCCGTCAGCGCCTTCGTGAGGCTGAGTGGTGTTGACGATCTTGGACGTGAGTCTCAAGACGGCTCCGATGGGGACGGGCAGCTTGAAAGTGATCTGGTCTAGGGCCAAGAAGCGGAGTGGGCCTTGGGCGAAAAGCGAGGCGTTGGTGAAGCAGAGCTCGCTATGACATGTCAGTCATGACACCCCGGCTATAGGCAATGCCTCACAAAGCAAGGCGCATCAAGATACCACCAAAGACCTTGCCGTGAAGATTACGATCTTGAGGGTGCATAAGCTGCACGGTCTCAATCTGTTGGTCCATCAGCGATGTTTGAGTAGCAACGAGTTTAAGGTGCCTACTTCTGTGTCTTTCATCTGTACAATTTCTTGGCCGTCAATCTTGCCATCCTTGGCCTCTTGCACCTTCAGCATAAGCTCGTGGAGATCTCCGGCTTCCTTTGATGATGGCTGGAAGAGATCAATCGTCAGTGGAGGCCCAGTGAGCAAGTGTCTTTGACTTACAGGAACCTTGTCCAGGGCGTTCAGAGCGGTCGTCTTTCTCCTCTTCTGATGCTCTAATCTTGATCAGCATTGACGACGGCTCAAGCTTAGCCACGACACTCACCGTCGCCAATGGCCCACAGAATCTTCTCCTCGTCTCTGTCCACAGCCAAAGGCGGAATCTTCCTAGCCTTATGCGTCTTGGAATCCCTGCAGACCATCACGAATCGCCCCAGCATGAGTGTCTCCCAGCTACTATCCGTATTCGAGCCCTCCATCTTCACGACCACTTCCATACTCGAGCTTCCTGTCCAGGTCACAAAGCCAGAAAATTTGAGGTCTCGCACATTCTCCTTGTTCAGGCGGCCAAACATGTCTAATCTGTCGGCGCTGGCTGTAGCGAGGTAAAGACCGGCTTTGGCGGAGGCTTCGTGGAAGGCGGAGGCGGCGGAGCTCGTTGGGGTAGGGAGGGCATGGCGGTATGCGACCGCACCGGCCAGAGAGTCGAGGTCTGCGTCATGATCAGCACAAGTCTTCTCAGTGATCAGCCAGCTCACGTTCCAACAGCTTGCCCATTCCTATTCCGAAACATGTTAGCGACTATCACAGGCATCCCCTTATCTTCACTCACTAAAACCTCCTGAGGTATTCACATAGCGGTCATACAGGCCCGCATCGCTAGCTAAAGGCAAGTCAAAAGTAGTATAGCTTTCGCTCATATGCTTGGGCCCCAAAGACTTTTGCGCCTCCTCTACACTCTTGGCATCAACTTCGAGGTCATCTTTTGATCCTTGGCTAGCAAGGTTGGGCTGAGAAGCGGATAACCATGGAGCGGGCAGCGCTCGCATGACGAGGGGAGAGGGGTGGTTAACATTGCTGGGAGAAGACTCTATAAAAGATATGTCAGCGACGCCTTATGCGCTACCGGTGCTATTCACTAGCAACGGAGGCGGTAAGTTTATCGATCTCCCGCAAGTCGTATAGCTGTTGGATAGGGCTCGCTGAGCCACTGATTGCGCTTGGAGCTAACCTGGCAGCGAGCTGAGAGTTATGCCTGGTAAAGGCCCGATGGAGCGGGCGGGGACGTATAGTCGCTCGGAGTATGGACATTCTCGAATGCAGGTGAATCTGAATGAACTTATAGGACAAATGAAAGGCAAAAGACGAGCACAGAAAGAGAGATCCCGTCTTCCGCCATTATCTCTTTCTGTTTGTGCATGTAGATCGGCCATCTTCGGCCCGCCCGTCGGCCACGGTCAGGTATCGGATGACGGAAGGAAGAGTCGGTTGAGGTCCGGGAGGGTGAAGGAGAAAGCTACTGTATGTGGTGTACATGCAGTGCTGAAGGTCGTTTGTGCTTTCTCTTGTAACGACAGAAATATCGATCTGAGACAAAGGTCTACTGACGACTAGTAACGAAAACTCTGAATCTCATGCATGGTTTTGCGACTCTGAAGAAGGCATCATTCAGACACTTGGTGTTTTGCGATGCAGCACATAGGATACGCGCTCTCGAACAGACTTGATCAGACGGCAAGGGATGATCGGAGTTTCGGCTCAAGACTTCATACTGCGGATCATGGTGGCAGAGTAAGCGGGTGATAAAAGGTTGACTGTTCGCTCGTGCTTCTTCAATCAGGCAGGTGAAAAGAATGTTGAATCTACAACCTTGAGTGCATCACAAAGGAGGGGCTAGCAAGGCTCCGGGTTTGCATGATTGAAAGGAGTCGAACCGCAATTGAGCCAGCGACTCCGAGCGATTTGGTGAGCACTGAGCGGCCAAAATGTCGCCTTGTCCCAATCAGACCATGTGCTGAATTTGGAATCGCCTGTTATCGCTGAAGCCCGAGATCATCGAGCTAACAAGAAGATTGGTAATGTTAATGTTACCTGACTGTAGGCCCCTCGTCTGTCAAAGAGAGGCTACTGATATTGGAATAGGCTGGACAGGATGGCCTTGAGCACGAAGTGACTGCTACAGTACTCCCGAAGCCGTGAGCCTTGTTGCAGAACGACACTCAACAGGCTGACAGTTGTACTTTCTCAAGTTGAGCAAATGCTTGTTCGAGAAGCACCTTGCAGAGGCAATTGTCGCGAGAGTCGACGGAGAGACTGGAATAGTGGGCTTCGTAAGGGTACGCATGGAATGGGGACGGAGGATCAGATGGGCTGATGGATGGCGTCAGTATCTCTTCATGTTTTCAGCTTGGAAAGCCGCCCCAGAGCTATATGTAAGCCTATCATTCATGTGACTCTCAAGGCTGATCTGTCTAGGTCGAGAACATCTACGTCAAACAGGAACACCGCAACAGAGGCCTCGGTAAGAAATTCTCCGCCGAGATGGCTGCGGTGGCTAGAGACAAGGGATGCGCTCGTATCGAATGGAAGACTCACAAGGTAGGCTTCCCTGCCAGATCGCCGTAGCTGATATCCCATCAGGACAACGCACCCGGTATCGCTTTCTACGAAAACGCTCTCGAAGCTTGCAGGTCAGACACGACCTACATCATGAGGATTGAACCTGCAGGATACGAGGGAATCATTGAAAGATTCGGTGGTTTGTGATACAGTACATACATACACTTTGAAGATGATTTTGTTGCGTCTATCAGGTTTCACACACAACACTCTTGTCACACTCAAGCAGACTCCCACCAATTGCCTCCACTCCCACCAGAGCTGGCACGCCCAGCCTCCGCCCCTCTATCCCTGTCCATACGTCGACTGCCATCTCCGCGCCCCGTTCCGCCCACCCTCTTACCTCCTCGCCTTACAATGACGCTCAGACCACTACTAATTCCCTTTCGCCCTCCGCCCGGAAACTCCTGCAGCTTTGACTTCTTCTTACCTGTCCTCTGGCCACTTGTCTTGGGGTTGGTGTGCGAAGAAGAGGAGGGGAAGAGTTTGGGGGCAGAGGTGGAAACTTCTTCGGCCGAGCCTTCCTCCTCGGCGGGGGCGGCCTCCGGTTGAGCGCCCTTGTGTTTGTTGCGGTAAGCCTCGGTGAGGTGCCAGACGGACTTTTCCCATTCCTTCTTGAAAAGCCGGTAAATAGCCATTGTCACTCTAGCATCGATGACCTAAGAGGATGTTAGTGTTGGGGCAGTCTAGCGAGGAATGGGAAAAGCGTACAGAAGAGTGGGCACCAGTCTGGATCTGGATACCAAGCAGTTGCTGGGAGGCTTTGGCCAAACCCGGGCGTTTGTTGTTGAGCTTTTCACGAAGACCCTTGTACGCCTGCGTATCGCGGGTTAACGGTCCAGGGTGTGCGAGCATCAGAGCCTACATCAAACATCCGCTTCGCCCTTTCAACGAGTGAGACGAAACTCACCTTGAGATCATTCTCAATAGCATGTCCCACCAGTACCTTCCCCTCCAGCAGCTCCGCCACCTCCTTCCCAACATCTGCAAAGTCCCTTCCAGTGATCAGATCCTGCGCCCTCACGCCTGATATCCAAGTACGATAATCGGTCACCGGTTCGCGGGGCTGGACGAAAGTGTCCAGAATGATGTGGCCATGGTAGTTGACGATGGATACTCGGGCGAGGGCAGACTCGGAGCCTTGGGGTCCGACGCCGACCATTTCACAATCGATTGCGAGGCTACAGGAGCGTGAGTTGTATTTCAAACGATGTACGGGCCAAGGCGTACTATTGCCCAGGACTAAAGGGTGCGTCAGCGAGGATCATACCGATGACAGAGGTATACGCACAGCTTCTGACTCTCACTCAAAACGTGGTTACCCATGACCATATGCCTGAGCTCTTCCACAAAGTGATCGCCCGATGGGTTCTCCAAAAGCACACATGGCTCTTTGACGGTCACATTGCCTCTCATCATATCTCTATGCGAGGGCACGGGCTGAGGCAGTCTGGTAGCCTTGTCAGTTCTTGAACAGCAAGCAATATTGACACATACGAAATGGTAGTCTTGGCATTAGCAGCCACTTCCACGCGACCCATGTATTGGCCAATACCCCTCGATGGACCAGCATTGGAACCAGACGAGGAGGGAGCGGACTTGGAGTCACGCTTGTTTCGTGGATGGGAAGACGTTTTCAATTTCGATACAGACTTTGTAGGGACGAGGTTCTGTGATATGTTGAGTCAATTTCGGCAAGAAGTGCGAACTCTTGATACTTGCCTTCTGGAGTTGGGCCCAGTTGCCGCTGGGTGCCGTTTTGGTCTGAGCAAGTGTGAGCAGCGAGCATTCAACTCGAGATAAGTGGCGCTGACCTTGTCCATGATGATTTGCCAGACGCTCCTGAACATGCAACAGCAACCTGGTATGGACACTGAATGTGACTTTCAGCGTCCAAAATTGCTGCAAGTCGCGTTTGTCCGGTCGCCACGAGCGTCCGGACGTGTCTCTAGCCTCGGTGGACGCGCCGGACATTGCCACTTGACAAATGAATGGCCACTCTCTTTCTCTCCACGATCCAACTTGCAATATGAGCTGCGCAGACGACCTCACCACAGAAGACCTCAACGGGAACGTCACTGCTGAAGTCCTCGAACGGACCTCCGCTGGGGAAGGGAGTACCACCAACTTATGGAGTCATATCGATCGGGACAAGTAGGCTTACACATCTTTGCTCGTCGGATGGGAAGCTGACCGTGTCCAAAGCGTGACCGGTCTGAACTTGGACGACCCTTTGAGTGCTCCTAAGTTGATCAAGCCCTGGGACAATCGTCTGGATGAAGAACAGATAGTAGAGTCTGGCGTGGACGACGAAGTAAGAGTCAGCAATCACATGGAGGGTGCCCAAGCTGATACTCCCGTAGCTGATTATACACATACCGTTCACATCTTCTGTCCGCTTGAGGACTCTTGTTCTCAAACCTCCAGCCGCGGACCACCCTCACCGCCCGACGCGTACCCGCCTGTATGCCAACCAGATCCACTGCCCGGACTTTTCAGATCTAGAGTCTATGACTCCCATCATGGACATTGATACATCACAGCCCGCCGCTGGTGTGAGAAGGCTACCGGATGGTCGAAGGGACGTGGAAGAGTGGCCCCTGAAAGTGCAAAAGCTGGCCAACGTCCACAGTGTGACATTACTCTTCGTAAGACCATCTGCGACCGCTTGGCGCAAGCTGACTCTTATGTTCAGTCTGAAGCCGCCACTTCGCTACGCTCGTCCATGTTCTTTGTAGGGTTCAAAGGCGTCGCGCCAAAGCACGAAATGGACATTTCGAAGCTGGGACGTGTGCAGAATGAGAACGCAGCCGACAAATCAGTTGATGGAGTGGCGGAGAGGCAGGGGGCGAGTAATACGACGACTACACGGTAATAGGGGTGGTGCGAATGCGTGTATGATACTGTAACATATGTAGAATAGTTGTAGATGCATGGTGTTCTAGGCGATCTGATATGACCCTGACTCCCTGGCACAGCTTGGGGGATGTGCAATTAACGTTGTGGCTTGGCTTTGACGCGACGCGGCGCAGCTGTGGGTGCGGCGAATTTGACGACAAGCTGAAATTCCTTCCTTTCTTGTGTGTTTACACAACTGACCTGTACCAATAACACTATACTGCCCCGACCACTGACGCTCATTCACCGTCGCCACCGCCCACGCACAACCAGTCGCCCACCATCACACCCCCTTCCTGCCGTAAACGCGGAACAAACAACCGTTGCTGGACAACCGCCGGGACGACCCCGGACCTCACGACATGGATTCTAAGGGGAAGAACAGGTTCACAATCTCAGACTACGTTTACGATGAAGAAGAGACTCGAGCAGAGTCGAGCCAACAGGGGGCAGCATTAGCAGCACTCGCCCAAACCAAACACCATCCTATAGAAGAGAAGCAGCAGCGCGGGGCGCTCAGACTCCATCGTCCACAAGTGAGTCCCATCGAGCCGAAAAGGGCACTGGATGGCCATTTGACGTTGTCCAAAGGTATCCCCTGCTATTGAAGCATATTCGAATCCTCTCTCTCCCCAACGCTCCATCGCCCGCTCCTACTCTACCGATTCGAACGAGATGTCCGAGACAAGATCAGACGAAAACATGCTCCAGCCTCAGCGGTCAATATCACCACCACCTCCCCCGCAGGCCGGACCAGGGATGATGGAGATGTTGGCGCCCCGGTCACCAATGTCACCAAATTCCTTCCATTCGGCTCAGTCGAATGTTGCCCCCCGCTCGCCACACTCGCCGTATTCACCTACATTACCGTACAGAGTGGATATGGAAGCGGGCGGTATAGACCTGGGAGACCACCGATCGGAGAGGCTTTCGATTGAGAGCGACAGGATATCAGAGAAGAGAGACAGCATGGTGGGAAATAAAGAATCATGGGCGGCTGTGGATCTGTCACACTCCCAAGCGCAAATCAAAAAGAAGCAGTGGTATCACAAAGTGCGTCCTGTTGGATCTGCTAGGGAACACCGCTTATATACCACAGATTATACCCGGGACAGTCTATACGAGAATCCTCCTGGCGACCATCATTACAGAGACTGTAATCGACTTGACCATAGAAGCAAATATCCTCTATAGGTTCAACGAAGAAGTCAAATCAAGTTCGTCGACCGAGCTTGAGTTGGAAAACAAGCGCCGGTTGCCTGTCTACCTCATCATCTTTGGTCTCGCCCAGTGAGTCATATCTACAAACTCTCTAGCATGCTCTGACGCATTGTAGTCTCTGGCAACTCGTCCTCGTCTCCATCGCCATCCGCAGGAAGAACACCGTCCAGGTCATTGCTGTTACCGCCTTCAACTTTGCATTTCTCGGCTACGCCATCATTCAGATCTACGAACTGCGCAAAATCCTTGGCGGAACCAGTCTATCTGAAGCCTTGAAAGGGGACGACACTGGGTCAACGCTGATGACTATCCCCTTGAATGTGTTGACGGCGTTGATCATTGCGGTGGTGGCGGTGTCTTCAGTCGTGCTGTTGGTCCTCTCTGTATTGCTGCGTCGAGAATTTGGGTGAGTCTCTCGCAAGTAATGACAACGAGTGAAAACTCTGCTGACCATCGAGCAGCTGGCAACGCTACCGCTTCCTGGGCGCCGACCTCATGATCCGTGAATACTACTTCAAGTTTCAGATCTTTGAGTGTATCTGTTATTTCGGTGCCTTCTTCTGTGCTGGTTTCGGCATTCAGTTCATCTGGCTTGTACTGAACCCGAGTGATGTCGAGTATATCATCACGTGGATTGCGTTTCCGCTGTTGATCATATTTTTGGTCATTGGACGATACGCCGCCAAGTATGAGAATGTTTACTTCATGGTGCGTCCCTTTCACTCTCTCCGAGGACAGGTTTGACTCTCTCATAGTCTGCTTTCATCGTCGGTCTCCTCACCGGATGCGCCTACTTCGTCTTCAAGCTCGTTCGTATCTGGCAGCAACGGACCACAACCTACGAAAACCTGGAGAAGAGTTTAACCGTGTTTGACGCACTGAGTCTGGCTTCTTTGATCTCTTGTGCAATTTGGGGCGGGATGGTATGGTGGAACTTCGGAAGGGGGTTGAAGCACGCTGGTGAGTGGATGGTCGGTGGTGCAAGAGCGAAATGCTGATAATCGATGTGTAGTCTTGGCTAGGCCAGGGGCGAGAACGTTCTGGGGCGGTGTTGTTGGTTTCTTCTCCAACGACAGTGTAGAAACTTTACAAAGCAAGGAACAAGATATCAGTATGTCCGACAGGCGTATCGTCATTGAGTAGTCCTTGTCCGTAGCCTTGATTGTTCAATCTACGTTGTCAATTCTTTTCTTTCTTTGGGTTTTGATTTGGGTTTGGGTTTGAGGAAATTTATGACTTGACGATATTGCGACGGCTATGCCCTCTAGCACTCATGCCAAGGCCGCTAGACGGCCTGGTTCTCTTTTGTCTATAGCAAGCAGTGCTCCTCGTGTCAGCCAGATGAGGTCATGTACACTGTAATATGAATAGTAATGTAGTAAGAGCCGCGATGCCTGGCTTGATATGATCCCCAACGCCAGTCGCTATGCGCGATGTCGTACTGGTACTTTGCTCCGATTGCTCATGTGACCTACCCTTTCACCGCGTGCCGCAATCAACAGCAGGCAGCAGCAAACCACAATTGTAGAGGGCAATGCATACCAACAATCTGCCAACCATCCGCCAAGCGTACTGTATTTGGTCCCGGTTCTATCGGCGTTCTGCCGCTTGAGACGCCGAATCGGCCCTTCCTGTGGTGATCCTCCTCGATAGCTCTGTCCAGCTTTTATTATCCAGAACGGGCTCTCTGTTAATGTCTGATACACAAAAATTAGTGTAAGCTAAGCCCAAGCTACATAGAGGGGCACGAGCTGACACCGTCCTGCAGAGCGTGCCTCCGATGCCGGTCGCGAAAGGTCAGCCAAATGGGAGCCCTCCGGTGAGATGTCGCTCACGATCATGTGTATAGTCAAAGTGTCCCGGAAGAACCGACAGTCAAGGATGTTTACGATGTGTCAATGCTGGAGTGGCCTGTGAGGTTGTACCCCATAGCCGGGGAAGGAAACATGGAACAAAGTAGGTTGTGTATCTTATCGGCCCGAGTGTACTCAAGTATGTTATACACTACAAGAAGCTGGCTGATGCAGACGGTAGGCTGTCTGAGGAAGCAAGGGCCGGTATCAGAGAAAAGTACGCAGCCAGGTCTCAGCACGTTTCAACCGGGGACAAGAGAAAGAGAACCGACGAAGAAGATAATATCGGTTCTTCTGGTAGCCACGACACGAGAAAGGGCGAAGTTGCCGGAAGACCCAATCCTTTGGCCTCTAATCTGCATGCCAAACCCGCCAACCGAAATCCCCTAGACCTTGGAAGACTTCCGACCTCATCTGTCAGGGTCAACTCGGAAACGCAGGCGGCCATAGGACCCACGTCTAATCGGACAACTTCTATCGCCAGGCTCTTTACACCGAAACGGACCGATAGGACGAAACAATCTGGACTTTCCTTGTATCGAGATGATCCAATTACCTGTGGATACTTGACGGAAGCAATGGCGAAGGACCTTTTCGCATTGTAGGTCTTGATATTCATATACCATGGCGGCTGTCGCGCTGACCGGATTATCCAGCTTCATGCAGAGACTGGCGGATAGACTATTCATATTTGATGTCTTCTTGCATACATACGGTGAGGTTCGTGCATCATGTGTCAGAAGTGAGCGCTGACATAATCCGCAGAGTATGTTCGGGACTCGTCGACCTTCCTGTTCTGTGCTATTCTAGCCACAGCGGCGAGGTTCTCTCCGGTCACAATAAGTCAAGTGACTCAGCAAAGGTGTCTGGCGCTGGCCAAAGATCATATGCTCAAGGTCTTCTCCGATAACGACAAGACAGAGGAGACGATACAAGCCCTGTAAATATCGCTGTGGGATGTGCTGCGATAGGCACTTACGCCAGTTGTAGGTACATTTTGACCGAGTACAAAGACAATGAAGACGAAGACGGGTATCTGCTGTTGGGAATGGTACGTGAGACTTTGTGCGAAGCGCCTTTGCAAACTGACCTGGAAGATAGGCCTGGTGAGTTTGGCTCTGAAGCTGGGCCAACTTTCTTGATCCTAACAGTACCGACTCCCAGTCGTATCGCGCTTGACATCGGCCTGTCACAACCACGGCCAGAACTCAGTGAAAGAGAGAACCGCAGTAGAACTCGGATCTGGCTTGTCCTTTACTGTGCTGATCGCAGGTAAGTCTTCAACACGTAAGTGTACCGTCATGGCGCGCTGAAGTTGAGTGCAGGTTCAACTATTGCGGGCAGACAGCCAAACCCTGCATGATGCCCGAGAACGAATCTGTGTGCGCTTGGTATGTTTCTCTTTGAGCAATTGGCCGATCAAGCATAGGGGTATACTGACTCATCCACAACAGCAAAGATTTTGTCAAATCACATCTCTGTCTGGCAATAGATCATCGGATAGCCGACAATGTTGCCTTGCGACGTCAACTAGCCGCCCAAATCGAAGCAATCGACGCCGATGTGGACTGTCATCTCGATTTACGTCAGGAGTACTACACCATGGAAGAAAAGGCCACAGAATGGGAAGCGGACCAGATTTCCACAGGTCAGTGAATGCGTAGCTTTTAACTTTGTGCTGACCGCGAACGCATGCAGAACCTGACACGCCCCACCATGCTCATTTAGCCGCCTTATTGGCAAGAGTCGTGGTGGGTAGCAAAGGTAAATGCGCAACCTAAGCTGACCAGACCGCCAGATTGCCCATCGATGGGTGCATCGCTCATTTCGTGATGACAGTTCTTCAAGGAACTTTGACGCTCGGGAGAAAGAGAGGAGAGAGGCTTTGGCAGTATGTATACAAGGGAGCCTGGGAATACTCGAGACTTTGAGGCAGATTTCGCTGGATACTTTGCGCTACGGCTCCGGTAAGATCTTTCATGCGACGAAGCACCTATCTGATGTTGAACAGATTCCAAACACTTGTACTTTGCCTACGGCTCGTTCTTTCTGCAGAAAGTGAGCTTCCGACCGACACTTGTCATCAGCGCTGATGTAATCCCTTACCAGGTTTTTGACACGCAAATTGCGGTCATCATGCTTGATCGCCCCTCGATCGCCTACATCTTGACACTGCTTCAAGAATGCTCACAAAGACTGGAGGAAGCATCAGCATACCCCGCATCCACCGCCGCCTTCCATGCATCATTTCTGCGACATCTCATGGCGAGTTGCGAGCAGGTCATGCAGCAAGTGACAGACTTGGCAAGCGATCTCTCGACCACATCGGGTCATACCTCTCAGGTGGCAGAGCCCAACGGAGATATCGAGCGACCACCAATGGTAAATACCTCATCGAAGTAAGATATATCCTTGCTATACACATTACTATTCCTGGAATGCTGATAGCGCTTACTACACTATAGCCGAGCCTTCCCGGAAGAGACGTCACTCGTTCACCCACCGGTGAGCCTGCAGGGGTCTGCCCATGTCCTCGAAGATCAACCTGTACTGCGTCCAACTTTCGATATGTTACTGGGGTCTTTGAATGATGAGACTCTGGGGGAGAGTGTGATCTGGGATGACTGGTGGCCGTTGAACGACATATGGGGGTCTAGTTCTAGCAATAACAACATTCATTCAGGATTTCAATAGTCCAAAGCCATGATAGATTGAGCCAATGTATCTGTTCAATGTTGTACGTGCATATATTCTATAGATGACTTGGCGGGCTCCCCTTTTCAACGTCCCTCGATCACTTGCGAAACCTTCTCAAGATACTCCCATTTCGTGTCCTCTTCAATCTGAATACTTCCCCCGTCTTTGGGGCTCATGACTTTGACTTGTGTCCATTCTCTGGTGCCGTAGTCGAAGGGTCTCCAATTAACAAAGTCCGCCTGCGTCTGATCAGCCATACTCGATATGATGTTCAGGACGGAGCCTCACCCAATCTTGGATCCATTCACGCATGACTTTCTCTTCTTCCGGCTTCGGGCCATGGAAGATGGAGAAATTCTAACCAACGGTCAGCGAACATTCCGGAGAAATACGGAGAGTGGAACTCACGTGGATGGGACGATCCATTGCATGAGTCACACCGAAAGCCTTGGGCGCGTATTTCATGACAAGTTCTGGTACCCAAGAAATTATGTATCGATTAACACTCTTGAGAGGCACCCCAGCATCGCGCAGCTGACGGGTCAGGGATCTGCTTGGAGCTCTGACTTGGCCGTCACTGATGATGTCGCCAAGGACCTTGACGAGGTTGTCAACCGTAGGATCGGGATCGGGACTAGATCATGATCAGCTTTGACCATAACGAAAGTGGGATATCTTACTGCTGGAACGGCTCTTTGATCTTTTGATGAAGGTAGAGGTCAATCATCTGTCGGCAGATACTCTCTATGACATTTGTCAGCAGCCAAGATTACCACCCACGTCCGTGTTACTACGCACGCGCATAGTATTGGTTGACGGCGATGAACAGCTTGGACTCGTCACTGACGTCAAACTCAGACCTGTATAGCGTTTCCTTTAAGGTTGTCAGTAAAGCTTATGCTATGAATATCATCAACTGACCTCGTCTTTGACTTCTCCGATGATCATTGCCATGTCTCGTCTCTTAAACTCATTCGCGAACTTGCCATCGAATAGCCACGTCTGGCTTGTAGCTATGAGGCAACATCAGCCACATAACGCCGTGGCTTATGAGTGGAAAGGTACTCACGGAAGAAATGCCCATCCTGAACGGTTCGGAAAGTGAACTGCTCGATGGTCATGAGTTTCGTGTTGAGGACTTTTGCTGGAACTTGTCGCAGCCGAGCAAGTTTCTCAGCAGACGAAAGGGACAGGGGGATGTCGAGGGCGGTGAGAAGGGAGTCGAATTGAGATTGCGTCTCCTCGATTGTCTTGGGAAGGACTGGGATAGCCTACAACATATTAGCCCGAAGAGAGAACTATAACAGGATGTCTCCTGCTCACATTCGAGATTCTGAAGATTATGATGAGCTATATAGTTTCTTCGGCATGAAGAAACAGGGAGACTCACAGAATCATGCGCTGGAACAAACCGCCCTCAGTAGGCTTTGCAACGAGGAGCTCGTGGACAGCCTGAGCGCTGTATACACCATATCAGTTTCACGCACAGGAAGGAGGCCGTGCATTGTAACACTCACTGGGTAGAGTATGCTCCCGCAGATCTTCCGCCTAAAACAACTCGAGATGGGTTTCCTCCGAGAGAGGACACATGCTCGTGGACCCACTCGAGGGCTACACGCTGGTCCCAGAGGCCATAGTTGCCCACTGATCCGTCCTCGGACTCTTCTTGGAGTTCACGAGAAGCGAGGAAACCTAGAGCACTGACACGATAGCCTGTAGAGATACTCGAGACCAGGGTCAGCCGCTTCAGGACGCACTCTCCTCGCCTGGACACTCACAAAATGCAATTCAGGCCGCCAGATGAGATGAGCTTTTGAGGTACGTCAACACGCCAGTCTCGTGGGTTTGTATTTGACTCACCTCGGTAGGGTCAAGATTAGGATCAATACTAGGGTCTCCGATCTGCAACCAGCCGCTGTAGGACGTCAGCACATGCCCGCTCATGTATCGGGAATGGCCACCCACCCATGCAGATACACATAGACCGAATAGCCTTCAGGAGGAGGAGGGGCGGCAGGCATCCAAATGTTCATCTTCAGACAATCCTCGTCGTACGGATCGATTTGTTCGGCGTCTTCATCAGACTCGGCAACTTCAGAGACGTGAAGGTTGGTGTATTTAGGCTGAGGGCATGGGAGACCGAACTCAGTCGCCTGCCTGGGCTTTCCGTCTTGATTCTATAAGACGCTTGTGAGCTCGATGACTCCAGAGACGAAACTTCTTCAAGTCACATAGGAGTATCCAGTAGGCAGAGGCCTTGGTCGTTTGAAGCGGTGATCTCCGGTGGGAGGCAACGCATAGGGGACATTGAGGAAGCGCTTAACTCTGTCTTGTTATCAGCCTCAGGCTGCTACCCAGCCAGCTCCAACGTACCTGCCATCAATGAGGGTGCCTTCAAGCTGACCGAGAGATCCAAGGTCAGCGACAGTAGGCTCATAAGTGTAGTCTGTTTCGGATTCAGTGTGAGAACCTCTAGGTTTTGAATACTTACGGGGAGAAAGGACGTTGCCCATCGTGACTGGTCGAGTATGTATCAGTCAGATGAAGAGATGATGGAGTGTAGAAGAATATTTATCACTAAATCCATCGGGCCATGGACGTGGCTGGCGGTGTCTCATTGTCGCGATAGAACACCGTTATCGGCTCGCGCGGGTGGCGTATCGGCTATCTAAACACGAGAAATAGGCTTTCAACGCACCAGCGCTATTCGTCAATCGGACTTCAACTCACCCTATTCGTCCATCGGACTTCAATTTGGCAGATCGGTAAATCGTTCTCCGATATGAGTCGGAGACCGACGGCGACTCAACTTCATTGTCCCGATAGACAAGAAGCCAGCTGATATCTTTCGTGTTTGCATACATATAAATTAGTTGGCGGGTATCCGGAAGTGTGTGCTCTCGCTCGCTCACTCGCTCACTCTCACCCAATAGTCTACGATATCGATTTGTCCATGACCGAAGAGATCCCAGCCACTCCACAGATAGGCCCATTTGTCGAGGAGGATGAAGACAAAGAAGCATTTCGGAGTGAGGTAGTCGAGAGCGATGCTCCTATCGTGATCAGTGAAGAAGACAATAAACGAGTGCTCCGTAAAATCGACTTGTATATTCTTCCCCTCGCCGCACTCGTCTATTGGTGTCAGTATGTCGACAAGAGAGGTACGTATTTTATCATAGCACTTTCATATCATCGAGTATCAACGCCACCACCATACGCAGGTCTTTCTTTCGCGGCCATCTTCGGACTGCAGACAGACCTGGGTCTCAAAGGTCAAGAATACTCGTAAGCTTATGCTCCAACTCTTCTTTCTATCTTGGAACAATACGTGTTGGATTAGACTGCTGATTACCGTCGTACAGCTGGGCTTCGAGCATCTTTTACTTTGGTACTCTCACATCCCAGTTCGTTTCCCTCAAGCTCCTCCACATGACTTCTGTCAACGTATACGTCGGAGGTGAGTGCTACGCCCCGCATGCTCTGAACGTAGGCCAAGTCTGATGACAAAACTTAGTCACTGTGGTCTTGTGGGGTGGTGTCATGATGGCGCAAGCAGCACCTCAAAACGCAAAAGACCTTCTCGCTGTCCGTTATCTTCTAGGGTGTGTGTGCCCATCTGCCGCTCATGACCATGTTGACTTACTACCATTTGCTTCATGAATAGTGTTGCTGAGGGGAGCGCATACCCCGCGTTCGTTGTCCTCATCTCCTTCTGGTATCGCAAAGCCGAACACCCAGCCAGGTTTGCAGTTCTCTACGGCGCCGACATCGTCGCCCAAGGTCTCGGTGGCCTCATGCTGTATGGCCTGAGCTCGATCAAGGGGTCTCTCGCAGGCTGGCGTATTGCCATGCTGATAGTCGGCGGATTGTCAATCGTGATCGGCCTACTGTTCGCTTACTTGACGCCTACCAACGCTGAAAATGCTTGGTTCCTCACCAAGGAAGATCGGCAGATTGCTGTCGACCGAGTGGCTTTGGAGCATGCTAGCGCCGAGTCGAGAGAGTGGAGGTGGGACCAGTTCTGGGAGACTCTCAAAGATCCCAAGGTGAGCCTCGTTACAGCTTCGTGCGCTACAGTCATTGACTTCCTATCAGTTTTACATTGTCATATGTTGGGCATTCCTAGTCTGTGCTAGTACTGTGCTCAACTTTGGAACTTTGATCCTGAACGGACTGGGTTACTCAACGTTCATCGTAAGTCAAGGCCCCGCTTCGCGCGTCAGCTCATACTGACAGAACCAATAAGACCGCGGTACTCCAACTCCCTGCTTGCGCGATCCAAGCAGTGTGTATGATATTTGCTGTGTTTGGTTGCAAGTACTTTCCGAACCGACGAGGGTTTGTTCAGAGCGGCTTGGCCATCATCCCCCTCATCGGCGCCATCCTCCTTCAAACGTTACCTTATGGCGGCAACAAATGGCCTCTTGCCGGTGCACTGTGGTTGAGTGAGTTGCTATCTGTACTGGCTACGATGACATTAGCTGACGAAGATGATAAGCTACGTGCAATCAGGGTATCGTGGTCGTCAACCTTTCTGTCATCTCTTCAAACATCAAAGGCCATACCAGAAAGACAATGTTCTCCTCCTTTTACTACGTCGGCTATGCTGTCGGATGTATCGTCGGTCCTCGTAAGTGTCCCTTCCTTCTTTTTCAGAGTCATGAGTTGTATGGAAAACTGATCCATCCTTCATTAGAGCTCTTCCTATCTGAAGAGAAACCCCTCTACCGCACAGCTATGCGCGCCATTGCAGGCATGTACGGTGCCTACATCGTCTTGATGCTCTTGTTCACTTACCTCTGCTGGCGGGAGAATAACCGCAGAGACAAGTTGGCCGAGGAAGGGATGGAAGAGGCCCAGCCTAAGCAGGCAGCCCACTTGGACAATCAGTCGGACGTGAAGGATCTGAGCTTGAGGTATGTTCTGTAGTAGACGGATAGGCGCAGATGTCTTTGGAATTGAGGTAGGGTCACGTTGTACGCGGTAATAAGTTGCAATATATTTGGGATCAGGTCATGATGCATCTCTTGTGTATACTCATCTTTATCTCGAAGCAGGAGTACAATCCGGCAGCACGTAAATGATAAGATGCATACTACAACACAAGTCAAGGAACACCAACACGATCTCTCCCTCATCGCTTGCTCTTGATCTGTCTGGCAAACCTGTTGAATTTCTTGTTGTCCGCCTGGATCCTCGACACATGTGCCATCTCTTCCGCATGATGCTGCGTTTTGGGTTCGGGCACAACACTGTATTGGATATCCTGTATTTGGAATGTCAGTACACAGTTTCACAAGACAGTCGGAAGTACTTGCCTGGACAACCTGCAACCTCGCTCCCTTCTTGTTTGCATTCTCCGCCAAAGCAGTCTTAAAATCAAACCTCTTGACCTTCTTCTGTCCCTTACTACCACCACCTCCATACCCAGTCTCCTCCCCTCGGCTGTCCCCGCCCAAAGCCTGCTCGACCTCATTCTGAGTCTCGACATATTTGGAGCGGTAGTTGGCGGGACGCTTGATGATGGGACGGGACCATGCTTGGACGAGGGCGTCGGCTTGGCGGTTGATAGATGGAGTGACGCGTTTGGTCTTGGTGTAGAAGAGGACGATGGGGCCGAGGCGGCATTCTTTGAGGGTTGTGGTATCGAGGTCCATCTGGATGAGGGATGAGCATGATGATGAGTGTGGGCGGGGAGAGAACGTACCTTGGGAAGAACTTCAAAGATGGCTTTTTGGATACCAACACTGGGCAGACTCTTATCAGGAAGAGGTTCTAACCATCGCTTGACAGAATCAAGCACCCCGTTGTCAACGATAGACTGCCATAATGTGGTACTAAGACGGGTCAGCCGAGCTCGTGTCACGCCGGAGCAACAACCTACTTTCTCAAGACATTCATAACCTCGTCCAGCATGGCCAGCTTGGCGGTACCCGGCATCTTGATCTTGTTGGCGGCTTCATCCTTGTCGGCAGCAGCCAGCATGCGGTCTCGAAGTCGGGCACAGATCTCATCGTGATAGCCATCCACCACCTATAGAAGGGTCAGCTCATGATAGATCCAGCGCGGCGGTGACGTACGTCTACTTCATCGTCTCCCTTCTTCTTCTTTCTCACAGCCTTTGGCTTCTTTCCGATGGCGTCTATTCTTCTTTCCAGGTCCACCCGTCTTTCTGCTCGGAGAGTGAGCGGAGCTCCATCCGTGCCGATACCAGACTTACGAGTCTCGGCATCAAGAGCAGCCTCATCTTCGTCCTCTTCCTCTACTTCTCTTTGTTTTCTCTTCTCGCTCTTCTTCTTACTCTTTCTTCTCTCCCTGTCGTCGTCCCCCTCTTCATCCTCTTGATCATCATCTTCGGCCGACTTGCGTCCCTTCTTGAATGAAGGAATCTTGGCAGCACTCGTAGCCGTCGCAGGAACATACGTCTCCCCTTCTCCTCCCTCATCCTCTTCTTCATCCTCATCCATCCTCACATCCCCTTCCTCATCTTCCTCATCTCTCCTCTCCCTTCTCACTCTACGCGCTCCTTCGTCATCCGAATCATCATCATCCGATCCTTCTCCACCAAACACAGCATTGTACATGGCATTTTGCGTAACGGCATGTTCGGCGGCGGGGGCTGGAGAAGGCGCTGCTTCGGCCTCTTGCTCTTGCGCTTGTTCTGGCTGAGGTTCAGCTTCCGTTCGCGGGGTAGGCGAGGCAGCCGGAGGGGTCAGATTGGTTTCAGGTTGTGGTGAGGCAGACATTTTGTAGGCTGGGATGGGAAATGTAGTGAATTGTTGGAATTGGCGGATCAGTTGCAACTTGCAAGAGGAGAGTCGAGGAGCGCCTATTCGTGTTAGGCAAAGAGGCGAGCGGCGATCAGCGCTGGCGACTAAAACCGGCTATCACACGCAGAAGTTGAAGATACTGCTCGACTGGATCCGTCTCTGGAAGGCTGGGGGACGCCTCCGACCAAAGCGCTCGTCGAGGGTCCAGCCAACCAGATCATAGCTCGGGCGTGGGACGGAGACGCGGAGGACGCGCCTACTGTGGGCTCCAAGTGGGTCGACCGTTTCCGCCAGCGGACAGAGAGTCTCACCGCGTCAAGCAGAAGAGCGCTGAGCCGGCCAGAGTCGCTGCTTCAGAACCGAAGGCGATAGCGAATACTTCAGCGAGTTCATGGAAGTGAGAGATAAAATTGGCATCGAGGTGAGTTTTCCTACGCGTTCCGCCTTGTCGACATACTGATCACTCTTCAGCCTTCCAACATCTGGAACATGGATGAAGTCGTATTCCGGATTGGTGTCGGAGGGAATGAGCGCATTTATACAACGGGCCCCAAGAAGGCTACCAACCGCCAATCCCTCACCATCATCGAAGCCATCAGCGCGGCCGGCGAAACTATCCCTCCCCAGGTCATCTTGCCTGGGAAGAAGCTCATGTCTGCTTGGACTGAGAATGATCTGCCCGACGACACTATCATCTCCTGCTCTGAGACTGGCTGTACCAACAGCAATCTAGCTTTGGCCTGGATCGAGCTTTTCGCCAAGCACACAGTGAAGAAAACTGTCGGCACTTATCGACTGTTGGTTTATGATGGTCACATCTCTCATACAACTTACGAGTTTATGTCATACTGCGAGGAGCACAACATTATCCCCTTCCTTCTGCCTGTTCATGCCATCCACATCCTCCAGCCGCTTGACCTCCATGTCTCCCAGCCGTACAAACACTGGCACAGACGGGCGATCAGTGAGGCAGCCCGCATAGGCTGTATCAACTTCGATAAGACCGAGTTTATGGCTGCTCTTCATGGCTTCAGGACCAGGGCTTTCAAGAGTGGCATTATTCCACTCACACCGAAAACCGAACGAGAGCTCAAGAGGATGTGGCAAAAGATCGTTCCCGAATCACCCCTTTCGCCTACCAGGAAAGCCAACTGAGATCTGGATACTCCTGCAATTCTAGATGAGGTGAACGACTGTATATCCGGCTTTCATGAAAAGCTATTTGCTCTAGAAATGGAGACGTGCTCTGGCTGTCAGGAGCGATGGTTCGACATGAAAATCCGACAAGGTATTTGCAAACGGTGTAGAAGTCGCCCAGGCAGATTCAGCAGCACGAATAACATGGATCCTGGTAAGTTATTCCTGTCATGCATAGAATTTTGGCTGACAATCTACCAGGTCCCTGTATAATTGAGCTCGCCAGACGGCATTCATGGGGAGGCAGAAGGAAGGGGATGATGTTGTGCACCTCGCAGTATGACACAAACTCGTAAGTTGTATGAGAGGTGTGACCATCATAAACCAACATTTCGGTGATGTCGCCATATTTGGCGCGTCAGCTAGGTCAGCGTGGATGTATCACTTTGGGAAGGACTTTTCCAAGGAATACCAGACTGAGCGTAAGTGGTATATCTAGTACAACATACATGCATTGCAACACGACTGATCATCGATAGATCAAGATGCCACTCTATTTCAGGCTTTTGATGCCTTCAAGATGGAAAAGGCGATTGATGGGGTAGATGTGGCCGACGCACTTGCCGACTCATTCGCGGCTATTGATTATGAGCTTCAATCGTGTGAGAATATGAATGCAATTTTGCCTGCACAAACACTCAAAACAAGGGCCTCGGCGTCATCTGTCTGCTTCCAACAACAAGCGGGATGGAATTCTTGATTGGGTACATTTTCATGCATACAGGGTTTGTAAAGTGAGGATTCTGGTATGTAGGGCCTCTAGGACTCTCGCTTCAACGTCGGATATTTTTGGGGCATGTTGATATGTGGAAACGGCGAGATATGGGCATGAAACAAAAAGATACGCGAAAAAGTGCCCTTGCGGTGTCAAACGCCCTTGCAGGTGATTCTGATGGAGGATGAATCTTCATAACAGCGTCATCAACCATGGGCCCGGGTAATGATGGGGCATGCATGAGCTGGGAAATGAGAAGGCTTTCGCATGTATGCATGAATTGAGGGGACCCATGTAGGGCTGTTTCCTCTGAGGCGACGACATCACAGGAGTACAGCAATACACTTAGATGCAGCTTAGATGACGTGAATCCGACGATGTGGAGGTCGACAAAGGAGCGCTATCAATCGCATTATCGCTTGCATCTCTTCATCTCTTTCTCTTACGCTACCATGTTCCCCAAAGACCACCCCCTCTTTCCCCCCTTCCATTTCCACAAGTGGCGTGCAGTGGACGACCGCGTCCGAGGCGGCTCCTCCGTCTCGCACCTCGATCCTGTCAAGATCGACGTCCACGGGCACGTCAGCTCTGTCGCTCAGGACGAGATCGAAGAGATGGAGAAGAAGGGCCACGGGGGAAAGGACCACCTCGCTGGTAGATTCTGGGGCAACTTGGGTACGTGTAGCCGCAAGCATACAAGGAAGTGAGCTGACCAAGGCTTATCGCAGATATCAAGACTCTCGGCGGCGCAGGTTTCGCCTCTCAAGCCTTCCGCTACGGCCCCGCTCCTCTCCACTTTCCCCGCCACAAGTACTCTGGTATATCCATCACTGCCCTCACCGACCCTCTACAATCGGTGGACGAGAAACACCCTCACCCCGAGAACTTTACGTTCGTTCTAAAGACGTCGCCTACGGCGCATATCCCCAAACACCCCAAGACGCCCGCACCCCCTCGCGCAGCGCAGTTGACTTATCAAGTCGAGTTCAACATCTCCCACGGCGGCGCTTCTACCCGTACACCCGGGGAGAAGAAGTTTACATTCCCGTGGGGCGAGTTCAAGGCCACATACCGTGGTCGGGAGATCAAGAAGGGCGACCCTCAGTGGGTACCGCTCGATACGAGCAGTATCTATGAGGTCAGCTTGATGTGTAGGAGTGATTTCGGGCAGCAGGAAGGTGACTTTGGGGTGATTGTGACCGATATCTCTGCGGTCGAGAAGGGCCAGGAGAAAGAGGATGAAGATGAGGGCTGTTGGAGTGGAGTTGTGGGTTGGTTCAAGTGGGCCATAGGCGCGGAGCGGGGTATCCGATTGGAAGAAGACGAAAATGAGTTGTGCGAGAAGGCATAATCATAGAAGTACAACAAGCATGTATATTATCTACTCTATAGAATTCATCTGAACCAGCAAGCCCGCCAGCCCTTCAATCCCCGCACATTGCCGATAGAAATCCATCGCCAAACAGCCCCTTATCCTCTTTCCATCTGCCATCCACTCTAAGATCGCTCTACACAGTCTCGTGTTTATCCCCTCCACCCCCAGACCCCAGGCGGGCCAGCCAAAGCCTTTGGCGATGGTAGTAGGGAGGGCTAGGGGAAAGTATGAGGCGGAGGTGTAGGAGAGGGTGAAGGAGGGATTCAGCACCGGAGCAGCAGTCAACGTGGGCTTGAGATGTGCCGTTATCTATTTCCGTTGTCAGCTGAGGTTTTCGCTCCTGCAATCTACTTACCGTCGCGAACTTCTCCGGTATGGACAAGAAGGTATGCACCCGATACCAATCTTGCGTCCTGACCCTTGTCCCTCCACAATCCCACTCGAACCCTTCCTTCTTGGAGTCTGGCCACGTACTCGGATGTATTCCCATCCCGGCCGGCCATTGTCCCTCTCCATCTTCCTTATCTCGATCAAACCTCGTCATCAACATGCCCTTACCCCGTACCTCTCCGAGTTTTGGTATCCGCTCTTCCAAGAACCAAAACTTTTCGATATACGGCTCGAAAGCAGAGTAGACACGGGCAGAGAAGGATGGGTGGAAGGGTGGAGATTCCTCTTTGAGGCAGAGGATGAGGGTCTCGGTTGGGTGAGCTGTGAGAAAGTCGTGGAGGACCGATAGGAGAGCTGGGAGGGAGGATCGCTGGGAACGGGGGCCGTGGTACACTATAGACATGAGTATCATATACCTCGCGATGAAGAAGTACTCACTCAGTAGCTGGTCGTCTACTACCCGCAGACGGACGTCCAAGAACCGGATGCCGTCGAGCAGCTGCTGCTCTATAGTGGTGCTCGACTGTTGACACTGTGATAACGGATCTCAGAGAGCTATGAGTCACAGAACACTCGATATTATTAAAAATTACTCACAGCCATAGAGAGCGCAAGATTCATGAGTGCCCGCAAGGGTCAACAGGCCTAGAGGCGTCTCGTCAGGTATAAGAGACATAAAGTCCGCGGTATTCGGCTCATCAGATAGCATCAATATATCCCTTCCGTCTTTCTAACCTCTAGCTTCAGTATCATCCTCACCATATGGGGCGCCGACGTACCAAAAGACGATAGGCATGATACCCGCCCTTGATTTTCTCCACCCCACCCCCGATAGAAGAGGCCCGACGGGAGCGGCGGTCGAGATGGGCAGCACGTATCTTTTCCGTCCCTTTCGAAGAGTATCCACAGTCCACTCTCAACCGCTCCCATCCATTCTTCCTGAGCGACTTGCCAGGCGCTGTGCGCAATGCCACTTCGCCGACTGAGCCATCTTTGCCTTTGCTCGAAAATCGGACGACGAGGCTATCTTTAGCACGGCGAGATGCCTGAGAGATGGGGATGATGTATCGCCCGTTCTCCTCGCTGAGGGACAATTGCTGGGAGGAGATGGAGGCCGAGTGGACGCTGATGTGGGGTGCTATGACTTCCATTGTGGTTGGCGAGGAGAGATGTGGATGGGTAACAGGTGGTGCTACTATCGGCTATGATGTAGGGTAGTCACCGTGCGGCGACCGCCGAAATCGCAGATCCGGATGGTCATCCGAGATATAAGATAACGCATATTTCTCCTTTCATCGTTCCAACGCCTTCCAGCGACAACGATTGCATTCTTGCACATATATACTTGGTACTTCAGTCTCCTGGCTACCCAAATTCACCATGCCCTCCGCCAAGCCCTTGTTCAACACCACCCGGTGAGTACAGACCCTGGATCGGTCAAATCCGAGCGCTCATCATATTTAAACGTGTAGCCTGGAAGGCAAGACTGGTACGCTTCCGACCCACGCCCCAGCCACCACATACTGATAAACCGTCTCTAGTCGTGGTCACCGGCGCATCAGGCGGTATCGGCGCTGCCACCGCCGTGCTCTTCGCCCGTGCCGGCGCCAACGTCGCACTCCTAGCCCGCCGACAAGAGTCCCTAGACGAAGTTGCCAAGCAATGCAAAGAAGAAGGCGCCGAAGGGATCAAGATTGTAACTAAGACGCTTGATGTCACTGATAGGAGCGCGGTCGATGGGTTGTTGCCGGCTTTGAAGAAGGAGGGGTTGGAGAGCTTTGATGTGTACGTGTTGGGAACTTGCGTTGAGGGGTGTTGGCTGATAATTCGGGGGTAGGCTCGTCAACAATGCTGGTGGAGCTATTGGGACAGAGAAGGTTGGAGGTCAGTGCTCGAGATTGTGTGTCTGCTTTTCCAGTCGCTGACATTGACCCGAACAGAAATCTGTATGCTACTTGGTGGATAAGTAGATCTGAAGGAAGCTGATGATGACATAGCCCTCTCGGACATTGACTATATGATCTCCACCAACCGTAGGATTAAATGTTTCCTTGCATAGAAGACATGGCTGACCTCTACCAGTCACTTCCCTCATGCAAGTCACCCAAGTCTTCCTCAACGAGATGAAGCAGACCAACACCGGCGTAAGCCCCTCCTCTTTCCTTTCGAGACCCGCTGACCACTACACAGCACATCATCAACATCGGATCCATCGCAGGTCGTGAGCCCTACGTCGGCGGATCCATCTACTGCGCCGTCAAGCACGCTGTCAGGGCGTTCACCACCTCCCTTATGAAGGAGGTGGTCGCTACCGGGGTCAGAGTGACGGAAGTTGCCCCGGGGTTGGTGGAGACCCAGTTCTCGGTGACTCGATTCAGAGGTGATGAGGGTGCTGCGAAGAAGGTCTATCAGGGGATGAGGCCTTGTGAGTAACGTCGAGTATGGTATTGTTTAAAGCTGATGATTGTTCGCAGTGCTGGCGTGAGTGCTCCGCTGTTACATATAACGATGGAAGTCTGGCTAACTATCATTGTAGCGAGGACATTGCTGAAGAGGTCGTATGGTGTGCGCTCCGACCTCCTCACGTCCAGATTGCCGAGCTGTGTACGTCTCTTCCCTTCGCCATGTGCACTGCACTACATGCTGACATGTTCACAGTGGTATTCCCTTCGCAGCAGGCCGGCGCCACCATCGTCGCCCGAGACAGCTCATAGAGCATGTCGCTGCAGATTCAATGAAGTAAAAGTCAATGTTAGGAGCATGCATGAGATGTGGTTTTGCGTTCATTGTGAGCAACCGATCTGCTACATCTGTCAAATCGTAGGCGAAAAAGTAGACGTCACAGGATAGAACATTGTGGAGGTTGTGTGCTTCTTGATGGGGATTCCTGTATAACCTTCCCTCAAATTGTCTTTCTCTTCTGTCCCCGCCAGCCGCTTCAAGGTCCCTTGCCTCAAAGTTGACTGTTTCCCATCGCCCCGGGATCTGCGAGATCCCGCTATGGCCTGGCCGTCGCCCTTCCGGCCTCATGTGCCCTTGGATCATCTGGGTTGGGTCGGTCGGGGTAATGCTTACGCCATGCTCGGTGTGCCAGTAGGGGAGGCTGACGATCTCCTTCGCTTCTCCGAGACTCTCGTCTACTTCGGGCCTACAGCGATGGTCACTTTTGGGGAGATCTCTCACGAGGAGTCTCGACAATACTCCCCACTGCAAAGTAGTAAGCAAATCTATTGCCTCTAAACGGGTCATCTGACATGATTGCAGGGCTCGGCAGAGCCTTCCTGGGCTTGCCTTCTGGAAGGTCCCCTGCATCCGTTCGACTTCTCACTCTTATCCTCGCCCTCATCCCGACAAACAAACCCTTTCGGCGGCCTTCAGAAACGCCCTGACCATGTTCAGAGTCCCTCTTGGGGAAGCTGTTCTGCATGGGTACCTGGGCAATGGGTACCCTGTAATGCGCCGAGAAGGGTCTTTATTCCTTCTTATTGCAGGAGGGGTTCTGCAGTGGGTGCACGCCTGTCTGACAGTCTCCCTCCTCTCTCGCCCATCATCTATGTCGGGCAGACGGCATTTGCTATCCACACTTGCTATCACTCTGGCCGGAGAAGCACACTCGGATGTGATGCCAAATTGTGTGCTGGTAGCTTTCCAAGGGTATTCTGGTCCACAGAAAGCAGGAACGACTCCAGAGTGTGCCTCTGGTAGTCGTACCCATATCTTGTGCTTGGGATAAAGGCAAGAGTAGCTGTACGCAATTTCCCCGCAATCTGTTTTTTGCTATCACACAGAAGTCAAGAGTTCTCTAGGGGTTTGACTTTTGTTGGCGCATCCAGAGTTTGAAAAGTCGAAGATCTTTGGCCTTCTCCCCTGTGCTTCCCTATACACAACTACTGCTTGCTCGTCTGGGAAAGGTAGGAATACATCACGGTTTGAAAGAGATTTCCGTGTTGACTTCTCCTCTTCAGATTCGATGTGGTGGAGAACAAAGTCATACCATTGTCACGATATATCTACATCTGGGGTCTCCATACCTAAGCAAGGCCACTCGGTCGATACCACAAAGTCTAGAAGCCACGGCCCTACAGACGCTACAGCCCTTTGGGCCCTCGCCCCAAACCCTAGCCCGCCCTACACCTCCTCTCTCTACGGCCTTGTCGTGACAATCGTGCATTTGATACTTGATACATCTCCATAGTATCTCCCCATATGCGATACTATTTCCCTTTCTGTTTTCTTTTTGAATCCCTTGCTCCGTAACGCGCTCCGTCCCAACTTGCAGCCTGTCTGCCATGCTCACAAGATGCGCACCCAACAACGCATCCATTACATTTGCTTCCGTCCCTGTTACGTACCGCTATGGGGCCCCGGCTGGCTGTCGCAATCTCTCGAGTACCCGACGGCTTTCCCAGTCAATCGCAGCTGCAAAGTGGCAAGATCGCATGCATGCATGGCTGGCCCAGGTGGGCTCCCCTCTTCTCCCTGCATCCTCCCCTTTTTCCTGCATGAAAATTGAGGCCGGACTGGGGAGTTACGCTATCAGTGATGTCGAGATGGTCCCTGAGAGTCCGCCCGAGATTAGCTGCAGCCATCTCCTCCCACTTCTCATCTCGTTTTCCATCCTCCTCTTCTCCTCTTTCTCCCCCTCTGACCCCCTCCCGCCCCACAGCTCTGAGAGCACCCCACCCAGCCCTCTCTGACTCTACCCGTCCCACTTCCCCGACCACTACTCGCCACCCGCCTCCGGCTTGGCCGCTGCTTCCCGCCCGCCTTGCTCACAAGGTAAGTCGTCTTGTCCAGCCTCTATGTCTCAAGCATAGGCGCTAGCTACGCTATGCTATACTCTAGCCTGCGTCCTTTACGCATGAGGCTCTTCCACGTACATGAGTGCTAATCACGAGGCGCAGGACTTACCGCCTCGCCACCCCTTGCCGGAACAGATAGCGGCAGCAGGTGCGGATAGCACATAAGTGAGTGCTGCTCAAGTCTTCTTTCCCCGCGTCTTGTATGTATTCGGTGCCCGTATACTAAAGCAGGCGCCTTGAAGTATACTGCTTTGGGTGGGCCCCTTTCCATTGTCGTAGTGCCCTGGCACGGCGGCAGGCTGCTGGCGGGTCCGTCCTTTATTGTATCTCTTTGCTAATCTTCTCCATAGTTGCCTACTCAAGTATCTGGAAATACGAACGAGACTTTTCTCCTCCAACGCTGGGTGTGAATAACATCTTGTGAGTCTTGACACATTTTGGATTCGGGCCGTATCTAGTGGCAACCCGCTGACTTGCCCCCACAGCCCTCTGAATTCCACTCGCCTTTGACCACAAAGCAATACCACCGTCAATTAACCATGGCAAGAATAAATACTGACAATTCTCCCACGACGTCAGTCGGGTCCCTACCATCGCCCATGTCGGACGACGAGTTCTCCAACCTTTCCGACTCCTGGATGGAAGTCGAGACCTCGTCTATAGGCCCTTCCACCTTTGACGGTCTCAGCGACTCTAGCTTTGACTCCAATGACCACGACTCTAGAAGTGAAGCGTCTAGCTTTGACTCTGCTTCAAACGATGGCCGGGAATTTCACAGCGAGCCCGAGGATGTGGAAGCCATGTCCGAGGTTGAGGAAGAGACTCCATCCCTGATAAGCGGCTCCTATGACCTGGCAAGCAGCAAGCTTGACGGTAGCAAAATGGGTTCTTCAGTGGACACTATCCAGCAGTACTCTACTTCCTCGTCTCAGGTCCGGCTCATCTTTCCCGACCCGGGATCTTCCTTCTCCGCGGCGACAGCAGGCTCCCACTCCGGTCTCTTGTCTGGGCAGAGTCCAGCTTCCTCCATCTTTGCTCCCAAGCGTCCTCGATCTCGCGGCCAGTCTACTACCGAATCGGACGAGAGACTGCAAGAGAGCATCTTGTCGAACGCCTCTGCCAAAAGGAGGAGCTCGAGCCCGCTGAAGAGCGAGTCTTGGGAGAGGTCCAGTAAGCTGTGGTCTCTGGATAAGGGCGAGTATTGGTTGTTGGACAGCACCGAGAAGCTTGGAGAGATGGAGAAGATGAAGGACTCGAAGACGATCCTTGACGAGCCTGAGGCGCTGTTCAAAGTGACGGCTGCGGAGACGGAAAAGGACATCGTTCGGGAGCCCGAGACTCGGTCAGTACTTCATTTCGACGCCTTGTAAATCGCGCTGACAGCCGCAACAGGTCAAGAAAGAACGCCGTCCTGACCGTGTGCGCCATGCTCGCGCTCGGCGTTGCTGGTCTCTACACTGGTTACAACGCATCAATGTCTAGACCCTCTGCTGGGCCATCCGTCCTTCCCGTTCAGGCCCCTACTGACATGGCCAGACATAACTTCTGGGACCGCTTGTCGGCTTCTATCCTCACGCCTTCGGCTACCGAGGCGCCCCATATCCCCGTCTCGACCAATACCGTCAAGAAAACCGAAGAGTATCGCTTGATCAAACAGGCTTTGTCTACCCTCAACGAAGCCCAGCACAAGGCTCACTCTGTCTTTCATACGACCCCTCCTCCGTCTGCCCAGAGCAAGAGTGCTGGTGGGCAAGACAACGCATTAGCTGTGCGGAATGAGAACGTCGCTCTGGACACACTCGAGCTTACCAGGAAAGAGGTCATGGTGCACAAGTTGTTGCAGAAAGTCGTGTCTGCTTCGCGCCCTGCCAGGTCCAACATCGCCTCTGCTGCTGTCAACTGCACATGCGACCTCTCGACTTACTACTCCACTCAAATTCTCCCCCGAATCATGGGGTCGTACACCCGCACAAAGGCGTTGGCTGTATCAGCGTACGACACGTTGGTGCGGTTCTTCTTCAAGGAGGTGGAAGAGGTGTTTGATGTCGGCAGACAGATGTTTCAGGCATCTGATGCTGCGGCATCTTTGGTCGTCTCCCGCGCTACTCGTGGTGCCCGTATCCTTCACACTACCCTTACCCCATACCTCCATCTCCCATCCTTGTTCACCTCAAAAGGTGCATCCAATGTCACTCACGAAGCTCTCGATGCGCTCTCCGAGTACGTCGAGTCCACCATGGAAGGGCTCGTGGGCACGATCGGGCAGGAGACGAGGGACATGCAGGACAAGGCGGAAAAGAGTATCAGGAAAGCGAAGAAGGGGTTGAACAGGGTTATCAAGGAGAAGAGGTTGGAGAAGGAGAAATCCTTGGTCAACGCGGTGGACCGCAAAGGTCGCGCTCTCGCCGACCAGAGGTCACCTTGTGCCCAACAATAGCCCTAGACCAAGACAGCAAAACAAATGACATTTCACACGGACATTCAAGGTGTATCGAGTAAGTATTCTCTTTTGGGCGTCTCTTTTGCGTTGTAATTGTTGTGTTGACACACGGACCGGGTAGACCTCCGGTCCCAGAAATTGTTGTTGCTTTTGGTTTCTCTTTGCATGGCCACCCTTCTCCCCGACTACTCAATTGTGATTGTGAATTCTGATTTCTGTAACTTTTCGTTGTATATATGTTTGTTCTTCTATGATATTACCCTGAACGCCTACACGATCTACTTGTAAAGCCACCGAGCTTGCTTTTTGGGCATCCCTGAAAGGGTTCTTGTTATATTCTTCACCTGTTTCCATATTGCTTTTCACTTGTTGTGTGTTAGATATTCACCTTTGGTCTCTGTTGATATGCGATTCATTTGTTCATGCAGTCTTGCTTGGTGTACTTTTTGTCGTTTCCGCAACAATCCACGCTACATCTTCCAATGCTAGATCATACAACATGCATATGCATTTATGCCTCATATAGATACCCGTGTCTAAAGGATACACAATGAGCGTCGGTCAATGTCAATCTATGAAATATGGCACAGGGAACAAGAAACAAAGGGGTCAAATATCCGTGATGGAAGAGACTACTTCTCTAACGAATATCTAGAAGCCGTGTAAGAAGGCTAATCTTCGTTTTCGTGGAATGGCCAGGCAACCGTGAGTCGCGGAGGCAGACCGTCGAGCTTGCCATACCCAGAGTCTGACCACCATTCGTCATACTATGAATCAAGTCAGAACACCAGCCTATAGTTTGATGGGAATTACTCACCTCTTTCTGGGCATCCTCAAGCTCGCCAAGCATCCTAATAGCGTAAGGATGGAGTCTCTTGTCGTATCCCTTCTCCTGTCTCAACTTTTCCTCCGCCTTCTTCTTCTCTTTTTCCTTCTCTCGTTCACTCGCCAGCATGGCCTCTAGTGCGTTCGCCGTAGACGGTGGTAGCAGACTGGAGCGCTTGGAAAAAGATTTTGACATGTGTGGGCTTTGAGGTTTACGGGGGCTGGGTGGAGGAGGTTGGGAGTTACGCCTGGGGCTAGTAGGAGTGGGAGGAGGGTCAAACGCGTCACTTCGAGGCGATATGGCAGGCAGATCAAACTCGAATGTAAATGCGCCCCTAGAACGTCGGCGTTCAGCCCTTTCACCAGATGGTGTAGTCACGATGGTAGGGGGCTTGGGCTTGCGACCAGGCGGCGTGGAAGGAGTGGTGGTAGTAGACTCAGCCGCAGTAGACGCGGTGGCACTACTAGCCTGGGAGCTCTTTGGTGGCGTAGAGGGGGGCACAAGAGAAGAAGGTTTTGAACCTTCGTTGAGTTCGCCTTGTTCCTGCCCAGGGCTATCGCCATCGGAAGAGACCGTTGGGCTGCCATCCACACCGAGGCCACTCTTGTTCTTGTTCTTGTTCTTGGAGTTGGTCTTTTCCTTGTTCTTGAAATTCTTCTTCAACCATTTCGCGGCCTTTCCAAACTTGTTGCTCCCCGTCACCGGGTCAACTTCCACATTTCCTCGTGGCGCATCGATCGTACCCATACCCAAGCCAAGGAGGCGTTCAGCCTTTTCTTGTGATCCTTCCTCATTTGATTCTGGAGCAGGTTCATCCGCGACCATGGTGATCGTAGAACGGCTGCGAGGCATGATGGGTTCTTCAATCTCCTCGCGAGGGCTCACATGGGAGATGCGTTTGTCTTGAAGCGGTTCGGAGTCAGCTGCTCCAGGTTCGAGCTCGTCATATCGGCGTTTGATGCCTTCCAGACGGGTCTCTAGAACTTTGACGGTTTGGACTTCGATTTGCCAACCAACACTCTTCGAATTGGCGGCTTCCAGATGTCCGAGTCGGAAGACCTACAATCATCAGTATACGGCTCACTAGACATCATGCCAACTTACGACAAGCCTCAGGACGTAGCTCCTAACAGAGTGACTCCAGAACAACAGCAGCCTCTCAAACAGCTCCTTCTGCAGCAGCAGGTCAAGACACAGCTCCTTCCTGTCCTCCGGCCGGGCGGTCAACACTTCCCAGTGGGAGAAGATGAACGCAATAGCTTTGACAAGAGTCATCGCATGCTCCGTTTCGGTGAGAATGATTCTGAGCACGTTGATCAAGAATGGAACATCGACAACCGTGTCAAGGCGAGTGGGGACACCGGGAATGAAGCCATATGGTGGATCAATGATACCGTCAAGGAGGTCGAATAGACAGAAGACCCCCTTGGGGGCATTGAGAGATGTCTTGGTGATGAGATTCTTGGTCCAAAGATCAATCATGCCCATGTAGAGCTGAGACATTTCGCAATCGATGATCACTTTACCAGCCGGTATGCTGATCCTCTGTTCAGAGAACATCAAAAGTGTTTCCGTCAACCTCCGATTGGCAGTGACCAGCACAGGAGGCTTGGCATTCGGTGCTTGGAGAGCACTCTCTGTGGCGTCAAAGTTGGAGGACGTCGAGCAAGTGGTCACCGCGTTAACAGTGTTGGCAATGTACGAGTACAGCTTCTTGGCAAACGCTGTCGACAGATGAGCATAGCCGGGAGCGCGCATGAGGAGCCCGACTGGAATCGGTTTGTTTTGCGCTTCAAAGTGTTTGACGGCAGGGCCGAGATAATGAGCCAACTGTCGGTGATACGCTCGGTAGAAGGACGGGAACAGTTCAGAATCGTCGGATTGCCATCGTCGAAGCCAGTAACCTGGAGGGAACAAGAACGCTTCGCGCTCTTCGTCTGTTTCGAATTCTGCGGTAAATGCGTTGAGACGAGAGTTGTAGCTCATGACGTTGTCGAATATCAATGGCTGAAGATGCTCGGGGTATTTTGGCTGAACCTCGGCCCTATGATATTGTCAGCGTCGCTCACTGGGTTTCAGAGGATACTCACGGGCAATCAACATTCTCGATATTTCCCGTAAACCTCATCAAAGCTCCCTTGGGTAACGATAGGACCGTCAGAAGCTGATGGGCAACGTGGGGAACTCGGAAGAAGGCAAAAGCCAAGAATCTTCCGCTAAACACCAATATGTTCTGGAAGACGCCCCGTCCTCCAAGCTTTTCCATAACGAAACTCATACAGCGAACCATCATCTGAGTGAATTTAGATTGATGGTCGTCCGAGAGCTGGAGCGCTTCTTCAGAGAGACAGATGCTACAACGTGTCAGCTCACTATCAGAAGAGTAAAAAAGAGAGTGATTCACCTTTCAAACAATGCCGCGAGCGACTCCAAAACCGCCCCTCGCTCATCCACCGGCCTATCAAACCTCAACTCTGAAATCAACAGATTGATCCACCTCAAAAACACGCTCCTCAAAACCTCATAATCATCCTCCTCTGCCACATCATACGCCCTCCTATCCGCCTCGGCAATAAGAGGCACCAACTCTGCTCTCAGGCTTGCAGACCTGTCTGACGGCGATACGCCCGCTTCGGGGTATTTGAAGGCCACACGGATATCTTCGGCTTTGGAGGCGAGAGCGGAGATGGTGAGGTGTTTGTCGGGGATGACGGGGGTGGATTTGCTCAGCAAGGCAAGGGTGCGTTGACGAACGACGGGCTTGGCTTTGGGCGGTGGGGGCGCGATGATAATGGGATTCGGTGGTGTGATGTCTACCGGAGGCGCCAAAGTGAGCGCTGGTGGCGCAATTTTGGGAAGCGTCACTGTCGGAGCGACGGGAGACTTTTCTTTGGGCGGTAACTCGGGAACGGATTTGGGAGCGAGAGTCGTAGATGAAGCGGTTATGCTCGAGCTGCTGACGTTGATCGCAACATCTCCAAGCGTAGCATTGCTTTCCCGGGGCGTCACGGGGAGAGCAGGAGAGGTGCTCTCATGGGTGGAATCTGTCGAAGTGATATCATCCGAGGACGGCACGTTGGGAAGGAATGGAACAGCAGAGGGCGAAGGGCTTCTCGCTGACTGAGTAGGCTGTTCCGAAACGGGCGCAAGAGGACCGCCAAACACTTCATCCTTCTGCCTTCTGGCCCCAGGCACTGGTGACATCGAGCTCACAGTGCTCAAAGCCAATGGAGACCCGGCTTCAGAGCCTCTCTCGTGCAATGTCCACGATCTCTGCAGAGTCCCAGGAGACGTACTCGGCCTACCAGGTGATCTGTAGGAGTGCGACCTCGCAGGCGAGAGTTTGGGTGATGCGAGGGGACTATTACGTTCTCGACGAGAAGACGACTTGCGCGAGCCACTCGACGGAGAGAGACCGTAGAAATCAAACTCGAGTCCAAAGTCGAGGTCAAGCTGGGGCAGCTGTAAACGCTCGGCGGATGGGAGCCGAGGAGGTGTACGAGGCTTGTTGTCTGCTGTAGCAGGTCGCCTCTTCTTTGGAGAGCTCGAGGCGAAGAGCGGGGACTCATCAATAGAGAGCGAAAGAAGGGGGCTGGTGGAGGGGTCAAAGACGGGAGTGGTAGCTCTTGGCACATGCAGCGAAGCTGGTGAAGAAGCTGGAGGGGTTGTAGACGGAGCTGAGAGGGTGTTGGGTGAGGGCGAAGGTGACGGCCGAGGAGGGATAGGAAGTTCTCTAGCAGGTGGTTTTGTCCGCGAAGAGGCCGGGGATGAACTTGATTGCGCCGTTGGGGTCTTGCCTCCATCATTGCTGGAGAATGTGGAGATTGATCGTCCGTCGTACAGTTTCGGTGTCGGTGTCGTCCTCCCTGACCTTCCCGTGGTCGATTGTTCCCATTCTCTCTGGGACGAATTGGACGTCACCCTACTCCCATGACGATCTTCTGGCATCGGGGGAGCCTCTTCCATCTTTTTGCTCTTTCCACTAGCGCCTCGCCCAAACAACGCTCTCAACGCCGCCGTACTCTTCTTCTTCATATTCGTCTTGCTTCCCGAAGGCCGCCGCCCCCCCTCATCTCCAGACAGACCATCATCAAGGTCTCTCACGACGTCAAGCGACTTGGTGCCCGAGACCTGTCTCTCCATGTCAAACGACTTTGACGGAGCGCCTGTC